TGCAAGAATTAAATCATAAGGATTTGATACATTTACATATCTACCTGTTATTCTACACAGACAACCGACTTATTTCCATTACATAATTCTACTTTCTAGTGAAGCGACTTAACACACAAACAAGATGACTAATTGGATAATATTTTTTTAAAGACATGTATGTTTTGTATACCCACCGATACAAACGACATTGGGTTAACGGTTGAATTGTGTTACCCGATATATTTAATAACCCAAATGTTATTGTTTCCATTCTGATAGAAAGTTATTGATTTGTCTAGTCTTGTATGTTTGTGAATGCGAATTGTATGTTTTTTTAATGTTCAATACGAAAGGGCCAACACCGATGATTATCATGTACTGAAAATATGATGTTAAGAAATAGGTTTCTTTTTCCAAATTATTAAAACCATAACTAATTCTGTCATAATGATTAAACTGAGTAATCCATAAAGTATATCACAACAAATATGTAATTTGTTCTTGATAGAACTAATATCTAAGAGATGATAATATTGCCATAGAATTCATAGAGTACAACACCTCTAAAACTGTCTAACTATACCGTTAAACGTCAAAAATACTAAAATACACCAGATGTTTAAAAACCTTATCATTAATTAATTATTTGATACACAATTTAGTGGGGAAATTGCAAATGGAGAACGAATTATAGCTTACTTTAAAATCTATGCCAGCCGATCACATAAAACATTCTAATGATAAGTTTCTTTCATTCTTCACAATAAAACTTTCAAGCCAATATAAATGATATACATAATTTATTAACAAGCATTCAGCAATGATATTAGCTTATCATTTAAATTTTATTAACTTCTTAATTAGTTGAATGTGTAAAGCAGAATACAAATAAAGTTGAGGAAAACAAACAAATTTGAAAGCGTACAGTACTAAAATGTTAGTTTTATTATGAAAGCATACATTTTTGAAAATGAATTCAGTAGATATAACAACATCATGCACGTTCATAACAAAATGTAGTAGCGTGCAATGAACTAATTTGTACAATATAATCATCAACATTCATTTACATTTTAGCATACCAATGATTAAATGCAAATAAACTAAAGATTTCGAGTCCCAGAGTGAACATCAACCCTGGGACGAAGGTACATCTAGCTGATGAGTTCGAAATAGGACGAAACGCGCGTCTTGGATTCCACTGCTAGCCGTCATTTATCTCTCCATATAATGTATATGACTTAAAACAAGGCGCACAGAGTGCACATATTCCAATAAGAGACTGATCAATTGGAGTCCTAAACGCCAATAGGAAGATCTAAACAAACAACACAAAACGAATTAAGGATAAATTAAAAGTTGTTAATTTGCTAAACTTCAGTATACAATATGTATCTGTTAACATGAATGAGTGTTAAAATCCTCATCTGTCATTTAATATCATTAATTATGTCTACATCTGAGAAGACAAGAACGAAGTCAAAAGACTGATTCCAATTGTTTTTGGTTACTTAACTATTCTTCAATTGATACTGATTCCTTAGTTAAACAAGTTTTAACTGTTTATCAATTTACTGAATATAAAATTTTAACATAAGTGTAAATGATAAGACACACTTTTCTTTGAACAAAAAGACGCTTTATATTTCTCTAACTTTTCTGATTTCATTTTGTATCATCAACTAAATAAAATTTTGATAAAAACAACCGATCCTAATTAAAATTTCACTGATAAAATACAAACTAATTGATGACGAGAAATCAGTTTACTTCTTAAAAAAGGCTTTTAGATTATATTGATAATAGTTAGGATTTGTAAGTTACATTCTTCATAGATCGCATAAGCGACACGCTTGAAAATCGGTTACCACTATTCAGTATTTGGTATTGATCTTTATTCGTGAAAGGTCTCTATCAGAGAAACTGGTACATACTACAAGAGATTTACACAACCTAACAGTTAAATTGGCAAAAGGTGAACTGACTTAACATTATTTGATTAAAAATCACTTTATGAACGTGAAGCAGCAGCATCATCATAGAGTGAAACGGCTATAAACAGAAAATATAACTAATTGAATACATCTCATAGTTACTACTTCCTAAAATGTAAGTACATGTCATAACTGATGAGAGCAAATCAATTCCATAGATCACTTAGATTCTAATCAATTAAGACACTATCCATTATATCAGTCTATTATTAACAGATTTAATATTATTAAACAGTAGCGAAAGTATTCAACCTAGAAACAGACAATTGTTTTTACAAACCTTTTAATTTTTTTCATAATTATTGTCTTCTATTAATCAACATTTACATCCCAAATCTAATTTTAATCTAGTTTTTCTCATATTGTATTACTTTCCAAATAATTAAGTATTTCCAGTTTGTAAGCAGCTGTAGTGAACTCTCGAAACAAATAAATTCATGTTATACCGTTACTTTCTTTCTACTTACTTAATCAAAAATATTTATATTATGATGAAAAAAAATATTCGTCCTAATTTAAGATAACAAACAATTTAGCTGTGAAAAGAATATAAGCGTATAGTAGTTAATGTATTTTCATTTACCATATGATTTACTGTGGATGAAAACTTTGTTAAAGTGAAACGTTTGTCGTCGATAGGGAATCAGATTTTAATAATCATTATAGATCAGACATCGACTTTCTTTTTTTTGAATTTTTTTCCACGTCACAAGAACGCGTCAACTAGCCAAACTTACACTTTAAAGTGACCAGATGTGAAATATTTTTCAGTTGGTTGTTAGAAAACAATAGGCAGCACTCATATTTAACTACATGAACATGTAGGTTTGATGGTTCAGTTTTTCGGTTTACATTTGGCCAAAAAAAAATTGACGCGACTAATTTTTAGTCAAACTGTTGTACATAGTAAATAATTTGTATCTATGATGCATTTATGTACTTAAAGAAATGAAAACATCAGTGAGTTTCGAAATTTTAATTTGTGCCAATGTAATCATACATCTTTGAATTTAATTGATTTTGCAATACTGTTTTGCTAACTTAATTAACACTTACTCTTCATCATCATTGGTTTATTAAAGACTTGAGTTGCACGTTTCCACTACAATGTGATTGCTAGTTACAATTTGAATTTCATTGGATAGTTTATTTTTTAACCAATAGTTCCGAGTTAACCAAAATTAAGTAGTTTCCTTCTATACAAAAATGTAATAGTGTAAACTATAACTGTACTGAGTTGTCTCATTATAGCCTAAAAGGTTTTAAAAAAATAATTTAAACAACAAAGATTATTAACGATTACAATTTATCGTATTCTTGGTTTATGACAGGTAGACATTACCGAGAAAAAACTGCTATTAGATAATTAATTTTACCATCAATTAGGAAATAGTTATTACCTGTAACCATAAGAATGACAACAATCATTATTATGTTTATAAAAGTACACATATTTCCATGACTATTTTTAATTGTCGTATCATTAGCAAGGTGAATGTTTTTGTAGTTTTTACAACAACAAAGATTATTGAATCATTCGGAATTAATCATCCAGAATTAAATATTCTCACATGAGTTGTATATGTTTACGGTCAATTATCTAAGTCCTCTTTTCGTTCAGTATCATAAGATTACGAAATAATGGCTTAAAGATAATGAAATCTGACAGTTCTAACTGCTTCCTCATTTCAGATATTAGGTTTACTCGACGGTGAAATTGTAAACATGTGTTTTCTTCTTATTGACTGGTTTACAAGCTTAAGTCAATAACTGACGGAAGTTATCCACAATGAAATCTAAATTCAAAGCAAACATACAAGTGACTGAATTCGAAATTATTCCAATCGGTTACATAACTTTTCTTTATTTCAGTTCAGACATCTATGTTGTTATTCATATTTATGAACACTGATTTAATAGGCTAATCAGTCGCATACTAGGACAAATCAACAATCTGTAGTTCATTGGTTTTCGAAAATTATCTGGTTTTGACCAGGCTAAATAACCCTACAACTGAAAAGTCTCCGCATAATCAATAGCTCTCACTTAATATTACTTTTACCGAATGAATATGTTATCCTCTAATTGAATCAACAACAGTTTAGTTATTGAGGATGTCGAGTTAAGCCTTGGAATTCAAATCCTTGAGAACCCTGAATATAACAAAGAACTAAAGCTTACTCATATATATTTACATATATTATTTAACAGAACATTAAAAATTCGATTCTCGAAATATCGGTCAAATTATAGGCAATGAACTATCGATAAAGTGACACTACTGAAAGGCAACTATGGCATATAAACGCTATTTTTATGCAGTGTGCTTTATGTAACAATATACTCACGTTTTAAATTCATCGAACTCTTACGGCATAGCATTCCACAAATTACTAGATATCTGAAAATTTTCAATTACCTCTCTATACAGGTCGTTGTTTAGAAGAGTTAAAGGAAAATGAAGCATGGTTAACACCATAAAGACGAACCAATGCAATGAAGTCAGAGGTTAGATAAAACGAATAGAATAAATCAACTGATTTGACAAAGGGATACCACAGCATGATACTCATGTAAAATATTTGGACACAACTCAGACTACTTACTATTTTTAGGTAGCATGATGAATATATGCAAAAACGAAGATGATTATGACTAGATGACAATATAAAGAGGCCGATGTGCCAAAAACAGACTAAACAACTGCAGTATCTAACACTAGGATTGGTTAATTCCAAACTCTTACAAATGGAGTATAACGATAAGACTAAGTTATAAATAATTAACAGATGATCGTATTCCGTATTTTCAAGTTCCCGATAAAAATCTAAAGATTATTGATTTCTATAGAATACTTACAAAAATCTAGGTGGTAATCAATGAAGAAAAATAATAATATATACTCAGTATGGATGGAATTCACATTCTTAGTAGTGAATGAAAATACATCCCATTCACAAACAAATGAAAAACTCAATTTTCTTAAACAGTTAATAATGAGGATAAGATTATCGCTTCAATGGAAATAATAAGATCAGCATGAGAGGTGGCAAGTAGTACTTATAAAGTAAGTTGTTTGCTTTTTGATTATAACCAACGATTCAAAATCGGATGAGATACGGTCAAAAGTAAGTAGGGTCAGCACAAACAAAAACATCATATCACATCTTATTGTTTGCTTTCTTTCAGATATTTTGCCAGTCTTCTTGAAATTGGTTTCAGACTATATCTAAAGATAATAATTTAAACTAATTCAATTTAGAACTTTTGTTCTACACTTACTAACAGAAAATGTACTAAAAGAAAATAGTTACGAAAACTATTCACTATACTATCTCATTGAGTAATAAATTCACCAACTTGAAGAGTAAATAAGAATTCTTAAATAAAGACTTACAGGTAACGTTTATTGAAGGATAGAAAACAATAATACAATTTACCCAACTACTTGAAAAAGCTTTTAAAAATCTTCCAATATTTATTGGATAAACACTTTAATAAGCTATAAAACAAGAAGTGAAATTAAACATTAGCTCTTACAAAACAATCAAAAACACATATCTCTTTATCCTTTATGAAACATTATGAGAATATCACATAAAAATGACTTAACTGATAGATTAAAAGTAAAGAAATGAATTACGTGTATTGATAATTGGTTTATTTCTATATTTTATTACAATTTCAATAACAGTCTGCATATAGTAATAAAGAACGAAACCGTACATACACAAAAAAAAACAAATGATCAACATATACAAATCGAAACAAAAAGAAAGAGGTCATCAATTGACATTATTTTCAAAAGTGGTTCAGAGAGGAGAATAAGAAAAGTAGTAACAACATACTTACGTTTATCAAAACAGGACTTATTAAAGAGAGCGAAGACGGAAAGGGATAGTGAAAACACTCATTTTCTATTCATTATGTATATAGAGTGATTTTACTGTACAAAAATAAATAGTAAAGAATAAAAAAGGCAATAATAAATATACACAATAAATGTAAAACCGCATATTTCAATTAACATAAAATCATCATCACTACCGTTTGCGTTTTCCACAATGACTAGTAGTGAATAATGGTTGTGATTGGTGGTGATTGACAGGACTTAGATTTTCACTGTCAATATTATTACTGTTATTTAAAGAATTAGTAACAGTACTACTACTGTTGCTATTGTTACTATTAATGATATTATCATTAACAGTGGGGATATTCAATTGTTGTAACGCTTTCAACTTTTTATTCATCTGTTCTAGTAAATCTGAAGCACATTGATGCAAACGACTACCAGGACGATTGCTGCGCAGCCAATGAGATAGAAGTAGTCTAGAAAAACCAAAGTAAACAAAGAAATAAGTATACATTAAATTTTAGATGAGAGAAAAAAAGCATATTTATTTATTTTGCTTATAGAGAGAGCAATTACGAATTCCTTATAAATAACAGTGAACACAGAGTTGAGTACAGGTTCAGGTATTAAATCTTGTAGAAAATGAATATGAATTGGTATTCCGTTGTGTCATAGAAGTGAAGAATATCCGGAACTCAGAAGAACCGGCATGCGATACTGAAGTCAGGATTTTGTACATTAACGTTAAATCAGTGCTATTATACCGAGGTGAAACTTGGAGGAATATAACCATTAGCATCGAAAAGGTACATGTATTTATAAACAGTTGTTTATATAAGATACTCCAGATACAATGTGCAAAGAAGATTAACTATAAACTACTATAGCAGAAAACAAACCAGTTGCCAATTGAGAAAGAAATTAAGGACACTGAAGGTGAGCAGAACACGTTGTGTGGAAACCATCAAGCCTGGCTACGTAAGGCAAGCCCTAACTTGCAATCCTAAAAGCGAAAGAAAGGGACGGACAAAATAACACATGCCATTGAGTAATGGACACAGACATCAAGACCATAAACAGCACTTGACAACAACTGGGAAGAATAGCCCAGAATATTTTGCTAAAGATCCCTGATTGGTAGCCCATGTCGCAAGAGGAGCAAAACTCTTATTAAGCTTGATTTAGTTTGCAGTAATTCCTAATAACAAACGACTAAGACTATTCTACTATGGACGGGGTCTATTGCAACTGGCATCGAACACTTCAATATTATCCTCAAACGACGCAATAAAAAGAAAAGGTAGAGGTGTAAAGAAACTTGAAATCGAACAAACAAGAAACATGACCCTGGAGAACAGGAAAATTAGCCAACTATATGTGATCACAATCAATCAGAAAACAAAAACTGTTATGAGGAAATATGGACCGGAAAAGATGTCTCAGAGGTCACTGTTACAGGAAATAAATTACCAATCATTACCAAAAACTACATAACCTTAAGGTATTGCTATACCATTAAGATAATGTGATGAGATTTTAGAGCCCATGTGCACGATTGGTTTGGAATCAAGGTTTTCTAACGCCCCTAGGTGGACTCTCCTTGTCTACCAACCCGGTTAAAGTGCCGGACATTCCCTTTTCGTCCTCTCAATTTTGTAAACAACAGTAATCCGCGAGAAGACAGTGAGTTAGTGTATGACCACCATCTAATCACTGGTGAGTGTATCTAAACGGCAACTAAATAGACGATATTTCCAAAATGCCATGATGAATGATATTTCATTTGCTAATATCTCAAACGCATAAAAGATTAATTCAAAAACAAATGGTCTTTTTTAAGATAAAATAATTATATGACACCTGTAATTCAGCAAAATGGAAATGGGATACAAAAAATAAAAGCTGGTTCATATGGTGGATGATAATATGATTATCCGTATAAAAAAATATGAAACAAGATTGGAATTCTATACAGTAAAGCAACTAACCGCAGCTGAGAGATTACTTGTCCTGGTCCCTGAGGTAATTCTCCACGAGCCAAAATCTCTTGTAACCCGACCAAATCTAGAGCATATAATCTACGGTCCTCGGAAGAATGACCCGATGTTGTTGAGCGTGTTCGATGACTTGCTCGAGAACGTTCAGATAGGGAATTAACGACGAAACTATCTTCTGAATTACCGTTAGCTTGATTTAATTCATTCAAAGCTACAGTTCGACCAAGACCACATCGGAGAAGTGGACGTGCTGAACTGATCGTACATAGTTCTGATAGGAAGCATTCAGCAGTAGCTTGATCAAACTGCTCTCGACTACACGATAAAGGATTGACTGAATCAGGACTTTCGAGTGAGGGGTTGGGTAGAGTAACTTCAGATTTTCGAGGACGACCACGACTAGAACGACGTCCTCTATCATTGGTACTCGTAATTTGTGAAACACAATTATCTAAAATAATAGATGCACGTTTTACTAAACAAAAAGGAAAATAGAAGCAATTCTGTGATTACAAGTTACGAGATAAATTCTAATAAATAAAATAATAAAAATTAGCCAAATGACTTAGTGAAATTATCGTATACGGAATGGTTACGAGTGATAAGAATGTAAAGTGTGATTCTCAGGTACTTCCAATACCAACGAGTGAAACGGAAGAACGATGTAACATGATACGTAGTTAACAACTTGTAGGAAAAATTAAAAAATGAATACAGTTATGTCAATTCGTCCAACTTGGAGCTATTCCTCATCTCGTCTACAAACGTTGATTCTAGCTGTATTGTAAAGCATAACTACGAATTACAAACCTCGCTACAGAATGAATGAATGAACAAATGTAGTATCTTGGTTTGGAAACTCAAAGGCTTTTTCGAAACTCAATTTCCTACCCTAGTTAAATCTTATTAAACACCGGACAAACAAATAAGTGGAAATTCAGTGCATAGAAACAGATCAAATGGAGATGAACAATGTTACTACTACAAAGATAATAACAAAAGTTATATGAAATGAATTGAGTGAATGTTTTTAGTTATTTCATTCTTACATGCATTACAAATAAGGTATAACGAAAGCTTCCAGAATTATATTGTGACAGTCAATCAGTACTTAGTATAAGTACTAAAAACAACTAACTATTTTAGTACTAATAATAAGGATTATAAACAAAACAATAGCTGAAAACAGAACTTACAGCGACAATTTCCCTCAGGTTCAACAGTTGGACATGATTTGTTTGTTGTTAAAGCTGAATTTACAGACCCGGAGTCTCCTTTGAGTTTTTTACTTTGATGATCTAAGGGACTAAGCAACTGTTCGACTTCATCATCATAATGAACATCCACAGTAACACACAATTTACTGATCGATGACATATCTACTGATGCGGGTGATGCATAAGTAACTTCTAAGTTCGGTTCAACAGTTTTATCACAATGACTAACTTTCTCTGACAGAAATTTCGTTGAACGACGACCACGACCACGACTACTATATACACGATGAAGACGAGCAGGTCTCCCACGACGTCTAGTTACATGTACATTATTTGTGTGTCCTGTTTCCGTATGCTGATTTCCGGTCGATTTGTCAGGATTTAGCTCCTCCATATTCTCAAGAGGATGATCACTTTTCTCATCTGAATTCCCATCGCATGACGTAGGATCATCAGACTCGTCAAAAACAACAGAACGACGTTTTCTCCCAACTCGATTTGTCTTCTAGTTAGAGAACAATGAGAATAGTATTTGTTATGTGTTGAGTTACATAATTTTCGAGATCTAGAGATACAGTATCTAATAAATTAAACTCAATCAATATTTCAAGTGTTAGTCATAAGGAAATTCGTTGTTTTCTTAACGATCTGCGTAAAAATCTATTTAAATTCTGATACGTTCGTGAAGTGTGCTAATAATTTCACTACGCCGACTACAATACAATGATTTATTTATTTTTATTTAAGCGTATAAACATTGGTACAAAGAAGTACCAAATACATATGCACCACATAAATTATTCGATTTATGTGAGGGCTGGGATACTGCCCGGATGCCCAAACCGAAGCAAGTGCTTTACTTGGAGGGCCACACCCGGAGCCTTCGACCTAAAGGTCTAATCCACAAGGCAGTGGAACAATATAAGGAAACGCAGTCCCATGGTAGCCGGTGACCAACGACTGGTTCATACATTTGTTTCCTCAGGATTCTAGAGCCCATGTGCACTATTGGTTTGGAATCAAGGTTTTCTAACGCCCCTAGGTGGACTCTCCTTGTCTACTAACCCGGTTAAAGTGCCGGACATTCACTTTTCGTCCTCTCAATTTCGTAAACAACAGTAATCCCGCGAGAATGCAGTGATTAAAACTTCCCTGTCAGCGGCTTTATTCGCGTGACCGTGTGATAGCATTTCGAGAGGGAGAGTTAACTCTTTTCATACTTGGCCGTAGCAGGGTATTTGAGGGTCTGTTATAATCTGGATGGTTTTTATTGTGATTAGTGGAACCATTGGAAGATTCTCAGGCCAATTTGAGGATGCATCAACGAGAAGCAAACATGTGATCCAATTGGTTGCTCCTTCAGTGTTTGTTGACTCTGCACCATGGATCTTCAAGTAATGGCCATAAAACTGGCGGCGCTCGACTGTTGAGGTTTGCTGCTTGTTGACACAACACAGCCGTCCACGAAATATGCGACTTTCCGATCCATAAACGGCCGATAGGAAAAACCGGCAATCAACTTCACACGTTTTATACCTAGCTTGGCATTGTGAAGTTGTTGTATATTCGTTGTCGCTTTTCTGTCTTGACAAATAACGTTCACCTACTAACTTGACTTCGAAAGTCAAGTATTCCTTAAACAATTGATGTGGCTAGTAGCCTAAAACAAGTTTTTACGTGATTCTTAATGTTATTATTTCACACTCCCCAATTACAATGACTTGAAGTATGATCAACAAATATTCAAATAATAAACTATCAATCAAAATCAATTTGACTTGAACAGTATTTGCACGAAATCTTTTATGATTCTAAATAAATTATAGTGGGTTAACAACTTAAAAATATAGATTAAAAAGTACACATTGAATCAAAATAGACGATCAACTGGTTAATTAATGCATTTAAAATCACAATTTCATTGTATAAGAACTGTGTTTTCTGCACAGTTGTTGACTGAATTTGTAAAATATTCCATGAATACCTTACTCATAATTTATCTCCGTACATAACATTTTAATCAAAATAATGTACCTAGCAAGGGTATGAGTTAAAAATCGCCTTGTATAAATTAATTTCGCAAAGAAATTCTATTTACATACTAGTAAGTAATCTAATAACGATACAAGATAGGTTATTTTCTTGAAAGCATTCAAGTGCTAAGTCAGTACAAACTATAACACTTACAGTAAATGAGAACGATATCAATAAAAAGTATTTACACTTGAGTTGATATGATAGTACAACCTGTTATTTGATTAAGTAAAGGCTTCACATCCATAAGACCATAATCTGTATATCAATAACAGCAGTCGAATATTAACAGTAAAGTTGCAAGTCTAGACTTGGATTAGGAAAATGTTATGGTACATTCAACTTAAATACCATTACGTATAACGTAAAAGGAACTAGAATACAAACTCTCACTGGATTATAAAGTTCCCAGAATTAATTTTTCAATTTAATAGATTAACACTTGCAGGCTATATACTTCACAAACTGTTACTCTTCAGATATTAACAAACCCGTATCATTAACAAATCATTCCCTAACCCAATACATACCGAGTAAAAAGATAACTCCAATAACTTTCACTAACAGACCAAGATTAATAAGAGAAAAGATTTCACTAGATGAACGGTGAAATATTAATACTAATAATGAATTTCGGTTATTCAGATACGAAGATTAAATAAACCTGTAATCATAAATGTTATTACCTTTTGGAGTGAAGTATTTTCATTAGTACCCGGATAATCTTCGTTTGTATATACTAATGTAGTAGATAATTCAAATGCTTCATTGTTCGACTGTAAAAGCCCTGTAGGATTATCTGCTCCTGACAATAACGCCTCGGCTGAACGAAGACAAAATCCACACAATATAAGACTACCACCTAACACTTCAAGACGAGCAGATGTAACACTGGATAAAGAGGAATAATTGCTCAGAAACCCAGTAAACGATGAATCAATGTTATTCGGACTATTTGAATCTGAAATGTCAAGTTGTTTGGTTCGAGATCGTCGGGTACTAGTTCGTCGGTTGCTTGAAGAAAGAAGACAATCCAGGTGATAGGGGCAAGCACAACCAGAGCAAACAGAAAATGCAGACAGATTGCCGGATGCAGTTGATAGAGTCAAAACATCTGGAGGACCCCTACAATAAAAGTATTCAGACATTTTTGAAATTATAAATATATTAGTATGGAAAATAAGGTTTTTAGGTAGTAAACAAAATAATCAATTAGAATGGCAAATTTGCCAACAACAAAAAAACTATAAGGTAGAGACAGAAATCAGGGTAGCTAGCTTAGAATTCAGTAACTGATAGCTAATTTAAAAGTATCGGCAAGCGGAGTAACAACTAAACAAAAAGTGTCATGTATCACCGATCCAGATCTCAAAGTTAAAAAGAAGATGCTCGAAAAAACCTATTACGTCTAAAATGAAACTTTCATACATTCCAGAAGAAAAGAAAAGCGAGAAAGTACATTATCAAAGTTGAATATTCAAAAAAAGTTGGTTACAAGCATTCCGACTTTCTTTACAAACCACAAATTCCAAGAGAAATACGTCACTTTATAATTATGAATTTCATTATTAATATTATTATTACTATTATCAGAAGAAAATTTCAACCGTTTTATTCTGGGATAAATTCTAGGTATCTTGATTAATTATCATAAACAGACAATGTAACATGATGGACTGATTACATAAGGAAGTATCAACAAAGTCATAATAATGAATATAAAATTCGTAAAATTCAACTAATATAACAATTAAATATGTATTTAAGAAATAGTAACTCATAATTAGTAAATAATTAAATGACAAATCAATAAGACATCTTGTAGATATTTTTCATTTTTATACGACAAGAAGTCCAAATACCTGATTTGGTTTGGGCACCCGAGCAGTATTACAGTCCTTATACTAATCGAATGACGCACTGTGACACATTTATATATGATACCTCCTTATATCAATATTTATATGCTTAAATAAATAATCAAAAAATTAAATAGCTTTCTATATTCACTTCACATAGTGAATTTAATTCAGTCTACACAAAAACATTGAATAAAACTTCTGATTTCCGGTCATTTGTCATGTATAGAACATAATATAGTTGTGAAACATTTTGTTATAATTATCTTCCCATACACATTTACTTTAAATTTCTACTAATAGTGATAACAACAATACTATGATCGTATTCAAAAAATTCTACAAATAAAATCAGTGTAGCTTAAGCAGGACTTTTTTTCATTAGAGTAGTTAGTTGTCTATCATCGATGAACAAGAAGGATCTGATACAAATGTACAGGTCCAGATTGGCAAAGCAAGGGCAGAATCCCTATATTTAAGGAACATATAGAACTCAAAACAACTGTCAGTCAATATCAAAGTCAGAATCTTCAATACAAACGTCCAGACAGATGTATTCTATGGAGCTAAAACACGGAGAACTACCATAATCATCTGTCAGCGAGACATAGATTGGATTAAATCATGCTCAATGCACGCTGATTGGCTGATTCTTATTCAATCCGCGCAAGTCAATACTCGGATAATACTCTAGAAATCTCATGTAAAAACTATAAATATACTAACGTTTTTCTTATTGTGCTTCTTACTTCTATCTAACCTTGTTATTTGGAATATAATATTTTCCCTGTTCAACCGTGTTCTGATTTGGGGACTTGTCGAGTGAATTGTTGTCCGAGAATACTAAGCAATAGGAATAGGTGGGTTGTAATAAGAGAGAATTATAACACCATCATAAAGACATAGGTATTTATAAACGGTTATTTAGGCTAGGTACTCCATATCCATTAGTTAGATACCATTGGCAGCAACCTACTATAGCAGGAAACAAACCAGCTTCCATTTGAACTCAAAATTAGGAAAAGACGTTGGAGGTGGATAGGACATACATTGCTGAAAGCATCAGACTGCATCACAAACCAAGCCCTAACTTACAATCCCCAAGGGAATAAGAAAACCAAGGAACACATTGAGCCAGGAATTGGAAACAGACATGAAAAGAATGAATAGCAGCTGGAAAAGACTGGAAAGGATTCCCGAGGACAGAGTTTGATGGGGAATCATGGTAGGTGGCTTACGCTCCACTACGAGGAGTAACAGACATAAGTAGGTAGTTCAAGTCCCTAAAATAAAACCAGAATAAGGTAACAAAACGAATTAAATTTAGTAATAGTAATAATAATAACACATACCGACATGAAGTACATTTTAGAGCGGGTAAAGGATGTTGCGAGACATAATTAGCAATTGCAGACGACACACCTCTACCACCTAAGGTAGCACGATGAGCTCCACGTTCAAGAGCACGTGCTAATAAATGTAACTGTGCTGTAGAACTAGCCTGTTCAACATTAACACACCATCTTTGCCAACCAGTAGTTCTAAATGATTGGGTCATATTAGAATTAGCTGTTATATTTGAATCATGTACTTCAGATGGTACAGTATTTTCTGAAAATATATTTTCTAAATCAGTTGATTGTTTGTTGATTGACATATTAATAGGTTCACTACGCAAAGTCCTTTCATCGTTCGCTGGAAAAGTTGTAGAGAAAAAATAAGAAATGGTCTTATATAGTTAACGACTTTATTGACAACTGTTTGACGGATGTGACAGTTGTACGCAAACGGTGAATAGAATCAAAAAACGTAATTCACAATAAGTAGAAACTTGGTGATTTTCAAATACCGTACGATATATATTTATTTTTAGAATACATTATCTTATATAACATAGGAAATGACGATGATTTGCAAAATTCTATTTTACTCGGATGAACAGATACATGTTAGACAATGAATCAGATATAAAATTAAAAACTGTTGAGTAGCTCATAACGTTCAGTGAGGAAAGAATAATGTAATGTCCTTTGTTTATATGTGTACGAAAATCCCTAACGTACGTAATTCATGTGACAATAATTCTTTGTTCTATCCTACATGTGATATTACTTGTTCCAATCTTTTCACTCATGTGTATCACATTTAAGCTTCAAATGAGATTATTGTTACTCGTTTTTGCCTATAACTTTGATTTTTCAACCGTATTTCAGTTATCACATGTTTCACTAACTAACTAGTATTTTTTCAGTCAAAATGGTATCTTGGCAATTTTTTATATTTATTTCCCGTGTTTGGATGTCTATGTTTGAGTTGATTAATTTGCTAGATCATTTGTGAACAGAATCACAATCTCTATATGTCAGAAATTCTTCTTCTCTTTGATAAACAATTGATTGTGTTCTTTAAAAATTTATTCATTTGGTGAATTACAGATTAAATTTTACAACTTCTATACAAATTAATGGTTTTATAGCATAGAATTGGAAGTGATCAGGGTATTTTGTATATTTAAACTTGTATTTAAGATTAAACAGTACCGTAAATACCAGCAAACAATTGTTCAAACAAAAACCCGACTTGAAAAGCTTAGACGTTAATAAAATTTTACTATGTATTTGTATCCTAATAGGCTAAAAAGAAACTATGACATAGCCTGGAAAAAAGTTTCAATTTATCCTGTTCAGTACGGAAATAGTAGAGAATTGAAAAACTTTTCAGAAAGGAATGTAAAAACACATTAAATGCGTGTATTGTGTAACGTTATACGGCGATAAAACCACAAGAAATTTATTGACCAAGTAATAAATGCTAAAACAAACTATCAATATACTGTCAAAGAAAAATATATCTACGCCATAAATAAAACATTTTAAGGATAAATATGTATTTCAGTGCACTAAATAGCTCACCCAGTGGTCCAGCAACTCCTTTTGGACTAACATCATGGCCCAGTGATAAAATTATTTGTGAAAGACGCTTTACATCCGGATTAACAGGACTACAATTTAGTGGAGTTTTTAGAGCCTCAGAAAGTTTCATAGAACTGTCAGTACAATTTTCAACTGACACAGAGACAGTCTCATCATTTTCCACTTCATTGGAACCCCTATAATGTTGAAAATACAAAGTTTTTAAAAGCGGCGTCAAACAAAAGAATGAATGCATTCTAGGCGCAGATTACTGGCGGACAGGTTTGATACACGGAAAGAAACAGACGGTATAAAATACAATAATGAATTTCTCTAAGAATTCGCTTCAAGAATATGATGATTAGGAGTATACTGAAATATGGATATCACACTAGGAAGACATTGGTATTCTAAATACGGTCCTATAACTGAGTAATTAAAACACCTGTAGTTTCCAAAGATACATTTGATGAATACTACGTGAGTTTAAGTGAAATTTCGCTGTCACCCTTGGTTCGTCCATCTAAATATAATTATTAGGTCTTTAACAAAATAAGTTGTTCGAATTCAATCAATTAGACAGGTATTCGGCAAGTGAGTTGCATTAAGAACAATTTCGATAAGCTTCCAACAAACAACTAAAAAGCCATCATATGAATTTCTTTCAAAAAAGCATTTCCACTAAATTCTAAATTACTTCTTTATTGATCCCATCAATTATTTCACGACATATCGCTTACTTTCTCAGACTAACTAGCGACATATTTTTCAGGATGAAACACAATGAACTACTAGGTGGGGAAAATGGACAATTATAGAAGTGAAACTTTACCGCTAAGATTTAAACTACTTACACATATATGAGTAGTACGTATACTAATATCTAAAATATCACCAAAAATCAAGTGCTATGAATCTCGACAATTTGAAAAAGCAATTGTGGTAAACTTACTTATTTTGAAGAGATTCTTTAAGATCTTGTTTACATAGTTCGGTTTCAGTGTTTGATGAATTTTCCGTGAGACTACCGCTTTTATTGAACAAAAGACGCTTAATCAAATCCAAACGACCAAGACGATATCCTATACCAACAAGAGCGATTTCCAACCACGAACACATGACTGCATGAGTTGATTTACCACCTGAATAATTATATTTCCCCGGAGTGGTAGCAACATGTTCGAGTGATCCAGATGCAATTTGAGTACTAATTGCTGTCTAGGGGTTAAGAAACTGTGTCAAGCTGGTGTATAATTTCTTAATTTAATTAAGGAAAACGTTAATTAGATAAATGACAAATAAATGCATCAGGTTATTTCTTCCTAGTGTTTCCTAATATGGTCTTCAAACTCATTGATAGAAATTTCTTTTATTAAAATGATCAATAATCTATGCTTCAATAAGAGTTACTTTAGCTATTTATAGCCTAAGTAGTAGATAACGTACAAAGTGAACGCCTGAGTTGGCGAACACAGAACACAAAACAATTACGGTTTTCCCATATTCAGACTCTATATGTTAACTGTAAGTCAAAATCTATCAGTAATTTTTAGAAACTATCGAAGTAAAAAACAGCGAACAACTGCGCCATCGTGATTCAAACCAAATTACGCGTTTTGTGAATGAATGCAGTGAGTAGGAAACCCTGGTATATGTTTATTACCTGGAATATCAATAACTTTGACAGGAATTACGCTCTTAAAAATTGTTATAAAATTCCAACTAAATAATGAGATTATAATCTGTCAGTGAAAAAGCATTCGGGATGAAAAGAATCTTATTGTTACTGTAAGCAGCATGGTGTTACCTGGATTTTTAACAAAGAACTTTCATACATAAACTTCTTCGAACAATGTGATCACGTTAAATTTTGAAAAATGTGGAAAATATTTATAAACGAAGTTAGTAACCACAAAGAGTCCAAAAAGATCTTTAGTCTTAGAGTGAATTACTCAATGCAGACATTGTTAAACTAGTTCATCGACTGGTTGGTTAAAGACGACAAAGGGTACATAATAGAACAATTTATAAATACAAAACTGACCTTGTCAACTACTGTTGAACAGTTATCGTTCGTTGCACAAATTATTTCCGGTGGACACATGGTAAGTACTTTAATAAGTAAAGGCCGCAACTGACCAATCGTTTTACGAAGACGAGACTCACGGATACCGCGAGGGTTTAATGAAGCTTCTAGACAATCAATAGTCCATTTGGCTTGTTCAACCATTAAATCAAGTTCATCATTTGTCAAAGACCAATTTTTGTTATCGTCAGAAACATCTGTCTTATATTTCGATTCATTATCATCACTAGAATTGTTATTGACGTTATTATAACACTCTTCAAATTTTACAGGGGTATCAGAACAATCACGTATGGAAGATGTAACAACTTCTGTGTTTGAATCAGAAACGATAGTATGATTATTTGAATCAAGCATCTTTTTTTGGTACAATTCCCTGTACTTATCGGGTATGAGAATCGACCAGACAGTTGTGGACAGAGATGACTTCCCTGGATAACATCGTAGCTTAGCTAATTGTTTAACTGCAGGACAGGCATTATGTAAAGAAGAGTCATGGACACTGACACGTTCCTACAGTAAAAAATGGAGAGAAAAAATTAAATTGAATTTTTTTATACACAAGCACACAAAAATTTAGAAATACTTAGAATAAAACTTTCTTATTTAGAAGTTCAATTTGAATCTTTTCAGTTCTAGAAGGATCTTATGGCCTGATCATTATCTATGGCTAGCATGAGTTAATTACATAGGCATGTTTGAAGTATGATAAATGAGAGCATTTAGTTAAACTTACCGGTTTAACAAGAGTTCGCAGTTGTTCGACTGATAAACCTCCTGATAATGATGATGACGACGATGATGATGACGATAAAGACTGATGCGGTAGATAAGCGGCAACACGAAATGTTATTTCTTCTCTATCTAATAATTCATTATCCTTAATAGAATTGATTATTTCCCGTAAATGTCTACCAGCCTCCTCAGAGCTACTAAGACCCATTTGTTTAGCAAGTTCAGGATACGTATATACAACTTGACGATTTCGAATTGTAACATGAGTATAATAAGGATTTTTATCAACACATGGGCAATCCTCAATCAGTATGCATGGAACAGACATTACTAGCCAATATTGTCTGTAATGTAAAATAAATTCATTGAATATAAGCACAAATATGTACAATAAAGTAAGCATATAAAATTTAGAAATTTGCTAACTTTTTAGAATGAAATAATTATGAAAAACGAAGATCATTTCAACGATTCACAATGGTTAGAATGTAATGAAAATTTTTTTAGAAAAACATAAATAAAGATATGTATAATTACTACTACTCAAATACTCCTATAACAACTCATTGGTTTCAATCAGTAAAGTTTTGATTTAGAAATAGGTTTCACTATTAAGGTCACTTTATTGAATTTAACTTTAGTAACTGTTTTCTTTAAGTGTGAGTGGCAATGGTATGTGACAATTTAATAGTCAAGTATTATAACTTAACTAGTACAAAGGAAAAAAATAACAGTTGATCGATTGGTATAGCTATATAAATGTAGGCATCAATAATTGATAACTGGTGTTTGGTTAAATGGTTTGAGGAGAACAGTTATATTCGAAGATGGGTTTTTCTACATATTGATATAAATGCCTCCTAATTTTCAATAGTACTTCAGCTGATATTAAACTCTTACGAAAACTAACATCAAACTGATACTTGATTGGATTTCCCATCTCGCAGCCCGTGGTCATTTAAAGGAAATATTTAAACAGATATCTTTTGGATTATATCTGCATCTTCCAGAGTACGGGATCTTGCACCATGTCTGTTTTCTATATAGTCTGAAGTGATATGTTCAACAAAGCCAGTTATTGGTTTTTATATGATCCAGTATTCGTTAGTAAGTAGTAACTGAATTTTGTGAGCCTGTCAGTATGGAGAAGCCACCTAAATCTCGCGTACACCGATGGCAACAGTCAATAATTATCGTGTACTAGGCTATGTACCATGCATCGTTTGGAGACTAACAAATTTACTAACCAAAGTAGAATACGAAATTATAATCTCCAGGTAAAATGTCGTGTCCCAGTTAATGAGTAATATATCCAAACAACCGAGGAAATGAATCTAAAGGTAGTTTTGCTGACTATACATTATCCCTAAATTTCGAGACAGAAAACTTCATACAACACCATGTAAAGACTTGATGTGTATCCGTCTATCGGAATGTATCAACATAGAATACCAACTTGCACTTTATATTTATTTAACTTCATGAGCGATTCATAACCTACAAATTCTTGCAATAATTTGACAGACACAAAAAACTAATTTAATCTTATAAATAGAAGTAAAAAGTGATTGTTCGAAAAATCGGATTATTTTTTGTTAAAAGCTCTGAATCTGATTTCGAAGATTGTCAATCCCTTAGAGTTCGTTTCTAGTTTATAGATAAACACGACAAAATCAGTAACTTACCGATAAAATCTGTCTTGACCAAGAGGTATCATTGAGCAACCACGCGAAACCTGAGTAATAGAGTCTAGTAACTTTTGTTCCTCTAATAATGAATCTGTCAATTTTTCATATATATTAGCTGTAGATGAGGAAGAGATACAAGAAGTTGTTGTTCCAGTATCTGAATTGGGTCGATGTTCCTTTCGATTGATTAACGTATAATCCTCACTGCAGAAAAATTATCAAAAATATATAAAGATACTTCAGTGTGTTGTTCACAGAAATCAAACGTGAAACTTAAAAATTCGTCAAATCAATAAATTCAATGACATGTCCTTCAAGATTATGAGTGTGCATTTTCTTAGGTTATTCATAGCCAATCCACTAACCCACTTGTATGTCGTGTAAAAACTGATGACAGCAAGCACAAAAATAACTTGAAGTTAACTAAGGTTAGATAAAAAACACATGGTGTGAAATTCGTTGTAATAATCCACAGAATAGAACACATACAATCATAGTAAGTTATGTATAACTTCAAATCAAAAGAATTACTAATTAAAGCTAGTAAGTATTTAAAATCAAGGAATTGAGATATTTTGTTACTAAATGACTCATGAAAATTATTTACTCTGACAAAAATTTCTCCAACGGAGCGACTGTCGAATCTAGTTGCGTATTTTTGCGGCTTAGTGTACGACCAGAACCCACTGGACGACCTCTTCCTCTGCCCAAGCGTCCTTTAAGACCAACAGGAGCGAAATGAACACGGCCATCATTTGTGGAGTTCATTTTCTTCATATGTGTCAAAACATCTTGTTCTTCCTCAATTCCAGTACCACAGTTAATCAATACAGTTCTATCAGCTTGTATAGTGCGCAACTGATTGCGTAACAAACGCACACGTTCGTAATTATCTTCCATACGTTCTCGAATCTGAGGTTGAAGCAAGAGCTCATCCATCAAAGTAGTAAGCAAGATCAACTTTTCATGTGGAGTTAGTTCATAAACCGACACTAGAATGAAAAATAGTTTAAGATCAAAATTTAGACATCTATGTAAGAGACATGAAATAAAGAAATTAAAAACAGCGAATAAAGCTTGAATGGAAGTAAAATTAATGGACAATGAAAAATGAAGTTGTAGAACAGATTCTACTTGCTGACAGATCATATTGATCAAGAGACGTATGATCAAAGAGACAAATATTGGGTTAATACTGAATACGAAATTAAACAAACAGTAGTAATTGCTGCAAACTATCAACAATGTACCCTATAATTAACTAAGAATGCAGATAAGTAGTAAACTTCATCTGACAATAATATTCTTGGAGTTTTACTTTACACCTTTAGTTTAATCACAACAAGGAAAAACAATAACTAGGAATTTTTTTAATTAGTTAGAAAGACAAATGTGTCCAAATATGAATTCACAAAAGTGAACTAAAAATATTTTATGTCGCTCTTCCAAAAGTGTTATTTTTAGACTATTTGAAATGACGTAACTATTGTAGAACATAATAACAAATTTACAAATAGGTGAGTCGACATTATATTAAGCCAATATGATTAATATGAGGTTTATTGAGCACTTCGTTAATTTATTATAAATTCTATCTGTTTAAGTAAACATTTTCAAATATTTGCATTTACGCTTAAAAGCAATTAATGACATGTGGATTGATTAAATGATTATTTCAAACAACTAATTGTATCAACTGTTCGTCGGTGATCTTCATACACACATACACATATTCAGAACAGATTTTACGATAAATCAGGGGAAAGTAATCAAAGAAATGCTGTGAATCCCTGAAAATCCTAGTTAGAACCTTGACTATTTGGACTGTATGAGCGAAGTATCTAATGAGACACTTGCGAGAATAAACTTAATTTACTCGGATACTAATTAAGTGAGAACTTGAAGCTATTTAGCACCAAATAAAAAGACCGACATACGATACAGAAAACCACATTTCACAGTAAATCCAAGTGAGACCAATTAAAAGAGATGCGAAATGATGCGACGTATTACCTATTCCGCGTTGCAAACTATCTACATTATGTGACAATGAACTAGCCTACTTAAAGTAAAGCAGACCCGGTCAGATTTATTTAAACTCGTAGCATAAATTTTATACCCGAATCGTTATTTCGATAGTCGGCTACCGATGGCATGAGTTAAACTGTTCCTTTTGCACTTAATGGAACATTAAACTTAAGAATTGTAATATAATTATATTAGCCGAGAGAATATCCACTTCCATATTACTTTCCAGGGGCTGCACAAATCTATACTATAATCATTTACAAAAAATCAACTTATGAAAATTGACTGTACAAGAAACGTTACGCAAACGTTTCCAAGAATGGTACAACTAAAAGTTATGAGTATATATAATTTAGTATTATTAAACTAGAGACAATAATCATGGAAACAAACGTTATCCACCTTTTTTAAGCTTTTCAACTAAAGCTGAATTGTTTCTGGCCAGCATAACGGAAGGGTCATCCAGAAGTCGAGTACCTCCCCAAATCTGACCACGCCAGCCCCCACCTTTTGCAGCTGCACTAGTTATGTGTAACCAAAGTGCTTCAGAAAGACCAGCACGATCCAATGGTGGTAAAGATGTAGCCCCAGCAATGACTGCCGTTGTTGCAGCACGTGTAACAGAACTTCGGTTAATTGCATTTGGAAATACTGAAGATGAAATCCCTGATGAATCCTCTTTTACAACAGTTCCACCTGTTGTGTTCAACGCAACAGAAGCAGCCACAGCAGCTTTACCGGCAGCAATGGTGGCTGCTTGGGTTGGTATACCAATAAGTTCACATAAACGAGTTGAAGCTCCAGCATCCCGTAGCACACGGAAGACAGCACTGTCTTCAGGACCGACTGCATCCTCATCATAAAGTGGATTATTATCAATTCCAATTCCAGAAACATGGGAGACTTGTGTATTCACAGAAAAACCAGCTTCAGCGGCAGCAACAGCCGACGCTGCAGCAATTGTTGCGGCCGAAGCATTTGGAGTTGGTTGACGAGAATTGGCGTCCAGCTGGATAATAAAAGCAGTTAAAATCTCATTTGCGTGAGATTAGTCATCTAAATGCAAACTTTAAAGGTTTAAAATCCATCAAAAACTATTACACTCTATAATCTTACCATGATCAATATCCATTCGCATTTTATTTAGCTACTATAGCATTTTTAAGGTTACAAGCAACTATAAACTAGTGTGCATGTTTACAAACTGACCAGTGAATGAAATATTTAAGAATTAAACAGAGACGAATATAAAGTTATTCCACTACAAATCAAGAAACGCAGATTATTTCCAGGCTAAATTTGTCAATCTCCTGGTTGGTACGAGACATTGAGATCAAGGTACTACCCTTTATTAAATGCAAACAAGAATAATTGGAGTTTGGTTTATCAAACTATCAGAAAATGTACAGTAGCTTTAGTTACTCGGACACATTTTAGGTATAACTCAGTGACGTACATGCCTACATCAATACACGTTTCCTAATTCTTGAAATGCAGGAGATGAGGAAACCATCAGAAAACTTGATACCGTAAAACAATAAATCTTTGTTCTAAGTTACCATCCTAGCTTAAAAGCACTCGAAATTATGTGACTTGAAGATGACTTACAGCCAAATATGACTCAGAAACGAAACTCATAAGAATAGTATTGTAACCTTACTCCATTTCTCGATAAACAGTATGTTGAAGAAGAATAAATTTTTGATATAATAAACAGTATAATGTTATTTTATTTTATTAAGTCATATTACTTTGTAAAGTTATAAGTAATAGGAAATAAACAAGCGTTAGTAATATGGATTAAGAGTGAACTTACTTCTAACCTACGTATAGTAGACAGCATACTTATAAAGAAATCGGCTAAAGGACCACACGGATCTGATTCCAAAAGGCTACTTTCCAAAGTAGATAATGTAAGTGAAGGAGTAGAACGGGATAAATTCGTACCGATCACTTCTGTACATTTACCTATTTGTGGGATAACAAGTCCAATGTGTGGACCAAATACATGAAGAAACTCTAGTAACTGTAGAGCTGAGCCAATATCATCCGGAGGAAGTGAAGAAGGAAACTAAAATGATAACAGTGCGATAAGAATATAAGAAAACAGTGGCAAGAGAAGCAAGTTCTGTTTACAAACAAAATGCGAAATAATATGAGTGAAATAGGTAAATATCAATTCCACCTGATTGAAATAAGTATAATACTTACAAAAAGTACGAATAGTTTACCTTAGTGAATTCTGGTAATGGCACTAAATCTGATAATTCCAAATCATCACGACGACGCACCATACTCCACTCCTTTTCTAATTCAGTTTTTTCAACTTTTAAAGAACGTGAAATATCAAAAACTGGTTGCGGTAATGACTGATCTAAGAGAAATGTAATATAAATATGAACATATTAGTAAATTTATACATATAATCTTATCACTTTCCTTATCGAAAAGCGGATATGTTGACTGCTATTAAGTCAGTGGCTTAATCGTTAACGTAATCGATTTTCAATTACAGTTCCCTTTTAACTCGATTTGGGCAGCCAGGCGGTAGTAGTGTAAAGAACAAGAACTCAGATGGAAACAACCGATTTACTAATACAAAATCACAGATCATCTTCATAAAATACGAGAACCAAACACTAAATACTTCATTTGCGAATTATCCATCAACTGCCCTTCACATTTTGTATGGTTCTTGCACTTCACAGTTCCTTTCTATTTCCCTTTTTGTTTACGTTTATTCGATATTCTTAGCCCTCGGTTGCCAGGCATTCCACTTCTGACTGATGTTACATACTACTGACGTCTATCGACATAAGTAGCATACACCACAGCAGTACTATTCGCCCTCATACAAAGTGTAGCTTAAACGCCAATACATGAATATGTAGTTGGCGAATGAGTTGCATTATTAAAATACTAATTAATAATGTGAATATACTTATTTCAGAAAAATGACTACCCAACTAAGAAACTCACAAAAATTATGTAAAGATATGTTAGTGTGATGACAAAAGAGCAATTACTTGTAGTGATTTTGGACACGCTACTCAATGTTATCTAATCTAACTAACGAAACCAATAATTCTTTGTAGCTAACTCAGAACGACATAACAACACAAGCTTCACAACCGAACTTAAATACAAAATATCTCATGAAACCAATGAATGAAGATAAGATGTTGTTTAAGGTATCACCACAATAATGGCAATATGGTTAGTTACATAACTAGTAACTACTGGAAAATAACTAATAGAACTGATTATCCTTTCCATTTTGTGAAAATACTAGAATGAAATGAAAACAAACTTTATTGAATGCGAAGAACAAAAAGTTTAAAAAGTTAATATAAAACTGTCCATCGACTGAAAGCTTGAGAATGAGACATATATTATAAATTTGGATATGGATTAGTATTGGTAAACATCATTAAATGCTTTAAGTAAAACACTCACTATAGGGACCATTCATTGCATGTGTACCACCCATTAGTGTATGTGTCTGTTGATAAAGAACTTTTTGCGACTGAAAACCGAGGGGTTCAAAATACTGTACACGGGTTGTTCCTCCTGATGAAGCCATATTATGATTAATGGCAATGGAACATGGAACGTTTGGAGAAGGTTTAGTTTGACCTCGACTGGTCCATTCATCCGTATAAGTATCGATAACTTTAAAACCTTGGCATATAGGGCGACTGGATTCCTTCGTTAGATTGCTCACAGTTCGAATTATTGAGGCTACAAGAAAAGACAAATACCATATCAATGCTTCGAGAGCTAATAAGAAAAGTGTATTGATAGTTGAGAACACAGTTTAAATTTCATGTGATAAGAAAGCATCATTTGAATTATTTAAGATCTCAACGAAAAAGAGTGGATAGAAAAATGTCATAATAGAAACTTTTGGCTTCGTACATTCGTTAACAAAATAAGATATTCGCTTTTACTGTTGTATCACACTTTAGCTATGATGCACAAAAATCATAGATTTTACAAAACAAAAGGGTATCTGCTTCAACTGATAGTGACAAAAGTAAAAAGAAAAATCACTAATAAACAATTCACTGACACAGATTTTAAAACTAGAAATACATTGCGATTCATATTGTGGAGCAACACATAATTCATGTCTTGAGTTCTGAAGATGCATTCATATTTAAATATTCCATTACCTTTGGATTGTATAAGATCATAGATAAACGGAACCCATAACTTGCAACAAAAATACTCAGAATATTTGTCTCCTTTTAATAAGTCGCGTATCTTTTTAGAATTCATATAGTATGATTAAAACATTGTAACTATTCAATAATATCCTCAACATAATCAACTATTTGGTTCTTTTCGTTAGACTTTACACATTTAACTGGCTTAGAAATAATAGTAAGTTATTAATCAGTTTCCCACAAAAATCAGAGATGATTTGTCTATCACAAAGCATGTAATATGACAAATTCAATAGAAACATTTTGCAGCTAACGAATTTAAATCACCTGTACTACAAGATTAAAAAAATATGAGTAGTGCGGAACAGAAAAAAAGATTATTTAAACAACGAATAACTAAAGTATGTTTTATGAAATTGCTGTGGAAAGTCCAATAGTCCAAATATACACTTAATGAAATCCTAGAAGATTCAAGGAAATATCTAGAACAATAACATTTGAGCACGTCTGATGAATAACAGACGGAATTCAGTACAAAAAAGGATCTACTTAAAGCTATTTATCCGTCCTCTAACAGTTATATCGCCAAAGATACTCTAAACTGTATGCAAAATTAGACATCGAAGTATCTGATGGTCATTATGTTTACATGAACCTTAAACTCTCTGCTGACCAAAAATTAAATGAAAAGTAATATAAATATTTGTAAGCCCGGAACTTAATAGTACCAATGATTTGAGAAAAGTAAACGCAAAAATGACTAAAGGATTATAATCTCTTTTCTGAAAAACCATATTACAGATACAAAACTGGATCACAAACAACCCTGAATGTTAATTAACCTTCTAAAATTAATTCATCGGTATCCTAAATATTGAGTGAATAAGTTGATTTGTAATTATTGCAATAACAAAAGCTGGTTTGAAAAATATTCTTTAAGATACTCTTTCGGCTAATCCGCCAAATAGCATCATCGTGAAAAGTAATCGATAAACCAACTATATACTATTAACGCAGTACATAAAAAAACTACCTTAAAACTCACATGGAGGAGCAGGCGTCAGTTCAGACCAACAAGGTTCTGGTGGCAGAAATAGTTTAGCCCATGTCACAGGTCCATACGGATGTAACTTATAACGTTGCAAAATCGAAACCTAAGTATTCAAAAGTAGTATTGTGAAACAAGTGTAATTACATAATCACCAGTTAATCTGTTTCGATAAAAGCGATATAGTCATACCATTTGAAACTGAGAACTAAGGAACTACTAGAAGTACATGATTCGAAGTTTTAAAGTAAACGAATAATACTGCTCGCACCACTATTATAGGACAATAAAAATATTTGAAAATAGGCTTGTATATGCTTATTGATGGTGCATCAAGAGAAGTATTCTTGTCTATTCTAAAGTGGACTTTGTCTATCCTAAACACTTCCAAACACCTCATTCAGTTCCCTAACCATTATTATTATTATTATTATTATTATTATTATTATTATTATTATTATTTGAACATAAATACTGGTACAAGGGGGCACCAGAAACATGCGCCACACAAATCTCATTTGATTTGTGTAAGGACTGGGATACTCCCCAAGTGACCAAACATAAAGGTCTTATCCACAAGGCACTGGAACAATATAAGGAGATGCAGTCCCATAGTAGCCGGTGACCAACGATTGGTTTATACGACATTTGTTTCCTCAGGATTCTGAAGCCTGTGTGCACCATTGGTTTGGAATCAGGGTTTTACAACTCCCCTAGGTGGACTCTCCGTGTCAACTAATGCGGTTAAAGCGCCGGATATTCGCTTTTCGTCCTCTCAATTCCGTAAACAACCCCCCCGCCACGGGAAGGCAGTGAGTAGGACTTCCATGGCAGATGCTATATACACGTGGCCATGTGAGAGCATTTCGAGAGGGAGTGGACTCTCCTCACTCTCGGCCGTACCGGGGCATTCGGAGGCACCCTAACCATAAGCTCACTACCATCTCTAAAAAGATGTCATTTGCACCTAGTAACTAGTGGCATTCCATAAGTTATAGTTTCTTACAGACCTTACTGTATGAAGGGAGTAAGACTTCCCCTGTCAGATGCTAAAAACGAATGGTTGTATGGAAAGATTTCGAGAAAGAAACCTGACTCTCCCGATCCTTCGTGCCAGTACATCTAGAGGCCTAATAACTAACATTGATTATTAGGTTATAAGTAATTTTATATCACATGAAACAATCAGTTGTATTGCCATCGTGATAATTAAATGAAGTACTAGACTCACGTTTTTTTGAAAAAAAATAAGTAACAGGATTAGCTTGACAGAGGCTCACAATGATTTTCACAAAGCACTAGTAAGTGAGCAGCCCTATACGATCAGTTTCTAGTTTGTACAAGGTGGAAGTGACTGACCAGTTAAGTCTCGAAATGCAACTGACGATTTCAACAAACTTTCAGTAATTTCCTTTTATTAGATCCCGTGAATATAGATATTTCTCCTAGCATAAAGAATTTGCTATCATAAGTGTGTATCATATAAATTGGAAATGTTAAAATGAAAATGGTAAATTCATGTCAGCTACCAAGAACCGTAACAGTAGTACTCAAGACTATATAAGGCTCACAAACATGGATTATATTTTTTGTACATCACAAGATTAATACATGATTAAATGTGATACTATCGCTCATCAACAAACTGAAACTTTAACTCAATTGTGAACTTATAAACACTGAATTTACCATATTCCACCCATTATATAACAGTTCCAAACACGTTTAAAGGTGTGAAAACTTGTCTTGTAAAACACGAAACGGAATAAATGGCCGTGACTGTAATCTATGAACGACCTTCACAGGACACTAAAGCGGTTTGAAGAATTCCGACAGCTAGGGCTATGAATTAGTACGAATCAAGATTTAGGGCTAAAGTTAAGGGTAAGGGTTGGGAATCGGAGTAAGTTTCCATCAAGAACTGATATCACCTAGTGTCAGAATGCTATTTAACTATATCGGTACATGAATTTCGCGCGAAAATTTAACGGCCGCTTTGTTAAGTGTGGTTGACTCGTCCATAAATTATAGTTCTGCAAACAATTAAATAGGATAGTATATGGTTTCGGTGATATCCAAAATATCAAGGTAGAATAGTGACAATTATTGAATAAACAGTAATAAAGATAAAAGAATCCCTAAAATGCTTCCAGAGAGACCAAAAATAACAGTAAATAAAACAGAGCTTTTAAAGTTTGAATCGTTCAGTTAGATAGTAAACCTTATTGCAAGACATAAGCATAAAAATGTAAAACATGAAATTATGGAAAACTTAAAGGATAACAGTGAATATCTTTATGACAGCCATTCTTATTTGGTGAAATACTAATCAAAATATTAACATAAAGTAAATTAACTGCCCCAAGATTTTAGGTGAAAGAACAGGAAGCTTCTGCATGACCACACTCGGTGCCCCACCAGTCACCCCTCTTATTTTGTAAGAATTTTTTCGTAGAATCGCAATCTATCTATTAATCGTAACGAATTGATCCGGTAAGTCAAACAACAGTAGTGATTATATAAAAAACGAAACACGGCATCTATAAAAATAATTGGAACTACCAGCACCTGAAACTTACAACAGAATAAATCAGCAGAGATTTAAAAACTCACTTTGGGTGTGAAAACACCGTTTCTTAATTCGCACGTGTGGCGAATGAAGAACTTAATGTGATCCCTAGCCAGTACGTTACGACTGCGACGATTAATAATAGATCCAGGTACCAAAACACTTGAGGCGATACGGTTTACATTATCAGACTTTTTATGCTCCCTTACACAGTAATGAAGTTTCAATGCATCAGGAAAGGCAGGCTTTTGAACATTTGGATCCATCGATAATCCACTCTGTTAGAAAAAGCAGATATGTAAGCAGTAAAGATATATTTATTACAAATAGATGAATACAATTATTCATGACTAAGCGTGCATTACCATAGAAAATGCAAGAGACAAAATGATGAAAATTATTACTAAATATAGTCTTTTCAGTTGAGATTCAAAGGTTGAGGAATTACGAGTTTTTCTTAAATATAAGAATTAATATCAGAGTAGAATATCACATTTTCCATACGGATTAGTGTCATTAGATAAGATTAGTGATATCAATAAAGTAAGGGGTATAAAAGGACACAGGACTTCTGTTGATTATATGCTATTCATCCACCATGTAGATTTATCTAGTGTAACAATCTTCTACTTATAAGCTGACCTGATAAAATGATAGTACTTTTCCGTCATATTAGCAGTTAAATGATGTCCCTTTATCTCAACGGATCATTGACATTCTTCTAAAGTCTTGTCATTTTTAACGTATTTATAAACTGTTATCATTATTTTAGTGCATACCCATTTGTGAAGGAATAACTAAGTAGAATTCCTGTTCTAACGGTATTATTTCACTTGCAGGAAATCTTCTAGTTGGGCCATCAACTTACCTTATTTAGTTTACTTTAACCAACCTGAAACTATGTTGTATATTCCGTGGATTTCCTCGAAGAAATAGTCACTACTAAAGGTATGTTTTCATCACCTTAAATATATTCATATCTATTGCACTGTATTTATATTTGAAATGTGTCATAGTTAAATTCAACCTTAATTTGGTATATTTGAGTCTAATGACCTTTGACTGCCAATTTTACTTGACTTCGATATCAATGAATGTATTTTCTAACACTCAAAAAACAGTTTGACTTAGTACCAAAATGTGAACTTACTTAACTGATGACCATATCTACCTTATGGTCTAAACATCAGCAAGAAGAGAATTATTTAGAGCCACAACTAATTAGTCAAAATTTTAATATCTAAACGGCTGTCACGTATATTACAAAAAAACTTCACCATTTACATAGACAATAAAAATTCTAAGCTGGATCGGAAACGATACTCAGTCACGATATTTCGATCTTGAATTTAAGCATTCTTCAGTCTTACGTGAAAAATTAGGCTTTAAGAAAGTAAGGAAATATTAAGAACTGTACAACTTAATAACCCACAGAAAGAATGTGAAACTATGAAACATATGGGCAAACGTTTGCAAAGCAGACTAAATACCAATTATAGTCAGCTTTCATTTCACTATGAAAGTATCGAATACGTAAAGACCATAAAGTTATCCCTTTTTAAAAGATTACTTACATGCTCAAACTGGCTTTTTCTCTGTGACACGACCACACGATCAATAATACCAAGAGACCGAACACTAAAAAAATTAAAATATCACATTTACTAGCTTTAAATATGATTAATTTTGTACAGAAGATAAACATTCATGTATATAATACTATAGTTGATGAGCCTGGCGGACAAATGAAGTGAAAATCGAAAGGATTCCGAACGCAAAATGGCATAATATATGACAAAATCTTGTATAATAACTAATCTTGGGCTGAATTAATTAACGTAACATATCAAGTGAAGGTTAATGAACGAGGAGCCTAGGCCTCTAAAACCGAAAACTGGTTAACATCGGCGTCATGTTATTGTAGGCCATGTATTTAGCTTTTTACAAGTTCAATCTATCTGCAGTAAAACCTGAGTGGAAGTATGACATGAACCACAAAATTCTAATGTATTAATTGAGAAAACTTGTCAATAGAACACGAATAAGGACCCAGTCCTTTTGCTGTTGGATCTGCAACGGATGGTCTACTTATTTCAATATTTATAGTATGTATATGAGAGAATGAAACACTATTGAAGTCGTTTTCTTGAATTACGAATCTCTAGCATCTAAGGAACATCTTGATGCATGTTATATTGGGCATGTGGTCAAACATGATTATGGAGTCGTTCGGTCTACCTTTAAAGTTTACGAATCACTTCTGATACATCCAAAAATCCTAAGAAAAATATTGGACATATTACGAAGTATCCAGAGACACCATAAAACTTACTTCGAATCTGCAGTCTGAAATTCAATCTCTTCACCAACGAAAAATCGACTACTTGCAAATCCACATATTAGTTCAACAAGTTCTGGGAGCCTTCGTTTCCGTGCACCTCCAATAATATACAGCAATGCAGAAGCCAGAGCATTATCAAAGGCGTTCAATTGCCGATAGTCTCCACGCTCACATGCCAGTGCTTCTTTGTAAGTGGAAGGTCCTCTATTACACACTGAACAAGTCCATGTTAGACTATTTACAAGAATTGTACGTTCGAAATAGTCACTGAAAAGTCAGAAATTTCAAACATAGACTAATAAACCTAAATAGCAGTCATAATCACTGCATAAAGATCATGACCAATGTAAACAAACAGTAACCAATAACTAATATTACTACTATAAATTTGCAAATCTATATTCATCCAAAATAAATAAGGTTTACATATCAAATCATAGGTGTAATAGAATATCATACCATGAGAAAACGGCGAAATTAAAAATCAGAAGTAATTCCACGAAAATCAAAAGCCAAAGCGGTAAATTCTAACAATGACAACTAAAAAGGTGATATGTTCTCTGAGTTAGGTGGCTAAATTATGAAAATTTCATTGTCTTTCAGAGCGACTAGTCTATCAAGTCCAAAGAACAAGACACTAGAAACCTCCTCCAGAGAGGTGGTTTAACAGTTAAACGGGCCTAGTTTTTATCCAACAGGTTACAGGCCCGAGCTCCGCTCCTACTTCAGTATAGGCATCCGTTTAAAATAACCAGCACTCACAGAAGTGGTTCAAAGCGAAGTACACAAACCTATACTTGGTGAGTGTCGTATAATTATTAATAAGCCACCTGTTTAAAAGCAGTATAAAGGCATTGATGATAGGATAAATCATTATTATATTATTTTTAATGAAACTTTCACCGAGCATAAGCTCATTTACTTGAATTCGAGATATCGTATGCTGTCAATAAGATAACCAGGAGTATGTGAGCCACTACAGAAAGCCGAAAACACCCAAACCAACCTATGAACAGGCTGATCAGAAAACAACCTCAGAGTTCATAGTATCCTGTTAGTAAACCTGATAGTAAATTAGTACCTTTTATACACCATTCTAGGACTACTTCAGTGCTTCCAAGAACTTCTAAATGACACTATCTCGACGTACATGGTAAGTGTGGTGATATTTGAGCTAGCAATCTAGTAGTTCACGAACTGCCTGATGGAGTCATAATGAGTAACAGACAGCTTTTTGTGGATGAGTTGTAAAGCATTACCTGACATTGAATTGCAAGAGGCTCGTTACAATTCACCCACCCACGTTGAATTCTAAATAGTAACCGTAATCACATCCTCTGACATATGACGTAATCCATATTTAAAAGGAAAGTGAGTCGAATTGTAGTGAAATCCTTCGTGTTTAGTAACTCAATTAACCTCGGAAATACATCTGAGATACTTCGAATGTCAAACAAATAAAGTCACACACGCGAAATCATACTCACTTCAGTAAAAAAGAGACAAGTAAACATTTTGAACCGACATTAACCACTGTGGCACCTCACAATGAAAATGTATAGAAAAAATACTACTAACTGAGAATCAGACTTTTGGAGCATTCCAAACATCTGAATACATACACTATTATTCGTTACAACCAGAGTAGTCAAATGCTTAGGTACTGATTTCTGATTAATCGTTTCAAATGTTGTATACAAATCTTGTGAGATGCATTAAAAACACTAATGGCATGACAGTAACAGTACTAATACTTTAAGACACTAGGATTTAGTTAAATAATGCAAAAGAGGCATCAACTTACTCGTAGTCACGAAAAACTTCCAACGTAGTGGGCAGGAAAAATAACTCTTCGTCTAATGAGAGATCACTTGGTGGCTGCCGTTTAACGAAAGGTTCACCATTCAAATAAGGCATGATGACATCTACTAATTCCAGAAACCAGATAGTAGCACCACTCGACAGTCAATTTTTTTAAAAATGCAAGAGCTACTGATTCCTATAGAAAAGGATTGTAATTTACATTTGATAGATGTCAGGCACGCCCATTTCAATATTACAAGATTACAATTCGTTGCTTTTAGTGAATAATTCGAGAATTTCAAACAGTCAAAAAATTACTGTAAAAACTTGAGGTATAAAAATATCTAAAACCATTCAATATGAAGCAGACAAGCGTTATTACCAACTTTTCTTGGTGTTAACAAAATACCAAATACCCTCTAATTGCAAGTACTTAAACAAACAATAAGAAGACATTTGGACAGCATGCCATGTTGTTCAGTGGATTATTCTATTCATTTCACCGAAACCTACTTACGAGAGGTAAAAACTAACATCAGTTACGTTTATCTTGAAGTAAAAGTCAGAAAACGCTTGATTAAATTCGGAAGCCTAATATTACAAAAATGTAGCGGTAAATAAAACCCCAAAATAAATAGTTCTCTTAGCCTTCAACATTGATACTGACCTCATCAGTTTCACTGGGCGCACACAAGCTGAATGTGCTGAATGGCACTCATTAGCACCAGATCACGAGTGGTTACGTCCTGCTGCGCTTTTCTTGCAACTACTAGCCAGCTGTGGAGACACTGTTATGAAATATTAAAAGTTACGTCACAACTAGTATGTTTACTAGTGATGTTGCGGGACCTTATGACACTACAAAGAAGGCTATCCTTAAACTTGGAGATCTAACCGACAAAAGTTAGACCAACTTTCCCCAAACATCGAACTGCAACATGGCTCAGAAACAGAAGAGTTGCTACCTATGCGAGAGCTCTCTGATTAACAGACATTTGGCGAGGGCCTGTTTAGACAGCTTTTCTTGTCTAAGCCTCCTCAACAGGTGCAGGAAGTTCTTATCTCATTTCGAAATAGCACCGTAGACGGACTGGCTACATCTGCCGATCTGATTCTGGAGATCAGCGGAACCCATGTCTCAGAGGTTTATTCTGTCAAAGTTGTAGTGACTCACGTTTATCACGAGAACACGACTGGTTTAATAAAAACAATTATTATTATAACCAACAGTACCAGTGTTTGTTTTTATGTGCTTTTGTTTGACTGTGCTAATGACAGCTATATGTTGCTTCCATTCTTATACTTACACTTTGATTGTAACTTCGCGCGAATTCGGTTACGTTCTGTAACCAAGCTTGTATCCTGGCACGATCTCGGTATCCTTTCGATGCCACGAGATCGCCAGCGAATATATCTCGATTTGGTCCATTAACTGTCTTCTGATATTTGGCTTCTCGGGGATCTTATGGATTTCTTTGGTTACGTTCGACTTTCGCCTTCTGATCTACTTGGTACGTGTTTCTTTGTAGCGGTGTTCATAGTTAATCCCAACTCGACACCACGCTACAAAGTAAAATCTCACACTACAAAAAATGACGTTACGAAACTCTGTCATACTCTCACTCGTTATCTTAATATTCATCATAATCATAGACGCTCTGAAACTTCTCGTAGCGGCTCGTCATGTTAAACATCTGTCTCTAGGGTATGAGAGGTAAATAACCACAGTACATAAGGAAATCTTCTAGAACTTGTAAAAAAACCCTGAAGTTTCTTAAGTTCCGAACCGTACAACGCAAAAGATGCTTCGGAAAACTTCCCAGCCCTTACACATAAACTGCAACTGTAGCCGGCGAGTATGGAAGTAATGTACATCACTGACGTGATTACGAAAGATCGCTACTTTGTAGACACTGGCGCAGAAGTGAGCGTTCTTCTATCAATAATAACATGAATGTGAGCTAGCCAATTAGAAATGAATATTGATGAACATTGACGTAGTTTATTCTTTTTTACGAAGTGGTTTCTTGCCAATATGTGCAAAATTTAACAGCACCATGTTTGTAGACACATATCATGTGCTCACTGGTGACCAGCTTCAAAAAATAATTTTCAGAGTCCTAAAGAGAATCTGTAACCAGTAGAGCTATTTCGTGCCGGTTGTGAGGCGTTTCACATCAAGGTCAATCGAAGATGGTCGTGCAATTTAGTGGGTTGGTTAAATTTAGACATTAGCGCCGTTGGATGCTAGCTCAATGTTTTAGATGTTAAACTTTCGCGTGCAAGACCGCGATCTCGCATGCATGGTTGAGAATGCGCACGACTAAAACGTCCAATACTAGGATAGAACGGCAGTCCAGTGGTTCCAGTTTCTTAATGGCGGCCTAACCTCGATTGATTTATGATCGCAGTTACATACATAACACGAAGTATTATTTACTAGTGAAACCACAACGTATGGGTCATTTTAAAAGACGGCTCTGGTCGATCACGCAGAAAATTCAGGACCTAATACATTAATCATTTAGACGTTGGTTAACCCAACCAAATACAACTTGACCTTACTTCCTGTAGGAAATCTGTTTATCCCTTACTTATTATTTGTTCATATATTCTCGTGACTAACTGTAATGATAATAATGAATAGAAATGCAATATAAATTACTCATAATGAATTCATGAATCTTAATTCAGTGCTTACATATTGCCTAGGTCTCCAAAATATAGCTGTCAATGTATTTGTAAGTAAATTCGAAAAAAGAGGGCATTATAGACATACTGCACTAATTCCTGCCGTGTTATTTCTAACGGACACTACTAGCTGAGGCCGGTCGAATAAGCACATTTTGAATGCAGGCATAGCTCTTGTGTTACATTCCATTTTCACCTCATTAGTTTGAGATCTCATCCCAGTCTAAATTTCTCCGAATTCCAATGCGTTCTGATATACACTACTTACACTCATTGTTACTGACGAAACTCCTAAACCGAGTCAGCTAATCTCCTCTGGTACTACCTTACAACTTATTGTGCTTAAACACAATGAAGCACTTCTGTCGACAGTTGAATTTTGGAGAGAATGTTGGAGAAGCTCAAGTGCTAAATTCTCTAAGGTCATATTGAATAAATGAGGAAAATAAAATGATAAGTAACACATAACCTGTCCACATCAGATACTCTTACGAACTACTTGAAAGATATGTGCTTAATAGAAACCCGGTCGATCTACAAAGATTAAATTGACCATTCTATAATAAATATCTAAGATGTGCTTTGCCAACAGGAAAGAATGAGAAGTTTTCGAACAAATGAGGTCTTATGAAGCTTTTATATGACAGTTTTCGCTCTTCAGTCTCTTACAGACGCTTCCTCTTCAGAATAGTTACGGAGGCCACAAAAACCTACCCATCAATGTATGAATAATCACAGCAAAGCCTCAGATATTACACAAATCACAAGCAGTCTTCAGCTTCCTTTTTGTTGCTTGCAAAATAATATTGAACTACCGGGAACTCAACGGATAGAAATGCTAACTGAGAGAGTGCTTTCATAACGAAATTAAAAATGAAATATTTGGATGCTTACAGCACAGTATCACATGAATGAAGCGTCTGAAACATGAAAAAAATACGTAAGTGCTACTACAGCTTAGAAAGACAACTACGCCGAACGTACCGACGGAAGATGCAGCTAGTGGTAATAGAGGCCTGTTAGTAATCATATACGTGACTAAGATTTTGGCCTAGCTGCCGATACTATAGTGAAAATTAGACAACATGCCGCAAATTGAAATGACCGTCAAAAGAAGACGTCTTCAGTTACTGGATAAGTAAACATTGTGGATGATGACCTGTGGGTCATTCCATGGCGGCTTTACGTAGAGCGATACAGTGGATTTTCGTTAGGCCGTACATCGTTTCATTCATCCTAGAAACGGATATGCTCAGATAAAGACTAATTAAGAATCTGAAAATTAGTATGGCAAATAGTCTTCGCTGCTCAATGTATCCAATGCCAAAAAAGTTCGAACACTTTTGTACACTTAGAGAGTACTGAATATAGAATCATCATTCTCACTCAAGGTATCGTTTTAAGCTTAAAATCTGGTCTTGTTTGATTTTTTAATACGGTTAAAGGGGATCATCTAAAGGGTCATATTTGCAGATAATTGTAGATATCTACATATAACTGAGGGAAATCCCCAAAAATGCCCATTAGCCAAGTGAAAGGAAGAGGCGCAAAAACGCCGGATAATGTACACTAGTTGAGAAACAAAAATGGATGTTTAGACACACACCTGTGACATCACAACCTACTTGAGGAAATTTTCATTCTGGTTGCAATATACGTTCAATCGAGCTTAAACATACAGTTGAATAATACGCTTGTGCGAAACTTAACAAATATTGTGAGATCAGTTAGTCATTATCCAAGATGAGAATTCAGAAATTTAACACATCACACTGCACCAAGATGTCAGTCTATGTTTACTAAATGTAGCTAACTACCGTTTGAAAAAACTATGAGTAGTAAAAAAAATTAAAGCGGTTAGTAAACTTTCGAAGTAAACAGTATTGTAGGTCATCCACTCTGAAGCTGACCTCACTAGTTTTGCTAAACGTACCCCTAAGTGAGGGCGTTCGGTCAAGTGAACTTATCAAGTCGCGTTTATGTATACTGGGCAGTGCACCTCTTATGATGACTAGTAAACTTAGATTCCATAGATATAGAGAGTTCACCATTTCCGACTGATCCACCCAATGAGACGGAAGTCCGCAAGTAACTCCAACTCTTGAAACGCTGCAAATCACCTGGCCCAGATGACTTACCTCCGGCTCTTTTTAAAGATGGTGGTGACTTTTTGACTAAGGAATTGACGACGTTGTTTACAAAGGTTTGGGAACTAGAGAGTGTACCAACGTCATAAAATGAGTCGATAGTTGTCCCTATCTTTAAAAAGGGTTCACGTCGTTCCTGTAACAACTATTGGGGGATAAGTCTACTTCCGATTGCGTCCAAGCTATTGGCTTCCATCATACTTCGTAGGTTGTTCAAAATCCGAGAAAGATTGACTCGCAAGGAGCAGGCTGGGTTTCGTTCCAGTCGAGGATGTATTGATCATATCTTCACCCTCCGCCAAATGTTAGAACACCGTCATACTTATCAAAGGCCAACAATCGTAGTGTTTCTAGACATTAGGGCTGCCTTCGATTCGTTGGACAGGACTGTTCTCTGGGATTGTCTATTGAAGAAGGGTGTGCCTGAGAAGTTTATTAACATCCTAAAAGCCCTATACACAAACACATCAGGCAGAGTGAGGGCATACAACCACCTTTCTCCATTGTTACATTCCAGCAATGGGGTTAGGCAGGGTTGCCCAATCTCACAATTTCTCTTCAAATTTGCCATCGATGGCATTCTGGAAACAGCTCTGATGGATGTAAGTAATGGTGGTGTGGATCTGTTGCTTGGAGAAAGATTTCTGGACCTTGAGTATGCAGATGATATTGTCTTACTGTACGATAATGCCCAAGCCATGCAATCTGCACTTAATCAGTTGGCAATCAGTGTCCGTAGGTACAGTGCGTGCTTTGCACCTTCGAAGTGCAAAGTACTTCTACAAGACTGGCAGGATTCTAATCCTGTACTCACTCTGGATGGTAAGCAGATAAAAGCAGTCGAGAAGTTCGTGTATCTGGGTAGCTGCATAAGTGCTGGTGGTGGTGTGAGTGATGAGATCAATGCACGTATAGTGAAAGCCAGAGCGGCTTATGCCAATCTGGGCCATCTTTGGAGCCTTCGTGATGTCAGTCTGGCTGTAAAAGGTCGGATCTACAACGCGTCGGTGAGAGCAGTTTTCCTCTATGCTTGTGAAACCTGGTCTCTCCGTGTTGAGGATGTTAGATGACTACCTGTGCTTGATCATCGCTGTCTCCAAAGGATTGCTGACATTCAGTGGCAACACCATGTCAGTAATGCAGAGGTTCGGCATCGTGTGTTCGGGCACAGAGACGATAATCCAATTGGTGTCACCATCTTGAAACACCGACTTCGGTGGCTTGGACATGTTCTACGAATGTCGTCCCAGAGAATTCCATGTCGTGCATTATTTGCCGACTCTGGGACTGGTTGGAAAAAGCGGAGAGGTGGTCAGTGCATGACATGGTGTCGTGGTATGAAAGAAAGCTGCAAAGGACTGGCTTCTGTCGGTCCTTCACGATTCCCTGGTTGGGGTCTGAGAGATGGTGCTACACAGTGGGTAGAGACATTATAAGATATGGCTCAGAATAGAAGCCAATGGCGATCCTGCTGTAACCTTCTTTTACTTTCTTCATAAAAAGTGGTTGTGTCTCCCTTACCTGAAATATTTCTTCTGATTGTGCCTTTCCGTTCCCCCATTTTTACCATTATTAGTACACCACCTTACATCAATCTCTTCCTTATTATTCTCTCTTTTTTCCTTCCCCTTAAGTTCTCATTGTTTTGTGTGGCGCATTCTTGTACCAATTTTTCTGTGTTCAAATAAATAAATAAACTTAGATTGATTAAACACTAATTCATTTCCCAGATATATCTTCCAATCCCTTCACTCTTGCCTTCTGTGTTAATGTTTTCCAGGACCATTTTATTAGAAGTCCAGGAGGACAGTGTTATTAAGCATTGCATACCGCTGACATCATTCGACATATTTGATCACACACTTGATTTCAGAGTAATTTATTCCTGACATATTCTGTAGACCCTTTCATTGCATACACACCTTAAGAAAAGTAGCGATGACTTGTATCCTATATGTAGTCATAAGGGACAAAAAACTCCACTCTCTGAAGTTACTCAGCGTCGTATCCACAGCTTGGTTGTTATACGGAAAACCCCTAATAGTTTTTCTGAAATTAGAGTTGTAACCAAATCTCTGTGCCTTATGGTTACATTACTAAAATAGCTATCAAGAAACTTATGTATTCTTTAGGAATATTTATTGAGTCATTCGAACTGAGAAGTGAGACCTACATCTTTTAGCGGTTTTTCGACCATGTATCCCCAGGCTTTTACTTACTGCATGCATACGCTGAGGATTTTTTGATTGCAAGTTTGTACAAATTAATATACTGAAATCACTATCTTAATTCCAAAATACTGGAATACAGTAAACACCCAGAAATGCTAATTTCAGCCAAATCATAGGACCTACATGACCGCTATGTCGACCCCTAAGGTATCTGCCTTAAGGCAGTTATTGTGGAACAAAATCAAGATTATAGTATGATCAATCATATCCGGCCAAATTAAATAGCTTTGTGTAGATGTGAACCTTGTACTGTAGCAATCGTTCATGACCATCAATTTATCCAGACATTCTGGAAATCAGCCATATTGCAGCCGGTGACAAGTCGCTTGTACTCGAACCTAATCAGTCAACCAGTGGGTAAGAAACTGTCTTTGTATCTGTAGAATCCAAACTACGGTTTGGATAGAAGAATAGCCGACGGGGACTTTAGACACGCGCCCTTTCCCGTCGAAATCAAAACAAGTAATCGGGTAAATAGCGCGTGTCTAAAGTCCCCGGTCGGCTATTCTTCTATCCAAACCGTAGTTTGGATTCTACAGTTCTAAACAAATATTACCACCCGGCTATTCAATCAATCAAATTAGTCACAACAGATGAACGTTATTCTATTCTGACTGGATAGAACGCACACAAAAGGAGGAGCAAATCAATATGGCTAAAGCCAAGAACAAGTGTCAAGTAAAACAACACAGATGCAGTTCAGGAAGAAACACAAACTTAGTGAGTGCGTAAGAAAAACAAAAACTATAATAAAAAATACAAGTATTAACAATTCAAATGTAATCAAAAGACAACAGTGTACAACTAAGGGGATCAATAGGAACAAAGTACAAGTATATACATGGAGGGATTTCCACCAACACACAAAACATTCAAAATGGATCTTACAGTATCAAACGACTGCAATTCTTTTCATTACGAAGCCACTAATATGGAGCTCCGAAGAGCACCTGGATTATTTATAACCACAAGAATTATAATAGTGAAGTTAGTTTATCGTGGGTTAAAGGCATAGACCATTTAGCTAGTTACCATTGCATCCCCTAATTTTAAATTGAAAATATGCTAAACGGTATCCCACAAAGAGACAGCACACTATATTCAGCCTTTTATGGAACCCACAGTTAAGTTGCAATTAGGATGGATTGCTTAGCATTAAGATAAATGTTTTGCCTTTGTTAGTGAATTATTTATTAGTGAAAAGCGATTTTACGAAACTTAAAGAATGAAACGGTTTGTTAGAATTGATATGCAAACGGAAATGTTAAATGCTGAAATTGCCTTCGTCTTACAAGTTGTATAAATACGTGTGTAGGATCATCGTTTCAGGTTACAAATAAAGATCGCAAGCAGAAACAGCATATAGAAACAAAAGCTTTCAAATACGTTTCAAACGTATGTATTTACATACAATCAAAATCTCATAATGTGAGCAAACACATAACTAAATCTGGGTTTCGTCAATTAGTACATATTGATCGCATTATTGGAACGAGGCATTTTTATACGATCCAGATTTTTTATTATTATATCATGCAAGGTGGCCTGCAAATTTTAAAACAGTAGAAAAAATAGGCTATTATATATTGATGCATGATATATTAAAATAAATCTACGTCATCATTCTTGAATGAAAAACTTTCTCATGTCGTAAGCAACCTTCAATTGATAATCATTAATTTGGTTATAAATCTCTAATAAATTAAATAATATTAAGCAATTATTGAATTAACTATCAACTCTCGAGTTTAACACATTTTACAAGTTCGGTTTATACCTGAACACATATGTTAATAAAAGAAGATTCTACCTTGATTTTGTAACTTTTGAATTCACAATAAACATATTCGCCAATCTTAGCTACAGGGTGTTTAGATGTTTTCTAATTGAAAAAAATTAGATGAAGGTATATGTTTTTCATACTTTACAAAAACATCTAATCACTGGATAATACTGGAAGTTGGACATTGAATAAAAGGTACATCTTCGACAAAGTATTTTACAAAAATGAATCGACCGAATGATAAATACATGTTATATACGAAACAACTATTCACTTAGAAATATATTGGAAGAACAATTAACTGTCAATGTTAGACATTTACTTTGTGATTAGTTAACTTGTACTTTTAAGAAACCAGATTAAAACTCCGTTTTTTTTGGAGGCACTGACAAATAACTGTAAACAAGTTCTTAGACGCAAACAAATTAAATTAGATAGACGGAACGCAGTCTAACAACATTTATACAGAGTGACAACATTGAAATCTGAAATAAAAACAGATTTTACTCCACAGTAAGAAAATCGCCGTATTATTCACCCATATCTAACGAATATTTTTCTTTGGTACAAACCACTAGAACGATGCAAATTTAGTCCTTTTTAATGAATAACCAGAAGAGACATTTATGAGACTGACGTGAAAAGAAAGTTCGACGAAAGTCAGAGATAATCAATATGTAAATCGATTTAGTCGTTCTTGAGAATTGCGTGAACTGCTATTGCCGATTTGATTTGAAGCCTATCCAGTTCTACGGGATTATTAGGTGGTTTGTCCAGACCTATTTTTTGATTGATCGCACATAAAATTCTCGTCTTGTTCCTTTGTACTGTTTAGACTTGGATTAACTTCGACTTGGTTATTTATTCTCTGAAGAAGTGGCTTACACTGAGTCACGAAACGTCACAAAATATAATTTTTCTACTTATTGGGATATTACAAATATATTAATTTATTTATAACAATCTAACCAATGTTCAGTTTATTCAAAATTATCAAATCAAACCTTGGTAATGATACCCATAATTATTATGTATTGCATAAATCGCAAGTAGTTTGCAATAATGAATCTTGATATCTTCTAAATTATTTGAAGCAATAGTATTAATGAGTAAAAATGAAAATGATTTTATTTGCATGATGAATAAATAGACATTAACGCTTACATAGTGATTACGAATTTCCATGATAATATATCGCATTGTTATTGCTTGTTTCTCATCCATATCACGGATACATTCACGATAGTCTTCAATATGAGGATATTTTGCTACTTTACCCACTAATTTCCCTCTTGAGGCATAATATCTGTGTATAAGGGATAAAACAGAGGAAATAAAATTCAAGTATCAATAAGCACAGAAGTAAATACAATTTGAAAAAAACTACCTGAATAAGAAAACAATTCTGTATCCTGTGTTAGAATGATATGAATGAAACAAGGCATAAATATCAACTGAATACTGTTATGGCTTGAGTACGTTGATTGGTACCCTATGTCAAAATCACTGAACACAATTCTAACAATAGTTTTTACTATCCTGTATCCAATACTTATTCTACAGCCTGCACCGTTAACCTTAGCTCCCATGGGTTCATTGTTCTCAGGGCATTTTCCAGCACATAGTAACAGTTTATGCATTAGGAGAAAGCTTACAGGCAGAAAAACATAAAAATGCAATAATTTAAGCATTTATTAACTAAAGAGCAAAAATAAAAGCAATAACTTCAGATGTGACATTTCCGAAAGTTCAGATTTTCTAATAATCACCCCGTTATATAAAGGATTATTATTCATAAGTTAACTAATGCCTAATTAATGTAATAAACTCATTAATCAGGTATATATCTATATATAACACGAGGCTTTGAGTCGCACCTTTAATATATGAGAGCAAATAAAACTACTCCGTCATCCAGTTGTCAACATATAAATATGTTTTAAAATTAGATCATAGAAGAAGCGTCAATTTTCATGAGATATTAAACGCTTATTCCCAACAAGGCAAGAATAAAATGGAATTTCTAAAGAAAAGCAATGATTTTAAAGAAGAGACTTTTCTAATATTTTTAATGAGTGGGTTAGTTTGTTGTTGCCTCTTATATCAGCATCATTAAAATATTTCCAACAACCAAGAGCAAGAAGTCTATAAACGAGGAAGGAAACCCAATTTCATATTCTCAACCTGTAATGAATAAATATAATCTATAAATCGAGTGTATAAATATACAGCCTGATCAGCTGAGGAGATTTGCTTTATCACGGAGTGAAGGGTTGGATCGCAAGTGTGCACTACTGTGGGATACTAGTAATCAGGATGAAACAGCTACTCACCACTGCCTTGTTTAGAATACCTTTACAGCCGAAACCACTCCATGACAATCACTCACACTACATATACGTATATATTTGCAGATAGCAATGATAACAAACCGATCTAGACAATGCTAATCTGAGGATTGATCTTTTGTGTAGTCATGAGTGAGCACTACCTCAAACCGGGACGAAAATTTTGTTCAATCCTCCCTAGCTTTCAGAAGTACCCAAAATCAGATCAATCTGTGACCAATACTACCTACAAATTTAACTGATCTCCACAAATCCACTTTGAACAAACTATAACAGTCAGCTCACCAGTGACTTACTTCAAAACATTCCCGGAGTTTAATGAGAATTTGTGAGTAGTGGGGTTCAGACATATCTGGAATGACGGTGTTACCAACAGCATTAGACAATCGTCATGCTATGTGATATATTGATTGAGGCTAGAAATGTACCACTGGTTGTTGACCCAGTGGTCCTAATGGTTGAACGTTCGCCACAAAGCCTGAATGTCCTGAGTTTGATTCTCGGGGGGTTGTGAGTGCACACGGCTGAAGGGCCCATACTAGGACGAAACAGCTGTCTTGTATCCCAACTGTACTCAATCTGTAACAAATACTACCTACAAATTAAACCAATCTCCAGAAAACCCCTTTACATATATATGGGAGGATTGAAAAAGTAGAGAATATAAACAAACCTTGTGACTTGATCCAAGAAAGTACATGCATCCCTCTCGATACCCGATGCTTCACCTAAAATCTCTTCTTGTATTCCTACACCAAAATTATTTCCATCTTCAATTCGTGGTATATTAAACTGAACCCATAAACGAACAAGTTGAGCTTCAATCATAAGTTGAGTTAAACATGGTTTGGTTTTCTTAGAAAGTAGAAGTATGATAAAAACTGGTTAGTTAGATTAAATATTAAATTCATTTCATGAGCTTTGAATCTCTGATGTTAGCCTAAAGCATAAGTGTTTTACAGACTTATTGGTTGAAAGATATATTGATCATTAAATTAACTTTTTCTTCCTACATACTTAAAAAAACAAAAAAATATCTAACAAATCTGAGTATGAAACCATTGGCATAAAACTGTTACGCCACTCATGATTAAAAGTCTTACTTGTAGGTAGAAAAATAAGAACTAAGAACGATACAATCACTGAAATGTGAAGGAATTAAATAAAGAATTATAGTGAGATGCCATAAAAGTTTCATGTCACTATAAATCACAGTCCACAGTTGAACCGCTAGAAACTTACGATTTTTTTAAAAATCAAAACGTACATGTCTCAATTGTGTAAAGAATAATATCCATGACACTGTTGGGTAATGACGGATCTCCGAAATAACTTGTAAACTTTACCCTCCTGTAGTTTAGTTAATGTGAATTTGAATTCATCGCCTTTCTCGTTTGTCGTTTGTCTCACTTAAAGGGAAGATGTTACCCTAGTTGGTTTGTTTATGATGTAGGATGCAATTTTGTTACACTAGCCCTATAGGGTTGCAGATAAAGTTGTCTGCTATATAATCTTTCTTTTAGTTGATAGAATAAATTTTCTGAACAAAACTTGGATTTTGTCACTACCTAGCAGATAAGAAGTCTCACTCATTGACAATTAAGTCGAAGTTGAGCTTTTTTAGCTTAGTAAATAAATATATATAGAATTAGAAGTAACTACTGAAAATGGGGGGTAAGTTTACCCGTCATTATCGTTCAGGTGAACAATTTGAAAACATACAGATACAAAACACGTGCTTTAATCTGCTCTTGAGTCATTTGAATGCATGCAGTAATAGATATTTTTTAATGAACTTGTATCTTACATTTTACAGAGTAGCTGGTATTTTCCATTGAAATAAACAACTGGCAAAGTAGTTTAAAATCCGTAATGGATAGGTGCAGATTGATAAAATACAGTTTTTTTTAAAAACTGAATACAATGTTTATTTACTGATAAAGCGATCAAATGCCCTGACACTAGGTCCTGTACAAGGAAATGAAGTTCAAATATGAATTATAAGCCAACTTTTTCAAGTTATAAAATACAGTTCTACCGGTATCGATTTCAGATGGAAAATTAACTTTTAGATTAACAATATTTGTTTAGCATCCTTGTGACAGAAGTCCTTTTCAAAAAACCAAACCATTCCATATTTACATTTATTCAGGCGGTAGTATTTCTCATAAGATGATTATTAATATTAAATAGTTTTATACATCTTTATTCATTATTAGTTTCAAAATGAAATTTTCTCTTCATATTGGAAATCATGTAAGTTTATTGTCAGTGTAAAAGAAATTAAAAATGTGTTGAAAAAGAGTAGGACCCCATTATGGGTTGATAAATTTAATTGAACGTCTTAATGTTATCTAAAATTTTGGAAAGTTGACCTAGAAAATCAAATGGACTTTAAATAAAAATATTATTTTAATAAACGCTGACAATGGAAAAATGATATTGTCGATATTCTTATAGCTTCTACTACTTTATTCATCAATTTTAATGATGATAATATGTAATTAAATTCTTCACAAAACAAATTAATTAGTCATTTGTCAAAGTCCATAAATTAATGTAATGAAAATGTATTGAAATTTAACCTTGAATTCACCTTCAAACGATGTTGAATTGGTTTCTCATAAGTTTTGTTTAGAGATCCCATTTATATTTAACACAACGAGATAATTGTAATCCGTGGCAAAGGATTTTTGCCGATATTCAGTGAAATCGGACATAGTGATGAAAATTTAGCCACGTTTCATTTCTTCGAATCTTCAGACCGATGTATTTCATCACTCAGTTTTTGTGTTTTTAAACTTTAACGGCTACTGACCCCATGATTCTTTTTACGTCATTGTTTTCATTTACTATTATGGTGATGATGTAAAGTGATATTCAACTTAACTAAACCCTATATGCGTATCTGATTATATTGACTAGGATTATTTCCTTTTTAATTATATCAAGCAGATGAACATGAAATATAACAAATAGCGACAGAGTGTAGTTTGTCAAGAAGAAACAACTGTCTGAAATATTACCAGGGAGTATCACATTTTAAACGTTAAATTCATCAAAATAGACACTGACCTCTATCATAGCTTTGATATGTTTATTATATGACACAGAGCCATTTGGTAAGGCGTAGACAAAAGAACCTTTACTAGGAAACTGTTGTTTATCATTGGTCAGTTTATCTGTAGCATTGGTTAAACCAGAATCCATATCATCACCAGGAGGCAACGAATTATGTGGATTAATAGGATAAGGTATATTCACATCAGAATGGACATACTTTCCCTCTAAACAAATGATGAATAATTTAATAATGACAAAAAATCTAAATAAAAAACTAATGACACTTGAGATTAAAAATACAATAAAACTATGGTCATATGCACTGCTGAGCATCCCCATACTAGAACGAAACGTCCATCTAGTGCTTTCAGGCTTTTAATAGTCTAAATTGGAATCGGTTTGTGATTTCAGTGAAATCCAACAATCTCTACAAACCCATGCCGAATATAATCATCACGCTCAAGTAAAATTTGTAACGTCACCTATGCATATTTGTGTCAGATTGTAGCATTGCTTATAACAGGCTATCTTCATACGTTATGTTAACATGAAGTAATGTGTAATGGCTATTGAAACTACCCGGTCGTTCAAACTAAAGTTAGTTGAAGCGGGATCTAAACCCTCTATATGTTGCTTGGAACTGGAGTGCTTTAACCACTAATTCACTGCTTCCGTACTTTAATGTAAAAATTCAGTATATCAAACTGACTATCAGACTGATCGATCTCTCACAACATATAAAGCACATATTTCAGGTAGAAAACAAAAGCATACATTGTAATTGTGCAATCGATAAAACAAACTGATAAATATTTAGTGACAACAGTAGAAATTAAGATGAATCCAAAAATAGGTGCAATCGTTGAAATAAACTAAAAGGAAGTCCTCTTATGTGTCCACGAGTAATTAAACGACGTTTACTAAACTCCATCAGCATCGATCATAATAATGTGTCATTTAGAATCGTGAATATTATGAGTTAATAAATAGAGTTACTAAGTATTGTCGTTCATAACAGATAATTAGTTAATCAATATAATATTGTAGCTAATCACGAAACGTGACATAAAAGTCACTATTCTGAGGGAAAATATTGACATTAAGAGGTCAATATACAATCAGAATGATAAAAAGTCAGTGACTATGGAACTAATCTGCATTACCTAGAATGGTACATGGAGCGTTTGCCTTCAAGGTTTCAGTCAGTCACAATGTAGAACCCAGTTTGTATGTACACCGGTTCAAGTTGCAACAAACCGTTAGCTCAAACATGAAATTGTCAGGTCAGAATAACGGAGTTAGTAACAACAGTACGAGTGGTGATTGTAAAGACTAGGCTTTAAAGATAATATTTAGAGTCTCAGAAGAAATTATTTAAAGCCCAACACACACAAAGGCAATACGCACAAGTAAATTAAGAATATTTCTTCACATCTGGGGATAAGTGTTTATGAATATCTTTAAGAGATCTTATGTCTAAACATTACTGATTTATCTGAGGAAAAATTATTCACAAGACTTACCTAGAAAAAACATATCCGACGCTAATATGTCTTCCATTTCAAATACACGTTTTGGAAAGACATTGAGTACTAGCTCTTCACCATCAACTTTAGTTTTTTCTTTGTACGCATTTAATCTACCGACTTCCGTGTTCATAACGTATATCAAGTAATTCAGTAAAGTTGCTGAAGTGAAAGCAAATTTAACAAGTTAACAGTATTAACGAATATATTGAACATAAAAATAATGAAGAACAGTACAAATACGTACCGCTTCCTTAGGTTTCATACACAAATAGAGTAACCGGAGTTTAATTTTTACATCAAAAATCAACTGAATGATAGAAGTCTTTAAACATAAAAGGACGCTTATATCTACAGCATAAATATGTAATTAAATGGTAGAGACTTACGATCAGTGTTTTGGAAAATATAATAAGCTTACATGGATTTATATTCTAAATAAACAAAGATTATTTATGATGAGTACTTGGAAATCACAGAAAGGTTAAAGTCAACATTTTTAGTTATATAACATTAAAATTTTAATGTGAATATTCCTATCATGATAATTCGAAAACAAAAAATTGTCCCATATACGTATTTCTGGGTAATTACACATCAGATTTTACAAGCAGAACCGTTTATTTTGAACAATAAGACCGCTTCGGTTGGTAGGATTACAATAAACGTAAATGAACAAGAGTGAAATAATTGCATGAAATCTACCCAGGTGGTCAAGCAGTTTGTTAGAAATTTGTGGGTATGGAGAAGAGGTGTTTAGAAAATAAGTTTTAAAAAATGCATGAATAATGTATAAAAAAGGACTGAAAATAATAGGAAAGAGAATAAAATAACGAGCGCATACATGGATATAAAGAAATATAAAATAAACACTAAAACCTAGCAACATATATGACCTATGTAGACTACTCAGATATTAATTAAGAACAAGTCAGCTGATAAACGTTCAATGGACCAAAAATACCATGTGTTACCCTAAATGAAAAAAAATATCTTATGTGGTATGCATCTTTCCAGGTCAATTTAAAGTTCAGAACTGGGCTTTCCATCAACCAGGTGGATAATCAGGAAGTCAACCGGGCATTCCACAAATATCTTTCAGTTGTTTGAAATAGATAAAATTATCCTAGTTTTAACAATAAAATAAATGGATGAGCACCCGCAAAGTAAAATCGGCACTGACAAACAGATTTACAAAACAGTAATAGTTTAGAAACTGAAAGCACTATCGACACTGAGAAAATGGGTTATCTGTATTCTGAATAGTACATGTTTTGCAATGAGAAAAAGTTGTACTATCTACAAACATTAGGTCCACGGGATATTTTGATTCTACTTATAAATGACTGAATGACTTAAATACTTTAATATTAACTGTTTTCCAAAATGGTCAGATTTATCTAGGTTATATCTCTAAGTTGATTATGACTGGCTACAACTCATTTTTAACAGCACATATGACGCTATTGTCTTGTCATTTTCGTAATGCCTATGGTATCGAGCAAATTTAAAGTAAGGGTTATCATAGAAGCAACATATTAAATCTGAAAGGAATGGACTAGTTAGTATTGTTTTGAACAGGGAAAACACGAAGTAGCCAATAATAGTTTAAAATTTGTCAGGTGTGAATAAGTAACCTGGTTAGAGGAAAATGACTTTAGGACAACGTAGTAATTTATTCAGATACCTCACTGGTTGCGAAATTTGGAATTTATGCAGAAAATATTAAATGTCATGTGCTGGACTAATAGATAACCAATTAACAACGGCAGTAATATGATTTCCATTGTTAAAGCTTTCAAAAGACCACAGAACTGCCGCACGTCTGATATAACTGAATTAATTTTTGAGGAAGTCAATATACAATATTTTTGAAGGTAAATAGTGATTGCCATCACAAATGAATACACCTATATCTAGGGTATACAGTAGGTTCTGTGATCTTAAGCTTACGTTAACTAACGTTACCCTGTCACTTAATACAACAGTTTTGTCAATCCTATTCGGTATCTCATGGCATACGTTTGGCATAAATTATAGGAAACGCTAGCTAGTTTCGTACATTGCTTTAAGCGTCGGTTAAAACCAATTACATATGCATTAAATAACAGGCAAACACGAGAAGTATAATATAACAGGTATCGGATTTCGGCGCGAAATTCACCCAACCATTTGGCCAAATAGACTCTTGGCATTGTAGCTTATGTGAAATTGTGGTGAAAACCCTAAATCTAATTCCTAACATTAACCACCAACTGTAAATCATAATTTGAATTCCTCACACACACATAACACTTCATTTCTAATCTCAGCCACTGAATCAAGATTTCAGATTATGATCGTTCAACACTACATTCTGAGTTAAACCCTGGGAAGGTAAAAGACCAACTAACCAAAAATTTACGACTAGTCACATTTCCAAATCTCTCTATTTTAGTGAAAATTGGCACAAAAACCCAAAGATTTCTCAAGGTCTGAAAAATTCCCCGAGATGGTGAACTGAGCTGTACCCACGCTGTCACACAAAACCACCACCCTATATCTTACTAAAAAGATAAAGTCATACCGCTGAATACACACGTTGTTGCTAAAGCTGAAATATCACTCGAATTGGGCTTAGCTTTAATGTAGATCAAATTTTAAAAATAATTACTTTATTGAAATATAAACGTGGCGGGAATCGCAAAATAATCATACGTCGTTAACAAGTGGGTTGTGAACACTTTGCTAAAGATATCTTTTATATTCGACTGGCTGAAAGGATTGCAACCTATATCTGAAACCCACCACGTGTAGCACAGTCCTCAAATAAACCGCTTCAAAGTTTCCTCAGTCTTAAGTAATAAGAGTAGTACGTTGGCAAACCTATGTTAATGTTAACAGATTGTTTTTCACTGAAGGTCCAGCTTCTACTTGAAAATTTTCACTGATACGGCTGATAACACTTGTTTAGGCAAGGCGTTCCAGTTTTAACCACTCGATGAAAAAACGGAACCCCGCTCATGGAAGATTTTCTGTCTATATCATATTGATAACTAGTAATGTGTCTGATGTGTCTGAGCACACTCCTTCTAGAGTTAATTTCTAAGCCTCGACCTCGAGACCATCCAACTACTTCGTTTAGGTCAGCTTGAAGATCAAAATTATCAACCTTAATTCTCAGTGTTCTCCAGATTTTGACATCATCCGGAAACAGTAATGACGACAACTTAAGCAATAATGGTAATTCGCTGGCGGAGAGAAGGATTCAGGCATCTAAGATGTTACCTTTGGGTATACCAGACTTCTATTTAAATAGCTTTCTATTAGCCGTCACTCTCTGTATATATAACGTTCAAGTTTTAATGCGCGTTCCCGTTACTGAAGTACAGTATATTGATCTATTTGCAATTTACCAACCCAAATTAACAAGCTCCAATTTAGGTACCAAAGTTTATTGACAATTTATAAATAGTCTATCCAAATGCCGTTCTTCAATTTTTTGTGTTCCCGGGGCAAAGACTCCCGAATACCAAACCAAAGACAGAGAAACCAAAAAGTCCAAAAATAATGATATAAACAAATATGTTCAGAACTCGAACAAAACTAATACATCCCAAAACACAGTTAAATTATTAATATCCAATATAAAGCTTTTAATCAGCCAAATGTCTTCAGTTCTCCCGTAACACTTTCTGTGTTCACATAAGATGTTTCCTATTCATTCCTGTACAGCACCTGTTATTCCGAAGCTCGAGGATTTCTGCATAAGACATAAGTGTGAAATCTTGTCAAAAGCTTTCATTGAGCCTATGAATACTATATAAATACACAAGGCCGCTGTCCATCCCCGCTTGCAATAAGTAAGTTGGTCATGCATGGATTTTTGTTTCAAAACCCGTATTGCTCAGGAGTTAACAGATTGCACCATTCTATGTGACTTAGTAACTTAACGATTATGCTGGTTAGACTGACAGGTCAGTAGTTATGTACGATATATCTCTGATCGTCTCTAATTATTAGGCCGACTATAGCATCTTTCCAATCTCTAGGGGGTTAAGTGTGGGGGAGGGACATGTTGAGAAGCATCTCGAGTAGTCTTGAAATAATGTCCTCGAAGAATGACAGCAATCGTGGATGTAGTCGATCAAGGCATGGTGTCTCACAAGGTTTAAGGTTAGCGATCAATTGAAGAAAAGTTTCCTCATCCATATATACAGGTCCTATAGCTGGTATATCAGAGGTATGAGTTGGACAAATATTTTAAACAATACACATAGAGCAGACTTCGCTGAAATAGTTCGTAAATTGCATAGCATCTTGCCTTAGCCTTTTTACATATATCTTGTCGTGTCCCCTTGACACGAATAAGTCCCAAAAGTGTTTCCTACGCTTCAAAAGATTTTAGGTTACTTTATTAATCCATGGAGGACAATGTGGCAGTTTACTTGTTGATTGTGGGATAAACGGTGATGTTACGGACTCTAATATAGCCTTAAATGTTTTCCATTCGTCTTCGATTAATCCATCCGCATCGACGGACCACTCAGTCGAGATAGCACGGTCTCTGATTGCCAGAACATTAGCCCTCCAGATATTGGAACGAGGTGGAGTGGATACACATTGTATACCATATGTCCGAAACGTAAAGTAAAGTACGACGTGATCACTATTCGCTAGTGAGGGGAATTGCTGAACGTCGATGATATTCTCACAGTGGTGTGTCAGGACAAGGTCTAACAATAACAGATCATGTTCCAAATCAATATATGTCGGTTTCGCAATACATTGTGCAAGTGCACACCTAATAATGGTTAATAAAAAGTCTCTATCGAAACCCTCACCAAAGTTGCGAGCTTTATCCGACTGATATATATATATATATATATATATATATATATATATATATATATATATATATATATACAATTATGAAACAACACCCGGCCTTACTCCAAGAACAGATGTATATTAATATAAAGTCGTAACCAAAACGGCACGAACTACGTTATGCTCGTCGTACAGTCACTAACCCGTGTCTAGACTTATTTGTACAAAATTCAGCCTCGCATGTAACTAACTTGTGCCTCCGTTACGATCGATTGTACACGAAATTGTTCCCTGACATAAGGCATCACGCATTCTCCCTTGCGATTTATAACTCTATCACTTTTAATATTGATGCAGCCCGCGATGATAGGAGAGCAGTCTATATCTACGGTGAGACGAAGTGCCATGACAACAGTTATATCGGGACTTTATCCGTCCAACATCAAACATAGCCCGGACGTTTTATTCCGAAGTCTATGAGTGTTCGTGTAGGTGACGGAAAACTCCATCATTCGAAAGGGATGGTAGGTTGAATAGAATAACAATTTATACGAGGCTCAGAAGACATTTAGAAACTAAGGCCATGGGCAACGAACCTTCTGCTAGTGCGACGCAATTAGACGAACTACTAAACTCAGAAAGTACCGGTCAGTGTTTCAGTCCGTAACTTTCATGAGGCGTTAAAACCCACACTACATGAAGACGTAACTAAAACATACATAACTGTTGCAATTATTTCATACATAACAAGTTCATACGAGTGTATAATCTATTGAACTACATGAGATCAGATCAGTCACATGATTGTTAATAAACAAGAATACATATATACCTTTACATATGCCACCGCATGCTCATCTCATATAGAGATTTTTCTGGGCCATATTAACTTGAGATCCACTTTCACAGTGATCCACACCACGGTTCAATTAATTTTATTTTAATTGAATTCAGATAGTACACGTCCGTGGCAATCGAGGTTCAATCTAATTCGATCCAATTAATTGTTATTATGAGACTAAGATTTCTACAACTAAAATACAATTACTTGCAGATCTAGTGGTGAAATTTTCTCACTATTAACTTAGCTACAGCCGCATAGATCAGACTTTCAGATAAATGTTGCACGATTATACATCTCAATTCCCTTAACCGACCAATAAATCTATACTTCCTTATCCCCTAAATCATGCCATTCTCTTTGCGCGGTAAACTAAGCCTCATCCCGGTGAAGCACCAACTGTTGAACCTGTCAATCCTGCTGTGTAGTGAAAGTAAGCGAAAAAGAGAATCGAAAATGAAATAGCGAGAGATGAGAACACTAAAACCTTGGGGGAATCTGGCGAGACGTTCTTTCACGAAAGAAACATCATCGTGCAAGATGTCCTAGAAAACACGGACCTAGGTTATGCAGATTATGACGCCCTAAATTAGAAGATCATATACCAAACCCTAAAGCTTAAGAACATGTTCACCAAACAAGTAGTACAATAAGCTAAGATGAAAAGGGATTCCGGACCTCGGCTAATGAACATATCTTTCACATAATCTCAAATGGTGGCTTCCACTTTCGAAGCACTCCGAGCCAACAGACGTTAGCAACCAACTGGATTTTATTTGCAACCGGATGAGCTACATAATAGAAGGATTGAGCGCAAAAGCAATTTAGAGCTGGCCGTCCCACATAAGGACTGTCAAGATCAAAGAAAATCGTAGAAGGGACATGAACTACATACTAAGAAAGCCCTGTATGGGTACCTTGTCTATCCATTCACAACAGGATTATTTGGACAAACAAGAAGAGATGGCTCACGCATTTCAAATCAAAAACACTATCTGCCTAAATACAAATGGTGCGAGTTTACCGAACAAAACGGACGAGCTGCGTGAATCAAGCACCACTAATAATACTCATCTACTAGGAATATCTGGAACGTGGGCTTCTTCTCAAAATACGGATCATTTACCGATGAAACCATCAATGTCTTAGTTCCGTGGTATGAAAAGCCGGAAGGAGGACTGTAACGTAAAGAGAACGATGAAAATCCCTTCGCAGCTGTTTTGTTGGACAGTAATGTCATTTACCTGTTTCTTCTCCTTGTCGTGTATCTTAACCTTTGTTCAGATCTCGTTAAACCACACCTTTTGTTCCTCAGTCTTCCTCGTCTGAGCCTTTATTATGTGATTTTGACTAAAGACTTATCTTTTGTCACCTAATTTTCTATTTCATGTTGCCGGACTATTGACATTAAGGTCATGTTTGACTAAGCTCAAGGTCACGGCGTGATTCATTGTGTGGCTGTTAACCTTCTGACCCTCTGTTTGTGAGGATTGCTGAAATCCCTAAATATAGATATTTTACCCCATCTTGTTGAAAATCTTTTATTAATTCTCAGGTATCGTACCCTTTAGTATTAATTGTTTCCGTTGTCGCTTAGCATGCTACTTTGCGTTAGAGAAACTTCCTACAGTATAGCACAGTCTGTACCGTTTGAGGTATTTTGTATTTCTGATCTTATTTGTTCTGCTTCCAAAATTAGTACCGTTTAGATTGAGCACGGATTTTGTGTTTTGATATAATTTAATACGAGTGTCTCAAAACACTTTGTAAGCTATACAGAAGAACGTAGTCCGGCCTAGTCGAATAAATTTTGGTTGGTCAGTCCTGCGTTCAAACCGAATACTGGCAGTTCGGTCGTTACAGAGATATTGCACTCTTGTACATACGATACTGATTGCTATCATATTAAGTGTACACACATGAGTTTGTCAACCTCGATTAATCTGTATGGTGCTCAGTGAGATTATCTAACTTCTCCAGAAGTCTCGTTGAAGTCATTTACTGAAAGACCTTTTTTGACACCGAATGCAACAGTCGTATGCTGGTGGGATTATACAGCTACATTTATCTCGAATACTCTCGTATGCTGTTCTGGTAGACTTCCTAATGTCAATTTCGCTGAACTTACGGACATTAGAGGTGATAACTCCACTGAAGCTCAGTTCTTAAACCTCATCGTGTGTTTGAGTTTATTCGAAAATGTGATATAAACAACTCATGGGAGGAGCAGTTAGACACCGTCATGCGTAGACTACATATTTGCACACGAAAATTTTTTAATCGACAACCTCTCAATACTGACTTTTATTGGAAAAAGTGATCATGCCACCATAGCCTTCAATTTTACCAGCAAAGCTGAACGGAAACATCCTACCGACAACAGACTTTGAAATTTCAAACGTTTGGGTGTGTCAGCTTTACAGTACACCCGTAACGTGACGTAGACGTTTAATGGGATTTCATACGGCACACGATCTTGCATTCTACTCACAACCACAGACAACATAGAGTCATGAAGTGTCACACTCTTAAAATGATAGAACACGAAAACCAATAATAAACGAACATAAACAAACTAGTGGCGGCAGCACATATGGAGAGTTCTAACATCCAATGACCTGGTGAATAGATGTCATAAGAGAAGATAGGGTTCAGTATAAAATGATGCTCTTAGACTACATTTCTCCTATCCGAAAATTTCGCCACGTTATGCAGCTTCTCTTCGACAAGACAAAAACCGGAGTTCCCCAGCTGTTTGGTCTAATTGTCCAAACAACAACGAAAGTATGTCGCCGAGCCTCGGAAAGAATGTCATTTCCAAACATTTCAACCGTCCCATTCAAACTGCATCGATAAGAGCTTCACTCGCAAATTAACAGCAGTCTCAGAAGTGAGTCTATATGCTTAGTGTATCAGAAACTCCAATAAATAAACACGGACACCCAGCTCGGGTGCGGTTCACTATGATATACTGCTAGTACAGGCATCAAACTTAGAAACACCTCTTAGTGTTCCCACATTCGCTAAGCCGAGGCACAGTCCATCATAATTAGGAGCTTACACCAATTACACCAATCTTTAAAGTAGCTTGACGCAGGAATCTTTAGGCCACTGACCATTAGCACTTCTCTCAAAACACTCGAATGTTATGTGGTCCTTGTTATATGACGGTTTATTTGATTACGTATTATCCATAACTTTCTTTTCACCCCAACAACACGGTCTACGTAGTCAGCCTTGAACAACCGATCTACTAAGTGTGATGGATAGATGAACAAACAGCCCTGGTCACATGAATTCTCAAGGACTTTAAATAAGGCCAGTCATATATGTCTCATCAATAACCTCAAACTGTTAGGTATCAAGTCACTGTTAGTTAATCGGCTTAATTCATATTTAAGTGTTAGAATCTCTAGAGCCATTGTAAAATTCACTTCTTCTCAGGCTACGGAACGTCCTATTGGGTCCCCCAAAGTTCAGCACTGGGACCTTCATCTTTAGTTCATATGAGAGACCTACCCAAGCGAATCTCATCTAATTTACAACTCTTCACTGATGATGTGAAACTTCAGAGAGACGTTTGCAGCCAAGATGACAAACTAGCACTTCAGGAGAATTCAACTCGATTTCAAAGGTAGGCATATAACAACGAACTTACTTTTACCCTTCCAAGGTATAAACTAGTCCATCCGAGACAAGTTGCAGACTACGCATGAAATTTAGGTAACTGCCATTTAGAGGCATTTCTGGTCAGTTTTACGATATAAAATTCAATTTAATTTCTATTCGATCCTAATTAGGGTACGAGAATATACTGTTTACTCTCTCATTCCAAAGGGATAACAATACACTGGAATGTACCGAACGGTGAGCAACGAAATCATTTCGGGGATCCAAAGTCAAACCTTAAAAAGAGGGCCCCAAGTCGTTGAAATTTTGCCCATTAGAGTGTACGCTTCTGAATGAAGACCTTCTAATGACCTATAACATCCCGAACACTCCTGAGCACCTCCTTAAACACCTACCTGAGAGTAACACCCAGAAATTATAGACACAACATGAATTGCCAACTTTTGGGATGTTCGTCCGCCTGAGGTGCTTTAAGCGACTATCCAGGTGTTCCACAAGGGGAAACCTGACATTTTCCTAAGGATTCAGGACAAAGTCTTACGATGATTTGCTAATATTTTGTTTATAATCACTAAAAATACATATGTTCCTATCTTGAGGCATCGCTGGTCCACTGCTGCTAAATATGGAAGCCCGTTAGGCAAACGATTCTCTTACTTCATCATGAAAAAAAGTGAACCACCTCAGTAAATAGGAAAATTAAAAAAAACAATGGTAAATAAATTCATTATCGAGGTACTTTTCGCTACAAATGCTATATTCGAGCGGATAGAAAAACTTAACTAGAGGCTCGAAAAGTGAGAGCATTACTTAGGAGTCAAAAGTGAGCAACGGGAAGTCAGCCGGCTTATTCTAGATAGTCACGAAGATATTGCATATTATCGAGGCTCTGAATAATGGAGGGCACTACAAGTTCCACATTTTCGGCGGAAATTTGAAGGGTTTCGTGAACAACTCTATTGTTTGTAACATGCTCGTTTAGCTAACTTTCTTTAAGATTCAATCACATGAAAATGATCTTTATCGGGTTTTAAAACCTCAGTAAAACAATTCACTAACATGGGTGTCATTAAAACCCAGAATTATCTTGGAAACCATCTTGTCGGTCATAGCATGTTTTACAACTCTTTTCGGTCATTACTAAGTGTACTTATCTTTAAAAAATGTGACCAGAAAAACAGAAGCTAGATTTGTTGGCTCAGTTTTGGGTTGCGTTCTTTTTTACTTTTGTACATTTATTCATGAGTATTAGATGCATCGAATATATATACATATATATATATATGATGAAGAGCGAAAGAAAATCATATCTAAGGTAACCAAAAGTATAGGGACCAACCGTGAGCATTTGTGGGCAACGAAATCAAAAGAGATGAAAAAGGCAGCGGCTGTAGGTAAAACAAGACAGCTCTTCAGACTAATAAAAGAAACTGGAACTAAGAAGTCAAGTGTTATTGAGACGACACTCTTATCTGTTCTTAGTCCAAACGTTCAGGACGATGGGCGGAACAGTTTATCTGGATTACAGCTAATCTACAACTACCCTCAATTCCCAAACAGCATGAATGGAGTATTGAGGTTGGTCCTCTGACTCGAGTTGAGTTTCAAAAGCTATAGCTAATCTGAAACCAGGAATAGCAGCTGGTCCAGATGGATTAGCTTCAGAGGTCTTAAGTACATTAGTCGAATTTTAACGATTAGGTTAGTGTCGGCCAAACCGAAACGTGGATTCAGTGCTTGAAGTCGCTAACTTCTAGTCTGGACCATGTTGGTAGATGCAAATTATTTGGTTGTGGTCCGCGTGACTATCGTAACCAATGGTCGGAGATTCTTGGTGACATGGCTCAGAATCGATCACAATGGCGTAGGTGCATGCACTCTCTATCTTCCCTTAATCTATGAGATTTACATTGCTTTATATCTTTATTTGTACCAACTAATTCTTTCTTTTTGTACTATATCCTTATATGTTATCTTTTTCTTATATATGACCACCATTGAAGTAACTACCTTTATGAATTTAATGTCCATCTTGTTGTGCTAATGAGGTATGGCAACTTGGACCGATGCATATATGTGCCTGGTCCTACGTTGTAGCTGACTGACTGATCCAGTACATCATAGTAATTAATGTACTTGGATTGAATATTAAAGTACGGCCATGGTCAATGTCAATCTTGGGCCTAGAAAACAAGCAACTTTTAGATATCTTCATATATGGCGTTGTCTGTCGTCAGATTTGTTGAGCTTATTCACGCTATGTTCCTTTGATTCTCATTACACCATATCTTCAGCCTCATAATACGTGAAATAAGTCATATGTTCTCGTCTATATAATGTACATAAGTTACTTGATGCGTCAGCTGGCTTTTATTAACGGTAACAAGTATTGTTTAATTCCCAGATCCATTTTCCACTTATCAATCTATTTAAACTTCATTGATCTGGACATTTCGCTAACTGCCGGTTACCAGAGAAAAATACACTACCCCATCGTGGTATATGACCAAGAATTCCACATTTCAGTCGGCTTCCCTATGTACGAAATTCTTAATTGTATATTTTATTCCTTCCTGTTCATATCCGGTCTATATTTCGCCGGTGGAAAGTTTCCAAGGTAGGTACGCTTGAATAAATTCACTGGTCACTTTTAGAGACCATCCGGAAACAATCAAGAGAAGAGTTGTCTCCGTGTTCGTGACAGGAACTATTTCCATGATTCATATACTGACGTACATACGTTCCTATGATCGTCCTCCGGTTAGTGCGATCTTATTAATAACTTCTTCTAGTTTCAGTTATCTTCATATGAATTTGGGAAACTGTTTATTAGGCTGGATGGCTTATTAGAAGCAGTTATTATATCTGTCATACTTACTTTGGTTTGTTGCTATTGTCTCTGATATTCATACAAAATCAGGTCATGTACTTTGGCGTTGTATTGGATGATATATGTAGTGGAGATATGTTAGTCGTATTTGGTAATGACCACTATCATTGCTTTTGTGTTTTAGGTTTTCTATATTTTTTCTATATTCTAACTCGGTGAACACAATATTTCGTACAACGAAATTAGTATATAAACCAAACTCAGATTGATGTAAAAATGCGGTTTAAAATTAAACCGATCCAATAACGGCGAAATGTATATATATATTGAACTCATTGGTTGACATATATGTGTTTGGATGTAAATGTTTTTTTCATCACGATTTCGCCCAAACATTTTGCGTTGTTTCATACAAAATTACCGGTTTTGTTTTCATATTATCCTTGCCCAAAGATTAGGCCAAACACCCAGATTTTGATTGGTTGAAAAGTGAGTGGCGTACAAGCCAATTTCCTCTGATCACCTATGACATTTTATGTTTATTTTGTGTCCTCAAGTGCCCTGGTACGGCCGAGAGTGGGGAGAGTCAGCTCTCCCTCTCGAAATGCTCTCAAATGGCCACGCGTATATAGCCTCTGCTATTGTGTTGTCTACGAAATTGAGAGGACAAAAAGCAAATGTCCGGCTCCTTAACCGAATTAGTGGACACGGAGAGTCCACCTAGGAGAGTTGTAAAACCCTGATTCCAAATCAATGGTGCACCTGGGCTCTAGTATTCTGAAAGAACAAATGTCGTATGAACCAATCGTTGGTCACGGGCTACCATGGGACTGCATCTCCTTATATTGTTCCAGTGCCTTGTGGATCAGACCTTTAGGTCGAAGGCTCGAGGTGTGGCCTCTTAAGAAAACGACCTGCTTCAGTTTGGGCACCCGGTCAGTATCACAGCCCTCACATATATCAAATGAGATTTGTGTGGCGCATATGTATCTGGTGCCTGCCTGTACCAATATCTATGTGTTAAAATAAATAAATAAAATCATATTTTGTATAGACATGCTACTTTACTACATGAAAAATCGTTCATCTGGCTAGTTATAATGTCTCTGATTTCCAATCATTCGGGGGCCTAAGTCAATTATACGGTCTCATGAGTCGCCATCACTCGGTCAAATTATATCATTACGTTTATCTATCGATTCTAACCGAAATTTCGTCTCACGTCATAACAATAATATGAGAGTACACCCACATATTTTTAAATAGTGTAAATTTGTTCAAATCTCCATATACAAAATTGCATACACAATTTTGACAACACTAAGAGCCCTAAATAAGTTTGTCCTCGTATATGTCTAAATTCGATGAAAATCTTCAAAACTGTCTCAATGTATTATCTGTAATGATACCGCATTTCAGTTTATACATGTCCCAGTTTTAAACTGTTTGATCAATAAGTTAGAATTAGTGAAACATAGACAGTGGGATTAATAACTAAGAAATGTGGATTTCAAGTCCACTAAAGCATTAGCCTTCCCTTACTACTAACAATCATACCTAAAACAACAAACTTCATGATCAAAAACTTGTGTAACCTTTAAATTGTAAAAACAGACTGAATCTACGGTTTCGATATTTTCCTGTTGATTTATCTGTTTACTTCGTGTATATATCGAATAAAACGGATCGATTTACTTTGGATTTATTACTTATAGATGTTCAATACTGGAAAGATCGTATATTTAACTGGATAAGTTTAAGAAATTTTGTAATAGCTCCTTTGGCTGAAGAACTCATCTTCCGTGCATGTGTTACATTTCATCTACTTCCTTTGTTCTCATCATGTGTTATGCTTTGTTTCGTTAGTTCATTATTTTTCTCTTTAGGTAAGTATTGTTTTGAAACTCGTACATAACTAGGACTTTTTCTGATTTTACTTATTACTTGATAATATTCATTAGTTATTGGTTTACTTTGATGCGGATTTTATAACTGTTTCTTCTTTATACTCCTGACCACCTCTCTACCTATTGAGTTAGAATTTTCACTGGAGTAATTATTTGAAAGTTATTTCAACCAAAGTTTATTCAATTCGCCTGCTAAAAGCGTGATGACTTAGTGACTGAAGCGGTTAACTTTCATCCATTTATTCACAGGCTGTAATCCTGCTATATCTATTTTAGATTAGTAAGCTACTTAGTTCCATTCGTTTTATCACATAGAGTGGGATGTACTTCAATGATAACCGCATAAAAATGTACCAGTTTAAATTCAAAGTCTGCTTGCTTTCAACAAAATCGTTATAAGTGGCATCCTATTCCCCCAAAAACGCAAACAAAGCAACACCGGATCACTTTATAGAGAACCAGATCGATCACATTTTCATCAATAAAGAGTTCGTAAGGTCAATGAGATACGTGAGAACACAGAGAGGAACTAATATAGATTCATATAACCGCCTTATGGTGGCCAAGATGAAACTGAAGCTAAAGAAGCACTGGGAAACAGAGAAACGGGATTACTAAGTTTAGTATAGCCCTCCTTCAAGATACTGACAAACTCAACGAATTCAAGATAACTCTTGAGAACAGGTCCCAAGCCTTACAAGACCTTTTCAGAGAAGTGGAAACTACTCTGAATGAAAACTTGAAAGGTATTAAAAAGGCAGTAACTTTGACATACCAGGAGGTCCTGGGCCACAAGAAGCACTATCGTAGAGAAGGGATCTCCATAGATACCTGAAAAAGATTCAATAAAGGAAAAACAAGATGACAATCACTAACAGACAAACGAGACTAGAGAAAGCACAAAGCAAATACACAGAAGCAAACAGGCGAGTGAAGAGGATCATTAGAGTTGGTGAGCGGAAATATGTGATAGACCCAGCAATGACAATGTAGAAAGCTGCGAGAAAAAGAAATAAGAGACAACTGTAAGACAGCAAAAGAGCTCGCTGGAAAATATTGTAAATCCGAGCGACCAGTCAAGAACAAAAAATCAAACCAATCACCGGAATTCATAAACAGAGGAACAGGTAGTTAGAACACTTAAAACCTATTTGTCGAAGGCATATTGATTTGCAAAACTCTCTCCATTTTCGTTCCTTTCGCCTAGTCCGTATCTCCATATGGAATCATTATTCTCGGTGTTGTTCATTCCGACCCTCGCGTTTAGGTCTCATATTAGGTTGGTCTTTCTTCTGGTCAGTCTTTTTCTTATCAGGGTTGTTTTCTATGGGATCCGGTTGCTGACTCCATGCCAAACCCTCCTGCTTTATCCTCCAAACGCTCTGGTACGGCCGAGCGAGGGGAAATTCAGCTGTCCCTCTCGAAATAGAATAATTTATGTGGCGCATATTTGTTGCCTCCTTGTACCAATGTTTATGTGTTTAAATAAATAATCCGGGCTTGGGACTATCAGTAATCCTAGAAGTGCTCATGATGGTTTACCGTACTTAAACTCTACAAAGTTTTAGAAAATTTGTTTTGTACCAAATCTCTTAGTAAAATTGCGCAATTCATGAAAGTGAAAAATAACTTAAAATATTATAAATCTTATAGGTTTAATTAAAATAATTACTTTGCTCCCATTTTTTACAATGGTTGCCTTGTACTTTGGTATCCCAAGCTGAATCATCCGTCCAGCTGCCTTAGTCATTTGTTCATTATTAGTTCCAGCTGAATGTGTACACAACTACATGTAGTTCCACTGATAAATAGCTAAATGCATGCACCTATGTGTGCTTATAAACTGTATACAATATTAAATAGAAATTCCTCTTTCATTAAATCAAGTACTTTGTAGGTTTATACCAATTATTTTTTTGTTGTTATTGTCGTTACATGTAGCCCATTTTCATCATGTTTTTGAATCAGTGAAAAGTGGTCAAGATCTGCAATCTGCATTTAAAACTTCACGTGAGTCTATTTATATTTCACTAACTTTTTTTCATGAACTTGTATAATATATTGAATAAAGTAGCTATATTAAATCAACAAATCTCATAGTTATACACGTCGTTTATGCTGTGTTTTACTACTCATGTTAAACAATAACTAAAGACATATGAAGGAATTTGTTAAAGACAGTAAAAAGATTGTCATCTTACGAATAAAAGTGCTAAATCAAGAAATATCGTTTTTTCGTTTCTCTCGCATATAGCAGAGCTAACGTGTGATTAATGCTAACGTCAAGGATAAGTAAAAATTATTTCATTTGATCAATCTGTGAACCGTTATCGACTGAGGTAGCCGAAACATGTGGTACACATGTCTCGTAGATGAAATGCTTGTTATCGCAAGTTGAAGAAGGAGAGAGTCGGCCAAAGTAATTCACAACATCATTTCATTACAGTATTCGGCTTTTTTTCTAAGCCATATAAGAAAACACATACCCCATAAGTGTTTAAATTCGTTCATTTAAGTGCCTGTTTGTTGAAAATGATGACTATATGTATTCTTTTATTCGTCTTAAACAATAATGCAAATGTGTCTGGGCTACGTTCTTCTACCTCTGAATGTAAAACGTTACTTTAGGACTCACTGTTCTACGTTCCTGACAAGATTGTTTGCATTTATTCATTCATTTCTTTAAACATGTAAACATTGGTACAAGGAGACAACAAATATGTATGCGTCACACTTCATCATTCGATTTGTATGATGGATGCAGGGCCGCTCGGACGCCCAAACCGAGGAAGGCTCAGAGAAAAAACCACCAAGAAATGGAATTAGTTTTCATTCTATTTCATGCATACTAGACCATTTGACTTCAAATGTCATTCAATTTTTATTGACAATGTTAACACACTTCTGAACACTTGAATAGCTTGCTTTTTGTATTCATTTTAAAACTTTACAATCTATATATAACACTCAATAATCTTTTAGTTACTGTTTTGCAAGTTTGGTTATCTTTAAAATTTAACATCCTTTACTAATTTCCGAATATATACACAATCAGACAGGAAAGTTTCTTCTAAACTATTCGCTCTGATATTCCCATTCTTAGTAGATGATTTCGAAGTATACTGAGAATTCCTCCGTAAATAGACGTTTCGCACTATTATTACCAGTTGGAGCTGCAATAATCATTTCAGATTTTTTTCTGACTCCTTGCGATGTGGGGAAGAGCTTCCAGTATCATCTAGGGTATTGTAGAATTGCATTATTGGTTTTTTATTTCTTTTCACAGACTGTCCGAATAACCCAACAATACAAACATGCTTAATAATCTTATTTCTTTTAATCACAAATGTATTTTCATACACAAGAAAATTATCTTACCACGAAACGCATTTGATAACTCGATGTTTTAATCGAAACAAATGACAACTATTGCAAGTCGTATTGCATAAATAATAGTCTCATGCAATAAGTGTGGCTCACAAATCATATTTACCTGTGTGTAGTCACAGACCCTCGTCTCTTTATATGTGTGTTAGATACAAGATGGATAATTGTCATAATCACCAAACCATTTCTTTTACTATGTTCTTATAGTGACCTGCATTTTATTACAAATAAATTGTAAAGCCTTATTTTTTTACCTAGTTTATTCAGATTGATAAATACTATAGTAAATTAGGATCTACCTTCAAACACTCCCATTGTAAGTCATAACTTCTTCACAAATGCAAAACTTGAATCCTTGTTTATAATAGTTAGTAGGTACTAAGACTGACATTCCTTCAGGGCCCAATTATCAAAGAATTAACATAAAAATTGTGATAAATCTATATATGTATGTTAATTTTGTTCAGTGTATCAAAGTCATTATTCTGTATGAGTTCTTTTATTTTTCGTGCTTATTATGGCTCGCATAATTTATTAAGTCGTATGTTTTCTACTATAAGGTCACTATTAAATAAAGTAAATACACAATAGATTATATTAAATTAACACACTACTTTTTATGCATATATTATTTATCAAGTTAGTGTACACAACTTCTCTGTTTACATATTTCATTGCCTTGTAATTTGAATATTCTGCATAAATTCGTTTAAATGTAAACGCCTTCTTTCGAAGAAAATTCATTTGCATACATTTATTATTAGCCCCCAAATGCCCTGGTACGGCCGAGAGTGGGGAGAGTCAGCTCTCCCTCTCGAAATGCTCTCAAATGGCCACGCGTATATAGCCTCTGCTATTGTGTTGTCTACGAAATTGAGAGGACAAAAAGCAAATGTCCGGCTCTTTAACCGAATTAGTGGACACGGAGAGTCCACCTAGGAGAGTTGTAAAACCCTGATTCCAAATCAATGGTGCACCTGGGCTCTAGTATTCTGAAAGAACAAATGTCGTATGAACCAATCGTTGGTCACGGGCTACCATGGGACTGCATCTCCTTATATTGTTCCAGTGCCTTGTGGATCAGACCTTTAGGTCGAAGGCTCGAGGTGTGGCCTCTTAAGAAAACGACCTGCTTCGGTTTGGGCACCCGGTCAGTATCACAGCCCTCACATAAATCGAATAATTCATTTGGCGTATATTTGTTGCCTCATTGTACCAATGTTTATGTGTTTAAATAAATAATAAATAAACAAATAACTTTAAAATATAAAAATACACTATGAGTTTATGTGGCAAACTTATTTAATTATCCAATCGCTTGAAAATTATATGTTAGATCGCTTTAAAAATATTAAGAAAATTCGACTATTATGTGTCTCTTAATATAACTGACAAAGGATGATTATATTCGTAATCAACTCTAAATGGGATTATCCAACAGAAATAAACTAATTTAAGCAAAATAAAATATTAAAAGTAATGACGCCAACGTGAGTACAATACTGAATAAAGAACGTATCAAAATGGAGGACGATGGGGATGGGGTTACGATTTATTGGACTCTCTAAGGAGTATAAAAAACAGACACATTTACATAAACATGGCATATCACCGTTAGTTTTCAACCAACTACAACACTTACCTCTCCAAAGTGACTCAAATCGACAGTTTTAAATTTGATAGACTAATACCACAAATAGATCTACTGTTGTCTTTTCCTAACCTACTTCTGCTACTGGCCAGCAAAATATTTCACTGTAGGTTTCGATTAGACATTCTGACACATGTGCCAAGTAATGAGTGTTCATTATCTCGTTAACTGGTTTTCCAATATCCCTATACTCTAGGTACGATAACATTTGTCAATTCGTAACTCACGCTCGACTTGTGCTTAAAAACTTTTGTAATTAAACACTTCTGAAAAATGTTTGTGTTTTTTATAGAGTACGTTTCATACTCATCTATGAATATTAAGCGGATATCTCGGTTAATTCAATGTTTGGATAAGTTGGCAATATAAAATGAAGCTTCTTAAAATTATTCATTTAAACTAGTAAGACTATTATGATAAGCAAGATGATCACGGTAACCATTTCCATATTTTCCTCATACTGAGCTACAAAAATTTAGGTAAAGATACCAAATACCTTAATACTTGGCTGCTGTTCTTAGTCTACACTTTACTTACTTTCTCTTTGTCAGTTATATAATATTAGTGGGCCTCATATCAAATGTGTTTCAAGTGTATTGCGTGACATTAGCACAGTAGATCATGTCTAATATTGTTTATTTTTGTTCACTAATAAACCATAAACAGCATTGTGATGATATTTGTCACCTTGTTATTTGTGACTTTATTTTAAGTTAGCTGGTGGCTTTTAGTTAATTGGAATTTACTTCTCACAAGTAATTTGTAATTTTGGTTATTAGAATTATAACCATGGAATCTAAACACATTCTAATTATTATATTTATCTTCTGAGTTTCCATAAAGTTTCTGTCGTTTCTTATTACTGACTTCATTGTGATCATTTAAAACGTTATTTATTTTTAAAGTTTTCCAAGTGTTTTACACAACTCTATTTGGAACGTATTCTGGATTTTTGATGCTAAGAACTGGTAAGTTTATGTATTTTTAGTTGTACAGCATACACTTTTTATATTCGTAAAGTTATTTTTAAAATTGTAAACTGCAATATCAATAGTAGGCCTAGATATTACGTCACTGTATGCAATCTATAATTAACGAAAAATACAGTCGATGATAAAGCTGAGATGTATATTGGTAAAATATAATCCCTTAATAACTTTGCTTTTCTATGCAATAAGATGGTATTTCATTGTTTGTACGTTATTGCGTGATTTCACCATTCAGTAACGTTACTAACGTATGTATGCGGCTCTTCGAACAGTTTTTTAAAGCTGCGCTACATGTCAAGGTTATGGTAGTATATATTAAGGAAGATAAGTTTGAAAATTGTGTTTAGTAGACGCTTGGTTAACCCGTTTCCTATGTTAAAATTCGAAATCACAATGAAATAACAAAATTGTAAAAATTAACCAGTAAGCATCGTCAGTTTTTGAAGAATCCTCTCATACAGTTTATTAGTCTCACTGAAGTTATAGTGATCTAGCATTATGAGTGACATTTGGAAGCTTATTCATAATCCAAATCATAATAAATATACACAAAACATCCTTCCATTTGTTTCAATAGATTAATTCAATGTAAAATTTGAGCTAAAAACTATTAATATTTTCTTTTCATGGTCATTTCCATGTCCATTAGAATTTTATGATATTTGAAATAAATCTAGATCTATCCAGTTTTACGAAATTTTTTAATGAAGCGTTATGGTACTTTAAGCAATTATTGTAAGTTATACAATACATTTTTACACATTCTGTATCTGAACTGGTTAAAAAATTATTCAGTCAAGTGTAAAACTTATATAAAGCGGACAAGACTGAACTGGTATTAATCGTTGCTCAAGGTTGTCTGTCGGATAATGGTTATTAAATAAAGTTTGAGTGGAATTTGTTGTGTTTACAAAAATCTGTCTTTGTACTACATTATTTTAAAGGTAGTGAGACAGTTGATAAGGTTGATTCTGGTCTGTGCGCTGCATTAAGAAGGATTTATCCAGTCTATGAACTGGTCTCATTGAGACATCCGAAAGTTGTGAAATACTCACTTAACGTTACTTCCGATTTCTCTTACCAGTTTAAAGTGCGTGGCGAATTCCATACATTAGATGAACAGAAATGAGAGTTATCGATGTCATCTCCAGTCATGTTCTTCACAAATTAGGACTAAGAGGTCAACATTACTTTCAACTGTGTAATCACCCGTCATCTACTTGATAGCGAACACGACTTTGGAATTTCACGGTCGTTCTGAAATGTTAGTAACCTTATGACTTCGGACTTATTACGTTTTAATCAAACGACTCAACTCGGATTTATGCTTTCAAAAATTTACTGTTCTCAGTCTTACAATATACTAGTGTATTCAGTTCCCAGTACTTAGTTGCGTGACGTATCCCTTTATGTTTGCAATTATAAATTAATTTTCTTTACCCCTTCTTGTATCTTACACGAGCTTTACTCATTTTAATCCCATAATCAATACATGTTTGTAGTTTTCATTATGTAACTTTGAAATTTTCAGTAGCTTGTCTCCAGGAATTTTAAAATTTTCGCTTTGATTTCATACTTTATCTAACATAGAAATTTTCAACCACATGAACGTCTCTTATAATTTTTTCATACTTATTGCTACTTTTACTAATTACTGTTGATGGAAACTTTACTAAAATCATGATATAAAGTATATACAACGTTTTCTAAATACTTAATACTACCTTTTCTAGGTTCTAAGCAATAGAAGAGAATTCTCGAAATAAATCAGTTCATGTTATTCCACTATGATCTTTGTTCTGGCTTTATTCAAATTTAGAAATCGGAAATATTTTATGAAATAGCACTCTTACTACCAACTGTGCTGACATCGGCTCTAAATCCAGATTCATTCTGAATATGTCTTGAGCATTTCCAGTCTTAGTAACAATTGTATGTTTAGTCACCTCGCGATCTATTATTTAGTGTAATTATTGTTGACATAAATACGATGTACGACAATCCGTTTGGGTTTGAACTAGTGAATTAGGCACTCAACATTTGACTAATAGATTTCAAGACTCCAACCACAATTCATCTAGTTGTGTTTGATCAACTGATTAGTCCACATTAAATGCGGTTTGCAGTAAAATGCATAGAATTATGTTTGTTATTTGAATTGTATTAAGATCAAATTTAATCGGAAACTTCAGTCAAATATTTTATCACGCTACAGAACAAGGGTTATGTTGAGTAATAAGATCACTATCATTATTAGGATTTGTGTGTTAACAGTTGAATTCACAAGTCAATCTATGCCAGACCGCCATCGAAAACCTGGACGCGTGCGGGACTGTGGATGTGCACTACTGAGGAGTCACATACTAGGACGAAACGGCCATCGAGTACTTCCAAGTTTTAAATGGTGTTCTAGCTTAGATTGATTCGTGAATTTAACTGCTAAAATTAGATCGCTGTGTTATGGATGCAGAATAATATACTAATCATTATCATGTTAAGTCTAATGATGTCCTTGGACCTTAAATGGACATTCCCTATTGGCCATTATTTCTTTCACTCGTTAAATATTGTACAGATGTTGTTTTCTATTTTTATGGTACGATGTGGTCTGTCTGGTTAGTATATAAACAGAGTATGTTTGAAATATAATGATTCATAACTCAGAGGCTGTGACTTGCGTTCTAGACTCAACTGGCTGGGCTAGACAGGGAAGCGGGACCAATCGGGACTCTAGGTCGTCCTTATGTGTTTTACGTGTCACTGGATCGATCGATAATACGCTGCGCATCTAACCTGCAGTCCACCCGTAACAACAGCTGTTTGTTTTTATGGTTACACACACCATATGATCTGACTTATGTCGGATTTGAAATTCTAAATGGTTTACACTAAACAGCATTTGGTTTCATAATTCTTCAACTGTGATTCTTACAGAAATATTTAACATGGTTACTGTTTAAATACAGCTTACAAATTTCGATTTCGTTTTGTTATATAAATGTATGATTGAATTGTGCATCCAATAAATTTCTAACTGCATAAGATAGTATAACATCGTAAAAATGGACTATTTTATGTCTAGTGGAGATCAGTCGCGAACTAAATTAGTAGTGTAACTACGGGTGACTTATTTTGTTCATACTTGGTCTGTAGATATAGCGCTATTGATTTTGTTTATGTTATGCTATTTTGTCCTGTAATACCGATTTCAACAACAATATTGGTCAACTCTAAGCAGATGGTTAGACATCTATATTCAAAAAACCAACAAATTGGTCATAACATTGTTTATGAATCTTTTCTTGCTGATATCTGTTTTTGTACACTGTCCTATAAAATATTTGTTTTCGTTTAAGCACTTAATTCCTGTGTACTCTGTATACATTGTAAAGATTATTACAAAATAAGCCAAATATGTAACTTTTTAAAATCAGTTATAAATGTGTTTTGAACTTAACCACATTACGTGAATATTATTTGATGAAAGGAATTAAAATAATTTTATTTTATTTATTTGGGTACGTCTGTAGAGTATTATAAATGGTATGTTTTTTTGTTCCGATATTGTTACCTGCATCTGTCTACTGGATGATTTAACTTCAAAACTTTAACTAGTGTTCTGTACCTTAGGAACCTTTGCACCATCAAAAGCGTCCGACTGAACAACAAATCTTTCTCATGAATTCAGTATTTCCTTTAGTAATTTTTCCATCTATTTTATTAGGTAAAATGAATTGCGATATACGTTGTACATTCCAATTAATGAGGTTTCTTTTGTTGATTAATTCATTATAATTTGTCGTTCGACCTGATAGTAGATCGTTACATGTAGTTTTGCTACTTCCTTTCTGTTGATTTTTTTTAAAAGATGCATTCTACAATAATTCATCATTTAGGACTTTGGTTTAAATCTTAATATGATTCGCATAAGAACTACACTGTTTTTGAAGCAGTCAGGAATTGTCGAGTATGTATCTTATTTAGCAGTTTACTTACCAGCTTATTTTTCCATAGTAACACTATTAAAATGAACAGAAATGTTTTAATAAATGTATTCTCTGAAAACTTGTAGATCATTATTTGACATATTCTAGTGTATACATATAATGCGCTCAGTTGTAAAAGATACTATACTCTAGTGAAAACTCAGATGTAACTGATAAGTTTGTTACAATGTTCTGAATAAGTGTTAGTTTTGTATGTTATGTCTATATTTAAATATGAAATTGTTTATTCCACTTGTAGAAAAATTTCCTTAATGTCTTGTAGCTATGTCGCAAGTATATGTGATAGCATGAAATACCTACCTATCTATGTTTTGCCAATCTTAGTAAAAATTTAATTTACTAGCTACTTTTTCAATACACATTTCATCATTTTTTGTTTACTGTATAGGTAATATTGCTTCAAGTATTGTTACACACTCCTTGTGCAACTTCTTCGGCTTACCAGATTTAATAGGTGCCATCGAAAGAGCTAAGTATCGTTGGGGTGTCTCTGGTCAAATTTTCGCTATTGGATCTCATCTTTTGGGGTTACTTTTATGGGCATATTTGTTATATCAAATAACTGAAACAAAATGGTCCTCATCAAACAACTGTCATTGTGATTGGTATTGAGAGTTTTCATGCCCATATGAATTATTATTTTTGGTGTTAATAGAACTGTTAAAATGTTTAGATCTTCGTTTCAATTAGACTGAAAATTCTTATCTGATATACAAATATTAAACATTTCTATAATCCCGGTAAACAGCAAATTTCAGTTCATCGAAGGTACAAAAGTAGTAGGAATTAAAACGGATTTCACACGAATTTCAAGGCTTCACCTCATATTCGGAATTGTAATTAGATTTTGTGCTGTTAAGTATGTACTTGTACGCCATTAGTTTGTTTGTTTTTTTACATTGTAAATGTGTACCCTTCTAAAATCAGTCATAATTATCAAAGTTTTCTGGTTTTCCTGTTTTTCGGTAGACGATCTATTACGCATATTTTAACAATATGTAGATTAATTACTGTTTGTGTCTTATAGACCACTTAGCTGGATTCTTCAGGTGCTACATAGACATATGCTCAGCTGAGTGAATTTCAGTAATTTCATGCTGTCATTGAGATACCACCTTACTAATTAAGTCCTCCGTTGTTCGACCGCATGCAATGGAGAGCTGGGAAACTAGTTTGGGAGGCTTTCGTATCATACGGCTTTCATGTATGTGGAAAATGAGTACTTAGAAATATTTATGCTCGTATATCCTGGGACCATCGAGTAAGTAATACAGTTGTTAGGAAATGGGTACTATGTAAGGATGGGAAATCAATTGATGACGTAGTGAAACTTCATCAGTTGAGATGGCTGGGACATGTGTTACGTATGCCCAACCATAGACTGCCTCGGTGCGCGATGCTTTATTGTATAGGAGTGCATTGGAAGAAAGCTAGGGTCGGCTAGATCAAAATATGGCACAAAACCATGGAGTCACTGACAAGTAGACTATCATATTGGTAGGTGTAGACTACCCGGTTGAGGACCGCAAGATGATAGCAACCGATGGTTAGAGACCCTGGGTGACATGGCTCAAAATCGTTTGCAATGGCGCAGGTGAATCCAATCTTTGTGTCCTTCCAAATTCCAACTTGAATTCTTCATGTCCCTTTCTTTTTCCTCTCCAAATTTATTTCACTGGATTATACTCATTGAATAACATCTTCAAACCCTAATTTTTCTGATTACGGCTTATAATTTTACTACATCTGGGACTACGGGATTTGAATAGGATACTGCATCTCTGTGCTCATGTGGTGTGGCAACTCGAAATGATGTACGTACGTACGAAGTTCTACGTTGTTACTGACTTTATGGACACATTCAGTTCAATTCATTTTTCATAAACATCAGGTTCCTTTAGAGTTTTTATGTTTATTCGAGGGTTCCTTTTAGTTTGGTCTCTCTGTTTCTTGAGAAATCTTGTGATTAAAACAAGTAAGGATGCTTGAACACTTCATTCCTCTGAACAATAATCTGAACCCACAATTTCGTATTTTAACGGTTTTGTTATCGCCAAATACTACTGCTAGTTTCGCTGTTGAATTTCAGATAATTATGTGTGTTTACATCAGATTTGATGCAGGTGTATGTATTTCTAGAGTCTCCATAACCAATCTTGATCTATATGTTATACTTTCTGCATTTTCTTCGCAAAATGTTTCCGTACATGATGTGCATCATGTGAGTTAGTAATAATCCACTTGATCTGAAGTGACTACAAACGTTTGTGGCTGTATATAATTTAAAATGATTAATTTCGCAAACCCGCATACTGGGTTTTCCACAAATGCAACTCAGATTAATCAGCTTACTTGTAAATTAGAGAGCTCTGCATCACAATTGCGTCTATCTACTTACAGAAGATATTGAGAACGAAATCCTATCAGGTTTGCTAGGTTTATATTGAGAGTCGTGACAATGTGAGTTTTGACCATTTATATTCTCCGCTCTTATAAAACTACTAGGTTGAACGTATGTATCTGTTATGCTCGTTAAGATTGAGTGGTACTACTGATTTATCTTACTCGGGACGGAACGAAGAATCAAGCAACCAGAGACTCGATAGGCTATACTGGTCCGTTGTTCCCGACTCAACTTACTCGATCCAGAAGTCTTGGTAAGATGTAGAAAGTGTATTCTACCGGCAACCACAAAATACTGGGTCCATCAGGCACACAAATCAAGCGTATTTAAACAAAATATATATAATCGGCATTGCCATGGAAGTTTTGAAACATTTGGTCGATAAGTTCTTCGATCGACTATGTTCGTGGGTGGTAAGAAATACCCAAGCATACTCCCGCGTACATGCTTCACAAAGATAAAACTACAAAGTATGAGTTTTTGGGGTCTAACGTCCCCAACAGTATTGCAGTCCCTTGATGCATCAACGTTTTTGCTTTTGCAATCTTCATATTGTTAGCCGAAACTGCATATTTTGAATAAGCTTCCGAACATTTAGTTTAGTCGGATTTCAACGCTTTGAGATGTCGCACGGGGTTCCAAATCGATCCTTCCAAAGCCGTGTGATCATGTCATCTAACAAGGTGGGCTTGTGTGTAACTGCGACTGTTGTAATCCACATAGTTAAGATGTATAGAAGCAGTATGTTTTCCGGTATCAACAAGCCAATTGTAAGGTTTGAAATGACCATGTCTTAGAATCCTTGACCTGTTCAATTTGTTGAGACTCACGAGGTGTCTAGGTTCACTTAAACTACTTCTGGGAGTGAATATATACTAATACAGTCTACATACAGACCGATTGTACGACAGGACTTTAACTGACTGATAAAGCTTGAGTAGGTCTCCAAACGGTCACGGTGTAAAAAGTCCTCTTTCCTGTTCATCTAGGGACTGGGCACTAGTTCTTCTCATTGGCAATTACCAAACTATTTCGACCATCCTCTTTGAATGGGAACCCAGATATCTCTGTGTGCCCCGACTATGAAGTTTCTGAGTTCTAATTGGTCCTGTCCCAGTACTAGTATTACTACATGCTTGACAGACTAGAGTGTTAACTATACTATCAAGCTATATATGTGTATCTACACCTCTTAGAAAATCAACCCGTTTCTTTAACCACAGGTAAGCAGAAATACATCTGTTGCGTCTAAACGCTAAATTAGTATGTAAGTGTGACAGATATCGAAGCCTAAACAGCACTCCTTACCAAAGGCTACTTGTTAGTTTTCTTTTTTAGATCTTTAATTTTTTCGTAGTATTAACGTTATATTTGGATTTTATTAGACACCACAATGGATTTTATACCAGTTCCGTAGTTACTTAAGAATATATGACACATATTACAATAAAAAGTGCAACATAAACAACCCCTTTATCGCGATAAAATGAGCTGCCTTGGTAATTAAAATACATCAACATTCACAGTCTAAGTGAATTGGTCAAACCATTAGGTTCTTCTGTGCATGGTATGAGATGTTTAGTCACCTACAGTCAACCGACATGTCCTAAGATCGTTAACACAGTAGTTGGTAAACTAATCTTGATGGTAGTATACTATAGTCTTAAGTCATATCTTGAACTACAATACATTTCATCAGTAACTATATGAAAGGATGCAAACTTAGAGACGTTATATGACAACATTATTATCGTATGATAATGACAATTTAGTACATATATCAAATATTATTTCGTACATAATCACAAACTTGGTTTGTGTTTTTGTATCATGGACTAAAATAATTTAATACAATGTAGTGGTTTTGCTTCGTTAACCGATCACCCTCGTAACCGATATTATATAAACATCAACGGTGTTTGAAATCAGAAGGCAAAAAGAAGCGGAAACTACAGTTTATTAGCGGATAGCGCAGATCGCAAAGCTATAAGCACATTAAGCGAATCTTTAGCACATAGGTGAATATGTATATGCGAGCAACTACAAATGCATATTTATAGTCAAATTTCATAAGAGCACAGCAATGCAAAGCGCGTGCTAGTAATGTGATCCGCGGACATATTTTCTTGGGGGAGTACAACGAATCACCGAGGGATATTTTTGCGATCGAAATTTTAGCTACAATTTGTCACATTCTCTAGCGATCGTAGCGGCGCAAAGAATTATTCGAATTGTTACTGTCTAAATAAAATTGTCTGTTGAGTCAATAAAAGGTTATGGACAAAATTAACCATAACAGTTATTGTTTATATGATAGTTGATATAACCAGAATGATTATTCGATATGGGTTTTATTTGGAATCAATAACCGACCAATGTGATAGCAACGCTGAAAAGCTTGGAGCACTGGATGTCCGTCTCACTATAGGATGATACTCTCACGAACAACCGATATCCACCCATAAACCTGAATTTTCAAAACATTCTGCTGTATGTAAAGTGTTTTAAGGCTAGATAATGACAACTACAGTTGAATGGATGTGTAGATTGAGTCAGTATTGATAATGATGTGATTTCAACGTAGTCTTATAAGTTAAGTGGTTATATTATAGCCGTTTTGCAATGTCACATTTGGTATATCATTTTAGTAGCGTACATAAGTGTCATAATTTATACACAGATCAAATCCTTCAACGCATGGATAACTTGTTGTCTTTGCTTAAATAAGCACCGCAATTCATCTTTTGAACAACAAAAGGGTCGAATTTTTTATTGGAAACGAAAAAAACACACTGATATTGAATTTTTGAATGTTTTTGGAATTTTAAGGCATACACGGATCACCTGATGTTTAGAACACCAGAAATCAATATAAGTCTCTTAGTCATGAAATGACTTAATATAAAACACACCTGTCGTTTAATTCCCTTATTTTCATTCTTTCAATCATCCGTACGTATATATAGTATGTACCAAATTTCAGTGTGCTTCCTGAATTGTAACGATTTCGAAATCTCATCACGTCGATTACATTTATGATAGTTATCAATTTCTCTTATTAACAAGTGTAAGTTTATAACATGTGTTACTTGAGATCGACCTTGAATACTTTAAACACACGATATCCGCGGTGAACACGATTGTTCAAGGTCGTTGGTTTTAAAGAGGTAATTTTGAACCCATACCGAGAACCTCGTGCTATAGTCGCGGTAAATTAGTTTTTATCAAAGTTTTTGGTTTAGAACTATTTAAGTGTCATTTGATTGTTCCCAGCTTCAATTTTGTGGTTGACTTATGTGACATTCTCTGAGGTTTGTTATTTGACACTACAAAGGTGGTAAAATAGATATTAATGAGATACGAAGGTAAAAGTTAGTTCCAAATAAATGGGTTCAAGTTTCATAAGTTCAAGTTTTCCACAAGTTTATCACTGGGATCCGTTGTTTTACGTCATATTTTGTTGATGCTTGGATTCTGTACATGTTTCAGTTTCAGTTTCAGTTTGGGAAGGACAGGAGGCTCGATGGCCTATGTTAGTCCTGGCAATGGTGGTCTCTCAGTTGATCCAACCTTCTTTTGAAAGAGTCGAAGGATGGAGCCTCAACCACGTGCTGAGGTAGTGAATTCCACTCGTTGATGATTCGATGGGAAAGTCGATAGTCAGCTGACAAGTAATTTGTTCTCGGCTTATGAACTTTTTTGGAGTGTCCTCGTAAATTGTCTGTTTTGGAAGACAAGAAAAATGAGGGCATGTTAGGTGCAAATTTATCACTAAGCAATTTGTAGACTGTAATCAAGTCGCCTCTAGTTCTGCGATATGACAACGGGAAAAGGTTCAGCTTGGCCAGTCGAGATTCATACGGAAGCTTCGCTATTGCGGGAACCAGCTTAGTCGCCATTCTCTGAACCTTTTCCAGAAGCTCTCTGTCTTTTTTAAAGCAGGGGCTAGCCGCTTGTATGCAGTACTCAAGTTTAGGACGAACGAACACTGTATACAAAGTCAAAAACGTCTTAGTGTCGACATGACTAAAAGCCCTACGTATTGACCATAACGTTCTAAAACTTTTGGCGGCTATTGCACGGCAGTGTGCAGTAGTCTTTAAGTCTTGACTAACGATAACTCCTAAGTCATTATATGTCTGGACGACAGGTAGCTCAGTGTTATTCATCGTGTATGTTTATTGTAGAACGTGTTTGCTGATTATTGTTAACGTTTAGTGCTAATCATTCTAGAGGGCTAGCTGTTCCTAGCCCTTGAAATAATGAAATGCATCGGAGTATTTACTAAAGCATTTGAACGATGTCCTGAGCTACCAATTTCAGGGAAATTTTGGGGAAGACGCTATAGTAAACTTTGGGGAAACGGCAAAGAAACCTCAAAATTCCCCTTTAAGCTTGGTCAAGGTCATCCAAGTTTGGGGATTTCTCAAAATTCCCCAAGATTTACCCTAACCTGGGAGCTCGGGGTGGTATATAAAAATGACATCAAAACTTCGACAGGAAAGGTAATTCAGGATGTTCTCACTTTTAGGTCACGACTAACAATTATATTAAAGTTATTTTATCCTAGCTGTTTCAATGGTGGTTTTCAATGCTGTAATCATTGTAAATTATTTCATTCAACGTGATTATCTTCCAACCATGTATTTTCGACAATTATGTGGAGATGAATGTCCCAGATTTGATTAATAATAAACGTTTTGGAATATTTAAAATCGCTAAACAGAGTCTCGTCTAATAGAATGTGTCTTATGATACATGGTGGTTGAATGTTTATTTATTTATTTAAAATAATATTGGCACAACTAAGCACCAATAGATATTCGCCACTTAGATCATTCGAGTTTGGTGAAGACTGGGATGCTGTCCTGGTGCCCGAATCGAAACAGGTAGTTTTCTTAGGAGACCACACCCGAAGCCTTTGACCCAAAGGTCCAATCCACAAGGCAGTGGAGCAATATAAAGAGATGCAGTCCCATGGTAGCCGGTGACCAATAACTGGTTCACACGCCATTTGTTTCCTCAGGATCCTGGAGTTTATGTGCACGATTGGTTTGGAATCAGGGTTTTTTACAACTCCCTCAGGTGAATTGATGTTCATAGATGGATTTTCGGTGGATATATTTTCACGAGATCGATCTATTGACAAAAACCACTTTTCAAATTGGTTTCAATAGGCAACACAGTCGATCCGTGGAATTAAATTATTCTACTCTAAAGTCGAATGCTTCAATGCAAAGTGTTACAGAGGAAAGCAAACATGGTTGGATATCATTCAGAAAATAACGATTCGGATGATGCAAATACTGGAGGTCACACTGTCTCCAATAGAATTGAGACCTGGCTGTCAGACTAAATCTTTAATTCGTCATTTCTGTAACAGCTAATTCATCAAACTCACTTTCAAGTTCAACCTTGTCAATATCGCCACAAAAATCCACCCAAAATACCATTATCTTTCCCTTGCCTACTAGGAGCGTTAACCCTTCAAAAGTATTATGAAAGTCATTTCGATTGTTAACTTAAGATGGGGCTTTTCATTTAGCAATTAATAAAGGTGCTAATAAGGTGAAAAGTATTGCACATGTACTGTTACGTCGATTGAAAACAGTTACATCACCAGAATTAGCAACCCTGTTTAGCCATATTCCTTATCCAAAATGGTCGGGAATGTTAATTGCAATATTCATTCCTCCTTATATTTCTGGTCACCAGTAGTAATATCCTCAGTTAGGTCACTTTTTGCGACATTTTTGTACTTGGTTTATATGTGCCAATTCATGTCTATTATCGCAATTTTTCTTCTCGAACAGGTAATGGGGCTGTGCGATGCGTTAAGAGGAAACGTGATTTACGAGACGATAAGAGTAAGATAATTTTACATAGGATTTTGTAAATGTATTGTTTTTCATTTATTACAGAATATTACGTTTATTAGTTTTTTTGTGAACCGTTAGTTTATCATTTATTCGCAGTCCCACAAAACCAAGCAGCTTCAGTTCTTTTTACAAGTTAATGCTGATCAGCATCTATTTTTTTGTATGAATGTATAAAAACTGAATTTCCTTTGCTAAAAAATTTATTGCCCATAAATAAACTCTTTGTTCATTAGATAATAAAGTGCTTAATCATATAATCTCTATGATTTCAGTGTTTTTTTTCATGTAAAATGACTAAAATGCTTACGTTTCACTTTAAAGCCAAAAATCACTTGACGGTTGTAAGATATAGTATAGTTCAAATACTAGTGTATTAAGAAACCATTTTTTCTGAAATGCGCTCATTCGTAAAAAAGTTTATGGAAGATCTCAAATTATATTAGAAATACGCAATAATAAATAGCCATAACCCTTAATGTCACAGAATGCACCTAACTATATTTGCTGTTCAGCTAATCGCGATTTTGACTGGAAGTGCTAAAATCCCACATGTATCAAATACACACCTTCCATGACATTCATTTTTTCTCTGGTTTAGCTTAAATTTCTTTAAATCAGATGATTATACCAAGATAAAACGTACAAATACTTCGGTTCATGTTCCTTTTTTTATAAGTTGTATTTGGGCACAGCACATCTCCAACCGTCATTGTATCCTTTTTAAAATCGAGGTACATAAAATAAAAACAACACTACTTTATATTGTTCTCCAGGTCATACTCAATAATTTCACGACTCAAACTTGCGACCCAAATACCATAATACGAAGCCATGTTTTTTAATGACTACTTTGAGGATTTTACTTCCTGACTTCCATCCTAACTAGCATCCATAGGTTTTGCAGTGGTAAGCTGATCTGCTCTTTTCGTCATCAGATACATTTCCCCTACCTTTCATTTCTAATTTCAATACTAATTCTCATTGTAAATCAAAGGATAAGTAAATTTATATATTAATATACTAAAAGTCATGGCAAGGATTGGCAAAGCAAGGACAGCATTCTTACATTTAAAGAACATGTAAAACTTAAAACAACTGTCAGTCAACAGCAAAGTCAGAATTTCCAATACAAACGTCCAGACAGTTGTATTCTACGGAGCTGAAACGCGGAGTACTACTATAACCATAATAACGATGAAGGTATTTATAAACGGTTGTTTAGGCTAGATACTCCATATCCGTTGGTCGGATACCATCAGCAACAACTTACTATGGCAGAGAACAAACCAGCTTCCATTTGAACTCAAAATTAGGAAAAGACGATGAAGGTGGATAAGATGTACATTGCTGAAATCATCAGACTGCATCACAAGGCAAGGATTTGGAATCCTGAAAGGAAAGGCAAAGAAGAAACCAAGGAACACATTGGTTCAGGACTTGGAAGCAGACATGAAAAGAATGAATAGCAACTGTAAAGGATTATCCAGGACAGAGTTCGATGGAGAATCGTGGTTGGCAGCCTATACTCCTCTGAGAGTGGTAACAGGTGTAACGTCAACTTCACCAGCCATAGTTAGACATTATAAACTGCATATTATCCACTTACCTAAATGAACTCTTTATCAAAAGTTACTTATTCACACAATATTGCTGTTTTTATCTTTTGATAGTCTAATTGCATTAAGGTTCATCAAATTGATTTGCAACGAACAGTCATTATTTCTTCAATAATACTAAATTGTTTATTTTTAAAATGCTTTTCTTAACTTATAAATGTTAATCATATTACTCCAATATAATTGAATCAACAGACCGATACACTTCTTATAATCGTATGTTTTATGTTTTATTGTACTTAGCCTTATGTTATGTTATGCTTGCCAAATGATTCATTGGCTTCAGAGTCGTATTTTTCTGAATTGAAGTGTGCATCTGCCTACTTGGATTGTACCTATTTTATTCTACGTGTTATCAATACTGAGTTGTTACAGATAAAGCGATCGGCTAAAATGAAGGTTAGTTTGTAAGTTAATCCATGGAATTCATGAATTAGTCTTTTTAATTAACGTTCTCGTGTCGGGTTTAAAACCAACGTACCCTATACCAGTTACACACTTCGGCACTGAGACTTAGTTACACTGAGTTTTGCTTGAGGGTTCTGCTTCGGGTTTTAAGTATAATCATATCATTTCGTACATCAGTGACTGTACTTGGTAAATAATGCTTCTAAGGTAATGTGACAAGTATTTGAACAGTGTGGACTGTCATTCAGTGATTTATTTATAGTGTGACGTCCAGTCGCGGTTGACTATGACCACCACTACAGGAAGACTACGTGCCAGTTAACCGATAAGATCCCCATAGGCCAAATATCTGAAGGCAGTTAATGACTGTAGTCGAGATGTATTTGTTGGTGTTCTCGTGGTATTGAAAGAATACCGAGATCGTGCCAGGTTACAAGTGTGGTCACTGAGCGTAACCGAATTCGTGCAAGGTCACAAGCAACTGAAGAATGTATGTATTTTGGTACAGTTAAACAAACAAGTACGGTAAAACAATCCCTGGTAGAATTGGTTATGATAATATTTGTTTCAATTATACCAATCGCGTTCTCTTGGTAAAAGTAGATCACTACAGATTCATCTTACAACGTCAATGACTTAGGAATTTTGACGTACACTATCCCAGTGCTCTTATATGATTAGTTTCGTGAGATACATAATCATCATGCTTCATAATCTGTTTGTAAATCACAACTGTGGTTAGATGCTATACAACTTAGTAGTTTACGACACCACCAGTTCCCTCAAGAGTACAGGTATACCTTGCCGATAAGTGTCAAATAAAACGAAACACAGATCTAAGGCTTCCTGCCAACTATATCCAATCCCCTAGTATCTTAACATGTTGCACACGATAGCTAATTACTTAAACCAGTGACCACATTATATATTGATTTATGGAATTTAATCAACACCAAAGGACCAGACAAATATGACATTGTTCACTACCCAGTAATTAATCAAATGTAGTTTACACCATCAGTAATGACTGAACGATCAGGATTAATCGCTCTTCCATCATATGTTTGTCTTACTTTCCCCACGAACAGGATACCAAGCTTATAAAGTCATCCGTGATTGTGTTTAATGTAAATGTTACTTATAGTGTTATTATTACTATTATTGTTATACTATTTATAACACTATTTCACTCATCTAATTTCACGTTGGCACATTTTTTTGTGTGCAAAAATCTTAATGCCTTTTTATTTTACATATTAAATAGTAAATAATAACCATGATTTAAAAACAATATCTTTTTTTCTCATCTCATTTTATTGAAACAAGTCCGACGATTTTTATAGAAATGTATTATCCATATTTGATTTACTGCTTAAACCTGAGAAGAAACCATCAGAATTTCTGGGCGAACCACCAAAACGTAAGTAGTTTTGTTTTCGATCCAAAAAAGTATTGTTGATATTCAAGTAAATGATTCTTTGCTGTGATTTTCATCAAATTAAATTCACCTTTTACCGGTGTCAGTCAGTACCATATTAAATCGTATGTACATCAAAATATCGATCATTTACTTATAAGAAGTGTTTAAACCAATTCTTATAGTTGCACTGATTTTACAAATGGGTAACTAAGTGTATACAATTGTGAACCTATTAGGTATATCTATTATACAGCTAGTATAAATCACCTGAAGTAAATTAGTTTCAACTTTTTATTATAATCACACTGATTTGCTTTTTATCATTATTTGGTTTATTCCTTGATGATATAACAAATATTCCATCAGGTATTATCATTTAAAACAATTCAAAGTCAGTTAATTGATAATATTAGTTTAATTCTTTATAAAAAGTAATTATATATATTTATTGTTATTGTAGCAAAAAGTGATTTATTTCGGCATTCAAAACATTCCCATCTACGTCATTATTTCACTCAAGTATGGATATCGTTTCTAAACAACGAAGTTAGTTTTACTTAGTTTATTTATACCTTATAATTATTTCTGATAATAAAGTTGTAAATGATCATTAATTTGCAAAAAATGCATAGTGAAATCGGCAGATGTATAGTTGGTTTGTCTGTATAGTTAACGTACAAACAACTGATCATTTAACTTTTTCTGTCCACTACTGAATTAGAGACAATATAATAACGAAAAGCTTCAAATAATAAATGTGACTTACACCTTCATCAAACGTTGTAAGTGAATGCTGAGATACTTCAGTATGTTGTTATTAATTACTATAATAAATTCTATAAACAAACTAGATATTGGATATACACACAATTTCCCTATTTAAATTTTAGTTCGTAAAATATGTACAGCATTAAATACCTTTCGTGTCATGACATTATTTTCGCATTTATCTACTTGAATTTAAGAAACATTATAGTTTGACATTCCTCGACTTCAGTCAGTCAGTTACAACGTAGGACCAGGCACATATGTGCATCGGTCCAAGTTGCCACACCTTATTAGCACAGCAAGATGAACACCAAATTCATAGAAGCAATTAACTCAATGGTGTAATGTATAAAGGAAAGATTGCATATAAGGATATAGTGCAGGAAGAAAGCTAGTTCGTAGAAAGAAAGATATGAAATAATTTTAGTCGCATAGTTTAAGGGAAGATAGAGAGTGCATACACCTACGCCATTGTGATCGATTCTGAGCCATTTCACCCACAGTCTCCAACCATTGTTTACGATAGTCACGCGGACCTCAACCAAGTAGTCTGCAATTACCAACATGGCTCAGACTAGAAGTTAGTGACTTCAAGCACTAATGTCACGTTTTGGTTTGGCCGCCCCCAACTTTCTTCCTCGACTTCCCACTTTATCAACACATTTAAACATAGTGAATCTGTAATATCATTTTAACTGACTTACCGAATACAGATTTGTGTAATTGACTTTTAACTGCACTCTTTGCTAGAGCTAGAAATATGTTACGCTCTTAATAGGATAGAGAATAAGCGTTAACTCTACGAATTTCACAAGCCTATTATGATCTAATTGTTTAGAGTAACATAATTTTAACCCACTAAATAAACAAATAAAAACTGGTCTCACATACGAGAACCCTTACTATCCATGTAAGAAAAGAGAATGTTATTGTTAAACTTCGGGAATCAAGAAAAAATAACGTCATTGCAAAATGCCAACCAGTAGAGCTAACACATGTTGCATGTGAGGTGGCTATCCACCGAAGATAATGGGAAATGGTCGTGCAAAGTCACTGATTGACTGATGTTAGACATTAACACTGTTTGACGCCAACTCAGTAGTTTGGAGATTAAGTTTTCGAGCGCCACCAAATGTCCTAGGTCCGAGTCCTACGTGTGGAATCGTGGATGCGTACTGTTAGGGAGTCATATACTAGAACGAAACGGCCGTCCAGTGTGTTGTGACGGGTGGTGTCTCAAATCCGATACAATGTACTACTCGCTAACCCTCCCCCCAACTGACTAATTGAACGAGAACACAAGATTAAGCAAGAAAGTATATTGGGCTACTGAATATAATGCACAAATACTCATTTAGCTATACACAACTCTACCCCCTAGGAAATCAATCTATTTCTTAGCCAATGGAATTCACTTCTCGAAGTCATTTTTGATCGCTGTCGATTGACCTGATTAGGCTACTTCTGATTGACGCACCATATCACACTGCTTCCAGGTTTTCTGTAGTGTCTTATGATTTCAACAATATTAGATATTTGTTCTCCGTTGTTGATAAACTCGGTATGGTGAAATATCATTGGTTGAACTTCCACAACCAATCAAATCAAATTCATTTCGAGGATGTATTTTCAACTGTTTTGTTAGTTATTTAAATGTAGAAAATCCTAATTGTGTGGTTGCTGAACTCCTTTGTTATCTGAATCTATTTCTTAATGAAATTGGTAACTTTTATTTCTATACTCAATGGGACCAACAGTTAAGCAGAATTAATGATGAAGTAAGAATAAATATTTGAAACAAAATTCTAGAGTTTTTTTCCATCAGAATTATCCACTACAATTTCTGTCTAATTTTCTGCCTAACAAACCGATCATCTTCTTTCTGCATCCTATCGCCTCATTAGATAGGCAGGTGATACTCCCCTCTTTACATTGACACTTGTGTGATAATTATTGTTTGCTACTTTATTAAATGAGGTTGTTTATCTATGTACTTGAATTCCTTAAAAATAGTTTGAATTCAGTAAACCCCCAACGTCTAGATATTCTTGTGTCATGCAGTTAATATATGACATTCTAGATTAGTTAATAAAAGTTACTGTGATAATTTCGTATTTTTCCACAATGCTCAACAGTTGATATTCAAATAACTGTAAACTGTATGCTAGCAAGCGTAAATGTCCTTAATTATATCATAAACTATCCTGTTAATCTAATGAATCATCATTGTTACAGTATTTAATTAATGTTACTGTTTGAATAATAATAATAATAATAATAATAATAATTTATGGTTCAAATTACATTTGTATCAGATACTTAGTACTGTTTTATTTTCACTCTTCATAGTGAATTTGTAATTGTATTGCTTAAGTCATTTGTATGACAAGTGATAATTTGTATATTAATCTAATTAATTGATTATTAATTCTATCCTGTGGTGTTTATTCTTCTATATATATGCAGATAGCAGTGATCACAAAAGGGGTACGAAATCGTAATTCACATGTTAAAAATCATGCAGGAAGCATTAACGCTTATTAGACTTCAAGCTACTTGCATGAATTTATACAATCCTTGTAATTTTTACACGTCGATTCATAGTATTATTCATCACTTTCATTAATCTTTTTTATTCGCTCACCTAGTTATCAGATGACGTACGTCTAGAATCCGTACGGTATTTGGGTAATGGAGGCATGAATCGCTTAGCTGAAATTCGCTTATTAGCTGATCACATTATACCAATTTTTGATCCTGATCCAGAGAATAAATTGTCTCAAACAGAATTGACAAAATTTCCAACTAGTTGGTCTCGTGCAGTTTGTCATGCAGTACTCGGTTTAATTCAAAAAGGTGATTTCAATTATCCACGTTTGTACATTCGACTGTATCGTTTATTGGATGAAACTTTGTTTGAATGTCCAGATGTTGAACCTTTTCTGATTGATTTAGATGTTTATTTAAGCTCCATGTAAGTGTTCATTCTAGTAATCCCTTAATATGAAACGATTTTAATTCGACTAAAGTACTATGTTTTTTAACTTCCGAATTATAACTTGTGACTACGTAATAAGTATGTACAGTCTTGATAGAACCTTTTCAGGCCAGTCGAGATTTCTGAATCTGTGCTGGGATTTCATTTATATACCATCCCATAAGAATCAGCAAAAATTTCAAGTAAAGTGGTGTTTTCGCTCAAGTTTTATAGTATTTAGCCTGCAAGCTTTGTATAATAGTCTCTGAGTATCTCATGAAGTTAGGATGTATAACTACTTCGCCAAGATAAATATTAAATAATAATAACACTTCTGAACTCCCAAAATAGGTGATTCATAAACTTTAACAGACCATACGATTATTATTAATAGTATGAATAATCTTTGCTAATGGAAACATTCAAAAATGAACTCAAGCCATCCACGTTAAAATAGTGAATACTAATTCACGCCAGTTGTTTATCATTTCATAATTATTCATAGTATAATACATCAAACACAATAAAAGTTTACTTTATTTCAATAATTGAGGTCATGAGTCAGTTGAAGCTAGACTTCCATGAAAAACCTGGAAGCAGTGGACGGCCATTTCTTCCTATTGTGGGACCCCTCAGCAGTGCGCACCTCGCGAGATACGAAACCAGGATCTATCGGTCTCGCGCGCGAACGCTTAACCTCTAAACCACTGAGCCGACATCCAAAGGTGTTAATGTCTAAGTTCAAACAATCCAATATGGAATTTTCTATTTTCGATAGGTGAATTTAAAAATCACACCAGAGTTATTCTCAACTGTATCATGTCAATTAATTGTATCGTACCCAGGAATTCCGGTCAAATTTTCCGTGCATTGAGTTGCCTTTTATTATACATTAAAGAGTAGATTTTAATTAAAGAATGAATTAGAAGCTTTAATGTTTCTGGTTGAGATATAACTAGACATATCCATTGCAGATTATAATTATACTGACTTTTGTCCAGTGCTTATAGGTTTTCCATCATGATCTAGCTCCAATTGACTCATGATCTCCATTATTGAGTTTACTTTATTGTTGAAAATAATGTAAAAATGTCATGTGCCAACAGTTATCATTCTATTTTTTGTACTTAATCAATTTATTGTTTTTGTTTCTTTCTTTAAATGACAACTAGTTACCCGACTTTTCCCTTATTTTATACTTGTATTCTATGAATTTTCTTCTGTTAAGATTATTCTAACTTTTATTATTCTTTATAACATATATGTGTTGTCTATTTGTTAGTTATCAGTGTTTTCATTTTTTGATAATACTGAAAACTTCATTTGTTGTTTCCTGGAATTCTCTATTATTGTTTCTGATTATGTTGTTGTTCTTGTTTTTTCTCTCCAGACATTTAGCTACCACAGTTGTTGCATCATTCATAAAACGACTTTCTCAATTATCTTTATTTAGTCCAATTACAATTACACCTGCAATACTTTTAATCATCTTCAATGGTTTACAAAATCATCCTCATTGTCGTGTTTTAATTAACTGTAAACAGAAAAAATCACAAAAATTAAATAATATTCAATCGGATGATAATAGTTTACCAAATGTGTTCAATGTAAGTTTTCTATTTTCTTTTTCTACAACTGTCCTGTTTATGAAAATGAAGATTTTGCCAATACATAATAGGGATATATATTCATTTGTTGTTTTGTAAAACAAGAATAATACCTACTATGAGATGATATTATAAATTCATTACATTCTACAATATTTTTTGTGGTTTTTTTTATCGTCAAACAAAATTTGTCAAATACAAGTAATTGCATATGGTGTCCTATTTTTTTTTCTCTAGGCACAATCAATTGGTGATCCTTATAATTGGGAAGCAGATAATTTTGATTCATCTAGAGCATTAGAAAGTAGTCTATGGGAAGTTTATGCATTAATTGGTCATTGTTCACCAGATATCTCATCATTAGCTTATAAAATTTGTAATCCTGATCCAACGGATACTTTTAATTCCTCTGTGGCTGACATACTTGATAAACAAAAAAAGGTGAGTTGTAATTCCTTTTCTAATATTTTAACAATGGTCAATCATTTCTATGTAGTCTAAATACTCCAACCTGACTGTTTTATTAACATTTATCGAATTCTGTTTCACTGAAATACAAGGTGTGGTCGTTCAAATTAGTAATTGACTTTTGGTACATTTGTATATGAACGAGCGTTCAAAATGTTTTTTTTCCTAACATGATGAAATAGATTTTCAGTTGAAGCAATTGCTTGTATTGTCTGAGTTAAATGGTTCAATCGTGATGTGTCCATTGAAGTTCTGTATAAAATCATCAACTCCTACTTCATGTAGAATGAGCAGTTGTAATCAAGATGGAAATATGGAATATCGGATTCCGGCTCAGTGGTATGTTTATGTAACATCCCACGAAATTTATAGCTCCGTCGTTCGATTTTGAATAAGATTATAAGTGAGAAATATTTAACTGGTCCTTGTTTTCAGTAGTTATCCAATTGGTTCGAACGTGTGATGAAAAACTATCTTCACGTTGACCTAATCTCCCTGAACCTTTCAACCATAAAACTGGAAAATGTTGAAGTGTAATGCAGTCAGTTTTGGACGACTCAGAAACCTTGACATCAAAGTGAATAATCTAAATTTTCAGTTGGTTGTTAATAATCTCTCTAAACCGGCTTGTAAAAATAGTAGCACTAATTAGAGCATCCAAGTAGCGAGCAACCTTTTTCAATATTTACAGAAGTATGAAAAACGGGTGTATCTACATTTTTTAATTTGTCTTTAATTATGGAATTCCCGTTGTCCAAATTTCGATTTTAGCTGTCTGTGTATCCGATGTAAGAAGCCTGTACACATTCATATGTTAGATTATGAACATCTATAACATTTAATATCTCTATTATGAGACTTTTTTGTCATGCTATTCTAACTGTTATCACAAAGTCGAGGAAACGATGACCTACTCGTTAGATATTTTATAGTTTCCTCAATAAGTGCAATTTCTATATATTACTAACATTGACGTCATTTACCAAATTGTTTCATTATACTGGAGAAGTGTTTAGCAATCAGTCATTATCAAACACACATTATACTTCTATTTCATCCTATAACAGCTGTTTAGTACAGCAGATATAGCTGTTATTTGTGTCTACATTGTTCATTATCGGATTCTGGATAACTCATCGAAAAATATACATGGAAATTTATGCTGAATCTTCTTTGTTATTACCAATGATTTTCAGTAAATTATATCAAAACACTTTAAACAACTATCATGTTATCCCATTCTGTCGAAAGATCCCGCTTTAAGTGGTTATTTGCCATCAGGGAATTCAGTGGCATTATAAAATCATATAATCATAATAAATGTTAACATGTTTAGTGAATGTCTTTCACAAAACTTTTTTCGAATGGAAAACTTTAGGAAAGACTGCATGTTTGTGACTCCTAGCGAAATATATATTTTAAACAGACTTCCTGGTCAGTTTCAGGGTTAAAATGAAGACGCTTACCGTCTAAACTGGATTGCGGCCTTTCCTGGTGTAGTTGAAAACCTTTGATCTCCATCACTAGAAACATTACAAGTCGCTTTGTTCAAATAACCGACTTCCAACTCTGAAAGCGAAACCCTGTTCAGAAAATTATCTTCAAGGGTATGACCAACGGAAAATATTCCAACATACTAAAATAAGTCAATTAGGGCAACTGTTCAGAAAAAGCCCTACATGATGTATTGTCTTATCGCTCTTCACATCACCTACCATTTGTTTTAAAGTGTTGGCGCTATCACATAACATAACTCGGAAAAGTTTATAGAGGATCAATTGGCAAGAAGCAGACTAGATTTCATTCTAGTCATAAATGCTGTAAATATACGTTCATTCACTGTCGCATATATCTTTGAGCAACGGACATTATCACTTGACATCAAAAACATCTGTTGTTGAAGTACCCCTAAACAATGCACTGATATTTTATTAATTGCTTAAAAATGTATTCAGTATTGGATGACATGCATGCTGTTCAGGTCATATGTGCACGAATAATGATGACCAGAAAATAGTTATGCTAATATAGAACACATCGTTATCCAGACAATATGTTACTTAAAACAAGCCTATGATGTCTGCGATTCTACCTTACCCGATTATGACTTTGACGTAATCTACACATGTTGCCTCGATGGCTTCCATATCGCACGTTTTACACACACTAGGACTGAGTGGAAAATGAGTAGGGATCGTCGGTTTATAATTTTGACTTATGACATAAGGGTTAGTTGCACTGAATTCACAGCAGCTGCCTGAATTTAATCTCATCACACGAATGTATGGTCTGAAACTTTTCCTGTACTACCTAGACTACAAACTAGTAATCACCCCGTCATAATTTTTGATTAGTTGTTTGGAAACCGTCCAGGGCATCTAACTAACCAAATATATTTTATATGCAGAGTTGGATGATGGCTGACAGTGAAATCTAGAACGCTCGTTCCGTCGCATATGGAACTTGTCAGCTGGACCCATCAAGGAAATTGGTATAGTATGCACGTACGCCGAAAAAGGCTGACCGATTGCAGTCCTAAACATCAACGAGAACATTCAAACAACCAACATAAATGAATTAAATATATTTTACTTATGTTATCACCGTAACTGTATCTTATAATAATCCATAATATTCGTCCTCAATAACTTTTTTATTTGTATCCTTAGGATATTGTTACATTTTGTGTTTTGTTTCCGGGTAACTTACTGTACCTGACTTTTTTAAGTTAAACAATACGGTTATACGTTTTGGTTGAATAACAGAACATTAATTCAAAATAACTTGGCTCTAGCCCCAATCGTAATTTATCATTTCTTTCTTCTAGAATATTAAAGAAGCAACCCGCTCTGTGAAGGAAGCATTGTACCTGTTATCTCAAACTAATATTACGATGCCAGAGTTACCTCCGCTTGATGGTTGGGCGTAATTGATTTTCCTTTTTGGTGCAGAAACGTTTAAGTTTTTATACAACTTACTATCTGTGCAAGAAACATTTTTAAGTATAAATATCTAATTCTTTTGTATAATACCGAACGTTTATTAATTCTGTTCATATTTTCACCTTTCTACTGTTATATCCAGTAGCTTAATTTCGTGTAAATGATGTATACATCCTATGAGTTGTATTTACATGATAAGATAATTATTAAAATGTTTTTGTATTTATTTACTTTTATACTGTTCTCATTTTTTGTTGCGATAAATTTTCGTACAGTACAAACATTTCACTGAAAAATGAAGTTTACTAGACAAACTGCGTTTTGCCGGATGCATTCACGATTAATATATTTAACCATGGTCTTTTGCTAATGCTATTCAGTGAAAGTGTCATTAATTGGCATTAACTTGACAATTTTTGACCTTTCACTCTAATTGGTTGAGCTATTAAGTCAACTATCAACTTGCTCTTAGTTAAACCGTTTTCTGTAAAATGGTGATGAAAAATAATGGTCAAGTTTATCCGTCATATGAGCTATATATGCACAGTGCTAGAAAGTAAATAGCCAGAATATGGAAAAGAAAAAATCAGGTTTCTCAGTGTTATGGGCTATTAATATCGATCAACCTAAAAGCCTAAGTGTCACAATGATCCGACATACTATCATATTAACGCACCAAAAACCTTACACTTTCTCAGTGTTCATCATACCATATTTTAGTCTGGGGATTATCTGTTTTGTATACTTTAGTTTGTTGCATTATGGTATGAACTACACGATAATGTACCCATCTTATTAAATACCAGATAGTTACAAGGGTGAACTGAAGTTATAGAGTAGTTTCAAACGCACGTAAACATAATAACTTTTTGGGTCGTTATATTACCTATTTTAGGGTGCTTCCTGTTCCTCAAGTGATTTCTTCCTGAAGTTAAATGGGTTTAGGGAACATTCCTATTCAGTCTTCGTCGGCGTTAATAAATTCCTTTTATTGTTTGTAGTTGTGTGACTAATTTCGTATGACAATGAGCAGCTGAGTATGATGTATTTCGCGACAACTGATAAGTATTCAATAGTATTGTACAGTGACAGAGGACCGAATTAAGAAGGGCTGACGAAGCCTTCTGTAAATAACCGATTGGTGCAATAAGTAATCATATAATATTTTGTTTACCCGGCCTGTCTCTGAATATACCTCAATGTGAAATGAGATCGGTTTGCGTAATAGACGGTAAGGAGCTTTATGAAGACCCTTACAAAATTAAGTCTAAACAAGAGTTGGTTTACAAGGTGAGCCTACACACGTCCAATTTCCTGTACTGTATATGGTACTGTAGGGTCATATAACGGCTGAATGTTGACTGCTGTGGGATTATTCGCATAACGAATTCTGAATTTTCATGTTTACCTGCAGTATGCACACGAATTCGAATATTTATCCATTAATTTTAGGCATTTTAACGGATTGCAATTTTTCCTGATTGATTGATTGAATTTTTACTGACTGAAATACAGTTCAGGTTGTACTGGCCCTGTTATTCTCATTGTATTATTACATCATAATTTGCTGATGTAGTGGTATTGAGTCCTAACCATACAGTCCTCAAAGCTGAACATGAGATAAATGGGAAAATGGATTTTCCAGATTTAGGACGGAGAAAAGGCCAACTATATGGAATGCGGCAACATTAATTCCATTGGAACGGTGCCCCTCGGGCGTACAGGCGTGGTCATTCTTATGCAACCCATACCTTTCTACATTATATGTTACTCCATCCCTAGCCAAAATGTGTTCGTCCTAAGTATCATATTGTTACTTATCACGATATGATGAGTCTGTGTAGACAAGGCTGTGACTCACACGTAAGATCTTATATATTAGGCAGTCATATCATAGCATATCCACAATGACTCTTACAGTAACTAGCACATTTCAAAGTGATGTGTCAGAAGTATATAATGTGTAACTAAGGAATAACAGGAAACTACATCAATACATCTTAATCAATATCAACAATATCTTAAATATTTAGTTTATTACGTGCCAATGATCAGTAAATTAAAATACAGCAAGACATCTGGGCAGTTACATTTTGCATATATGTAATTGTTTGTGATCCAAACGTAATCAACGACTAAGAATCAAGAGGTATCAAATAATCACAGTCAAATGGCAAAAAACATCACTGCTGCTAGGCAAGGATCCTAGTTTTCTCCTCAAGTGAGAGAAAGAGCAAATTAATTAAATCAGACGTTGAAAATCAAGGATCTGACGAAGCAGTACACGTATTAACAGAAAGTTTAATATGTACTAAAAGGTCGCACGAAATATTGTGGGTAGATGGGACTGAAAAAGATGTGAATTGACGACCCAGCTGTTACCAAGATTTTATGTCCTTACTCCAGGACCAAAACTACGAGAGAATAGATCCACTTGTTTGCGCTAGGTCGTCGCAAATGATATCGAAGTTGGAACTTAGGGAATGTTTCAACTCAAAAATTTGTGAACTTATTAGACAACATCTGCAGACGGACAACAAAATCAGCTCCAACAACGTATCTTCAAACTCATCAAGACATATGCTACATTTTTTAGAATGCATTTGCTTAAATATAACTTTATAATGATATGTTCAATCCTTTCACGCTCGTTTAAAACACTAATTCATAGCTGTAAAACCATTATTTATGAGATCATCTTTGGCCGAAGACCTATAAAACTATTGATTTTTGGGATTTGTTTGACGCTAGAGATTCCTTGTTTCACTTTTTGTTTACAATTTGTTTTCAAACAAGTTATTCTCGGCATAAAAATATCCACTTATGCATTGTTATTGAATATGGAAAACGGTAAACCAGACGCTTTGTTTATTATACTTTCTGTTTTTTCAAACTATTGACGTCGACCAATAACGACGGCGACGCCACTAACTTTTTGGCTGAACAATACTCCCGGACATTTCATCCGACCCACATCAACTATACTGATGACAACTTCTGCATCTGTAACTACACAGGACTTTCCGAAGTGAACCTGAGCTCTGAATTGGTGTTCGAGAACCTGCAGCACCTAAGAAAGGACATTTCTCCTGGCACAGATATGGTTCATTGTGCTATACTAAGGGAAGCAGCTTCGATCCTGGCAACACCGCTTAGCGTGATGTCCTCAAACTCGCTAGGTCGAGGCAAACCACGGGAAAATTTGAAGCCGGTTCACATCACACCAATTTTCAAACGAGGTCGACTCAGCGAACCTTCAAGTTCCCGACCGGTGGCTCTTCTCTCTATACCTTCAAAAATCATGGAGTCCCTGATATGCGATGGTATATATGACTATTTACTGTCCTCAAATTTCTTATCACCCCAAGAGCATGGTTTTAGGAAGGGTATAACCCACCTGCTGACTGCCGTTGACAGATAGACAAGCATCCTTGATCGCAAGGGGAAGGTTGATATCATGTATCTTGATTCCTCGGAAGCTTCTGACAGTGTCAACCATGTATGTCTTATCAATAAGCTCAAACGAATGGGTATCAGACCACCTCGAAGTGATTGGCTCATTTCAAATCTGAAAACCGACAATTAAAGGTTAGGGTTAACTTCACTTCAGCTCAGGCTATGGAATGTCCTAGTGTGGTCCTCCAGGACTCAGTACTAGGACCTCTTCTGTTCTTGATTTTTATAAATGATCTTCCACAACAGGTATTCTCAGACTTATTACTTTTTGCTGATGACTTGAAACTTTGGAGAGAGATACGCAACCAAGAGGATATGCAGGCACCATGCTATCTGTGACAAAAGTGCCTTTCGAGCAAACCTTGCACTGGTAACATTGAAGCGCACTTTTGGCCAGTTTGACGGAAGAACCTTCCACATTGTCTTCAAAAGTTTTATTCGTCCTCATTTAGAGCACGGAAACGTAGTATTTCTTCCCTCACTCGGTAAGGATTGGGACACTCTGGAGCGTATCCAGCTGCGAGCCACGAAATCAGTCCAAGGACTCAAACCTCCAATCACTTAACCTTCACCCGTTAGAGTTTAGGCGTCTTAAAGATGGCCTTCTAATGGCTCACAGTATCCTTAACACTTCTGAACATCCCCTTTAACACCTACTTAAGCTTAGTCCCAATACAAACCTAAGACGTAACACACAGAAATTGGAGATACAACATAGCAGAACGGACTGTAGACACAACTTCTACTCCTTAAGAGTTGTCAAATACTGGAATTCGTTGTCGACTAAGCTAGTCCAAGCAACTTCTAAGGAGTCATTGAAGAGGCAACATGACCTATTCTTAATGACTAAGGATAACATCTTATTATGATTTACCAATCTCTTTTTTCCTCTTTTATTGTCAACATACCTAGACTCCTGCCTGGAAGTATTGGTGATCCTTTGCTACCAGATATGGAAGCCCGTTTAGCGAAAACTCATTCTATTGCACCATTCCATTGAGAATTGAAGATAAGCACTAGCCATTGCGCTCAGTTCGTATAATTGCGGAACATAGCACCTATCTAAACTCCTAAACTATGTCTTTGAAACAGGCCGTCGCCAAAAGTAAGTCTCCTACTATGTACCGTCTATAAGTCTAGAATTGATGGATGAAATAATTATCCCCTTGAGAAAGCCTAAAGATTGGAAAGTTCTCGTTCTGGACCGATTAGCCACTAGAATTGTATCTTCGTGTTGTAAGATGCATGAGATAATGAATAACGGCATAACATGTAGTGAATATTTTCTGATAAATATTTATTTCGTAGTGGTTGAAGACATTTTTAAGAAAAGGGAAGTGCTGCCGATTGAGGCAATATACTTGATCACTCCTACAGATGAAGTAAGAAAATTACTATACTTCTAACTCCATAGTCTTTAAAACTTCTAATGGAGGATTTTCAAGGGTCCCAGAGTCAATATCGTTATGCCCACGTCTTCTTCACCGAAGGTAGGTTAATTTTCAGATACTGTAATAGGCGTGTCATATTTGCTCTCTTCTCGAGATGTTTTCCGTTTTTTTTAAATGATAAATTCACTACATCTGTGGCTTATATTATTTCCCATTGAAAATAAGACCAGAAGTTTTCAAAGCGTTCGAGGGACCTGGCTGTGATATCCCCACACAGGTCCCTATACTCATAGTCGGTGGTTGTGAAGCCTGCCACAAATGTGCGTTAGCCCAGGTTACTGTACCGCATTAACGCGATGAAATGGAATTTCCAAGACATGATGGAGTCAACTTGGCATAGTAGCGATGAGAAAAACTACTGAATCTGATTCAAAAAACAGTAAAGATGCATGCGTCAAGAAATCCTGAGAGGAAGATTAGATTGAATGCCTCTGCGAAATTGTGACTTGTGCTGAGCTATATCGCGCATATGCAATGGTTGGTCGTTGTTGTTGTGCGTCCTCCAAATAGATAGTTTTCATCTACCGAGATGTCAGTTAGTGGCTTCCTGAACTGATACCATGTCCTGATTCATCCTATCCTAGCTCTTTTCAAACACATTACTACTCCTGTTAACATCGCTCATCAAAGTAGGCGTGTTTAACATGTCTTAACCACCTCAGTCACTAATGATTCATAACCATTCAATCCACTTTCCGCCTTTGCTTAATGTCGCATGTCTAAGATCAACATCGCTCACTTGTTTGTCACATGAAACGTGAGCAAGGGTTCGAGGAAATCTATGGTCCAAAACTTGTTTATTATTTATTTATTTATTTATTTATTTGAACACAAATATTGGCACAAAAGGTCACCAAATATATATGTGCCACACAAAACAATGAGAGTGGGAAGAGGAAAATGAAGGTGAGAGGTGTAGAAGGAAAAGAAGAACAATAACGACCAGATTAGTGTAAGGTAGTGTAATAATAATAATAACAATAGGGGAAACGGAAAGGTACAACCAGAAGAGATCTTTCAGTTAAGGAAGGTACAACCACTTTTTATGAAGAAAGCAAAAGAAGATTACAGCAGGATCGCCACTGGCTTCTATTCTAAGCCATATCTTATAATGTCTCTAACCACTGTGTCGTCACCAGCCATGGAGGGCAGGACAGTTTGACCGGTGTTGCCGGAGCAGCGGGCCAGTTGAACTGTCCTTCGAAGAATTCTGCCCATCGTCCAAGACATCGATGGATGTTAGTGATTGTCGTTCCGTCATCTTCGCAGATTGTTTCGCTCACACCAGACTTCTTGCTGCCAATGGCTCAGATAAGCTGTTAGAGCTTCCGGTAATTACCAGATGCAGCTGCTGCTTCCAGCTCATTAGCACGCTCCGACCACCAGGCTTCTCGGTCCTTACGCAAGCTTTGCCCGATTTCATTACGCAACAGCCTTCGTTTATGGTCAATCTCACGGCCACCCAAAGTAGACGGACGGGCTTCGATGAGTTGTAAGGAGTTTGAAGAAACTCAATGCTTATAAGCGGAACGTTTCGCGAAGCAGCAAGCGGCTTTACTCGCCGTTTTCATGGCGTCATGAAGTTGCAACCAACTTCGTTGGCCACTGAAAAGTAAGATAAGATTGGCGCAGACCAGGGTATGATCGGAGTCGAGGTAGGTACTCCAAAAGGAGTGGCAGTCTTGTACACAACCACGCCAGCGGTAGCTGATCGCGATGTGATCAATCTGAATACAGGCTTGAGATGCAGAGGGAGGACGCCAGGTGGCAAATTGGCGATGACTGTGCCGAAAGTTAGTGTCAGCCAGAAACAGGTTGTCGTCTTTGCACAGTTGCAGTAGACGGTCCCCGTTATCTGTCTTGCGACCAAGAATTCCCCACCAGCCACCTAAACGATTCTCTTCTGTGCCTAGACGCCCGACCTGAGCATTTAAGTCTCCGGCTAGTACTACAATATCTGCCAAACTCACTTTCTGGAGAAGAACAGATAACTGGTGGTAAAACTCATCCTTGATTGCATCCGGGCTGCAATCTGTCGGGGCATAGGCGGAGATGACGAAGAGACATTGTTTCTCACGCCGATTTCTTCTCACTTTGATGGAAATTTCTAATCTAACAGCACATAACCGACTGTTAATGGGGATCCAATCGATTAGTGCTGCCTCAGCTCTAGCGCTTAGTGCGTTACCAACGCCAGCAAGACCAGACGAAGATACCATAGGATCCCCGGATAAACGCACGTAAAACAAGCTTTTTGAAGCGACAGATGGAGATCGAATTTGTAGTACTTCACCAGAATCTTGAATACGGGTCTCGGATAGACAGCAGACATCGATATTAAGACTTTCCAAGCACAGCCAGCCCTATCTGTTGTCCGATCTGCATAAGTGTGCGAACGTTGAAGGCAGCCAGTTTGACTGGTGCACGTGGTTTCAGAAAAACTGCTTCAGTATTCGTACTTGATGGTAGCATACAATTTTCAACCAGGCATATACTCGAGAACGTTTAGATAGAACCGAGTTTCCACCATAGGCGAGCTGCTGTTTAAGTCGAAAAATAAAGATAGACAGAGTGGGAATAAAAGAGAGTGAATAAATGACATAGTAAATAATAATAATAATAATAATAATTACAATAGTAACAATAATAATAATAGTAATGTGAATCGTTTGTTTGTTAATCGTATTTTCCATAATTATCGACAGTTCATATTTGTGTGTGAGCTGTGATACTGCCTGGGTGCCCAGACCGAAGCAGGTGATTTTCTTAAGGGGCCACACCCTGAGCCCTTGACCTAAAGGTCTAACCCACAAGGCAGTAGAGCATCGTGAGGAGATGCAGTCTCATGGTAGCCGGTGACCAACGATTGGTTCATACGCCATTCGTTCTCGCAGGATACTGAACCCATGTGCACCATCGATTTGGTTTGGAATGGGCATGTTTCATAGTCATAAAGTAATACGAAATGGACTGTTGCACAATACGCCAGTCAGATTTATTTGCATCTACCTTTTAAACTGTAGCTGGTATTGCAGTAATTTTAGCAGCTAAAACTTGACCACACTCTTAAAGATCTCTGGGGTTAATCCATCAGGCCTCCATCGCCTTTGATTATCCATAGTTTTTTCAACCCTGTTCCCATCCACCCTCAGTTTGATGTTGTCCTGATTCCCTTACCTAGATTACATTTTCCAGTTCAGTGTTTGGATTTGTTTCTTTTTTTCCAATGAAATTAAAAACGACCCCATATATTTTTTATGTTGCTTGTGAATCGATGGTCATGACATCAGCGGTCTCATTTTATGCTTCTGGCAACATAGTACCCTGAATGTATTAGTTAGGAATTTCTCAAGTAGTTGTCTTCAGGTCGAAACGATTTTCCTTCACCTGTATAGCGGGCGCTTGTAAACTTGGTGGATAATAACATGTACCATTCAGTTCTTAACTTAATATATCAAACATCTTTTCTTGTTCTGTTACTTCTATTGCTTTGTAAACTGCAAACTGGTATGATTTCATCTCAAATTTGTTGTCATCAGATCATATTTAATGTAGTCTAATCATCTTTACTTCGCTACAAGTATTTTTATGCTTTGGGTGTATTCTTATCGAAGATATATGACATGAATGCCTCAGTCTATATACACCTATGATATTTCAGTTCTTATCGTAAACTTCATTGCTTCTAGCTTGCCCAGATGAGCTGTTCAACCGGCTTTGCCAGTCGAATTCCGCCATATTTTTAAAAACGCTTAAAGAAATCAACATAGCTTTTCTACCGGTTGAATCTCGAGTCTTTTCGTTGGATTCACCCATGAGCTTTCAATATTACTTCAATCCAGTAGCCAGACAACAGGGTTCGGGACAACAACTTGAGCGAATCGCTGAACAGATTGCAACGTTGTGTGCCACATTAGGTGAATATCCCGTTATTCGTTACCGCACGTAAGTCATTTTAAGCAATTCATCTTTCTAACCTCAGTATTGATTTTACCTGCATGACATCCAAAAGTTTATTAAATTTTCATTAACATTGGCTAAGTTATTGGTCTATGCAGAATTGGGACATTTTAAAAATTACTTACTTTAATGTAGCTGTTTTTGTGTAATTGGTATTCGAAAAATGATGCTTTTTGCTTTCATGGAAGTTATTAATCTACATCGTATTTTAGTAAAAACACTAACACTCTGAGTTTAAGTAATCTATAGAATAGAGGTTTCTATATTCTTATTCTTTCAAGCTGTATTGTTACCTACAGCACCACGAATTTTTCGTTTGTAGTTCTGGGACTGTGTTACTCCATTTCTCTGATCAATCGTCCTTTGATAGCACGTGATTCTGATTTAAACTTTTGTAAATCCCACTGATATTTTAGTTGAGGTTAGGGAATGTAGCTTTTTAAATGGTCATTGAATTATGATAGTTCCTGGCTAATATGATATTTTATTACGATGTAATTTTCCCATTTTAACATTCATATAGTGTGTCTATATAAAGATATTCCATTCACTAATAGTAGGATGTATGAACTTTTATACATTGATTGAAATAAACATTTTTGAAATTAAGATATTATTATTCACTGAAGCATTGACCGCCTTTTGCGAGTTCATCGAATATATTTGATTCGTACATAAATGTATGTATTATGAATAAGAATTTCTAGAGCTTATAGACGTTTGATGCACGATTCACATAATTTCCAGTAAATTCAGCTTTAGTCATCCAGTATTCAACGGAAAAAACAGTTGTTTTAACAGTTTCAATCTTTTTTGGATCATTTTAGTCAGTTTGAAAGGAACGCCGAGTTCGCACAGTTAGTTCAACAAAAATTGGATGCATACAAAGCGGACGATCCTCAAATGGGCGAGGTTAGTCAAATGAAACTTCAGTACTCAAAATAAAATATCGTAAATCTATTTAAATATATACTCTATCAAGTTTTTAGTATTCTAAATAGTTTTTACGAAGTTAGTTCAATCCATCGATAATGTGATTTATTTTTTTATCAAAAAACATGTTTTTTGTTCCAGGGTCCACAAAAAGAAAGAAGTCAATTGATTTTACTTGACCGGGGATTCGATCCTATCTCACCTATTTTACATGAACTCACTTTCCAAGCCATGGCTTACGATTTACTGGCAATTGAAAATGATGTTTACCGGTAAGCTGGGTTGCTTTTGTTCACTAGTAATTTTTTGAGTGCGTGATACCATTCCTTATAATAATAATAATAGTAATAATAATAATAATGCATTGTGCACCAACCTAAGGTCTGTGCAATTTGTTTTTGTGGCCTGGTTCTTCTGTCTTAACGAGTTATTATGTCAAATCTGTTACGTAATCACGGTTGACACTGATTGACCAAATAATCAAGTTGATCAATTTATTAGTACCAATAAATAACGGGCATAAAAGCATATGACAATTAATCAAACCAGTCATTTTTAATCGATTTACGAAGTGATCAGTTTTAATCAAATAGTTTATTCAGTCACTGCTTAGAATTCAATGATGAAACAACATATTTTTTAGCTGATCTATTATTTTTTTAGATACTGAATGAATATTTCCCATTTAATGGAATTCATTTAATTTACTACTAACAGTTGTGAAGTTCTAGAAAAGCATGCTTAATATAGGTAATATTTAATGAGTAATTTGTCACATAAAAGAGGTGTTTGAGGATAGAAGTCAATTTTTTTAGTGTTCGCTGTATATCAAAACTTGCGTTACATCATTTGTTAATATACTTAAATTAACAGTCTGATAAGACGTACAAATTTTACATTAGAAGTATTTATATCGATTTCATTTTCGCAATTTTCCTAATGCATGCGTTGGTCCATCGACGCGACTGTTAAATGTATATTAGTGATTTTGTTAAAAACGTCAGATACATATTTATAGTCAATAAGTCCTGATTAACCTTATTATTCTTTTCTACCATTATTCAAATCAAAAGCAAATACACACTTTGTGCTGTTTCTAGTACAACATAGTGCAAAACATTAAATATGGTTATTTTATTTGTATTCATATACCTATCTGTGAATAAAATTATTGGTTTCATATTGATAGTGGCAATCAGTGAAATCCATAGTCAGTATGCTATCATTAGTCGGAACATAGTGGTTTAGTAGTTAAAGCATCTGAATTTCAACTGCGGAATTGTACGTACCAAGCCTTCTCGATTGGAACGACCGGTTAGCCGCATTGGCCTTCATACAGCTGAATATATTAACTTAGTACTGACTATTAGTGCAAAAGCAGTAAGTTGTATTGGAATGGAAATGAAATAAATTATGAAGTTTCTTCTCAAACTAATAACTTTTCTTTATTTTGAAATAATGGATATTCCAGTTACATCAACACATCAGGTCCTGAGGAACGTGTTAAAGAAATTATCTTGGATGAAACTGATGAGCTTTGGTGTGAACTTCGTCATCAACACATAGCAGTCGTTTCACAACAGGTTAATATTTTTGGTATTTAATGAATATCTGAGCGTCTTTATATTACAAATGGCTTAGAGAATAGGAAATGCCATCCAATAACTATTGTTTAGGATTCACGCTTGATGTATGGAGGTTACCAATACATTGTTTTCTATAAGCTTCATATCTGCGACCAAAATCATTCAGTTCAATGACTTTTTAACATTCTAATTGTCTAGACTGAATATCTCAATGTCTAAATACCAAGGAGGCCATAAACCCCACTTTTTTCAGAGCTTAAAATACTACCCTGTTACTTTAATTTTAATAGGTAAAATAGAGTTAAAATATATAACTAACTGGTTAGAAGTTGACTACTGTAATTAAAAGTAACCTAAAGATTCCTTTGCTCAATATTATTGTGTTTAGGGAGTGCCCAGATTTTCTAGTGTCATTAGGAGTGTGACAGCGAATTTGTTGATGAGAGCAGCGTAAATGCTGTAGTTACAGTGAACATGATATGTAGAAACCTCGGTAATAATGTGGTGCGTGCTACTTATATTGATATAAGTAGTATATAACGTGAGTCAAAAGAACGTGATGTCTGGCAGCAGAAGATGGAGAAGATCAAGAAAAGAAGAGTGAGAACATAATGGAATTTGTAAGAAATCGCATGAACAATGAAATGCGAGACAATGGATTGATGTTTGCAACAGCAACAGTCCGGTTTGATATGATAGAATGATATTTTGCAAATTAACGATTTACTATATGGTTTTTCTATTTTACCAAGTAATTCTGTAATTTGTCCTAAATACAATTTGGCTGTCCTCATCGGTGTTTTCCTTCACTACATTTGGTGTCGCTGCCTCCACTAAGGATGAAGATTCCAACGAGTGTTCTTTCTATCCTCGGAATCTGGGGATTGTTGCGTTAGTAGACAGAGGGGCAGTATATACGAGAGTGAACATAAATGAGCGAGATTTAGTTTGTCTGATCGATACAGGTGCAGCAGTATTGTTAATAGGCAAAGAGCAATGTAAGAGAATCAAGCCGTGTACATTAGCTGTCCACACGATAGGAGGCCATATGTTAGAGGTGTTTGGCGTATCTAACAGTATCGTAAAAGAGGGGGATGCTGAGATAAATTTTCCGTTCGTGGTAACCACAAGCTTATCGAGACCGATATTAGGAGCAGATTTCCGAAGAGAAGTAAAAGCGATAGTTGACTTAAGAAGCGGTAAGGTGGTCACGAAATATGGTTCATTGACAATACACGAAAGTAGCGAAGTGGCTGAAATAAGAGTTGCAGCGGATGTCTCGTCAAAGAAACCAAACATTCACGAGTTATGCAAAAAGTATGCGAAACTATTCACTGGAGATGGGGAGCCGTATGGATTTTGTGACAGAGTAAAGCACGAAATACCGATAAAGAACAGTCGAGTAAATATATTTACAACACGTCGTGTCCCGGTGCATTTAGAGGCCGAGGTAAATCGTCAGGTCCAGGAAATGTTAAAAGAAGGTATAATTGAGGAAGCGGACAGCCCATATAGCTCGCCGGTACTCTTGGTAAAGAAACCAAATGGAAAGTATAGATTTTGTGTCGACTTCAGAGAATTGAATAATATAACAGATCTGAAGCCTTGTGCAATGCCAACAGTGGTGGAAACATTAGATCGGCTACAGAATGCCACGGTGTTTACAGTGCTGGATTTACGGTCAGGTTATTGGCGACTGCCTATAAAACAGAGTGATCGAAGCAAGACAGCGTTTACTGTACGTGATAAACAGTATCAATTTAAACGAATGCCGTTCGGGTTGGCGGGTGCACCGTTCACGTTCAGAAGATTAATGACACTACTGCCCAAGAATCTAGATAATATCGAGGTATATGGCGACGATGTAGTTGTGTACAGTCAAACAGAAACAGATCACATCAAGCATGTGGAAGAGGTCTTAAAGCGAATTGACGAATTTGGACTTCGGATTAATAAGGACAAGTCGCAGATAGCGAGAAGCAGCGTCACATTGTTGGGACATAAAGTGGGAAATGGAGAAATAAAACCATTGCCGGAGAAAATTCTTACCATAAAAATTATTGCAGTACCTAATTCGAAAAGGAAGTTGAGACAGTTCCTGGGAAGAGCGGCGTTCTACAGTCGGTTTGTCAAGAATTTCAACGAAATAGCAGCACCCTTATATAAGTTATTGAGCAGCACCAAGTTTACATGGACTGAGACTGCCGAACAAACGTTCAACCGAATCAAAAACATGCTAGACGATCGCCAGATGACGCTCAGATGCCTGAACCGGGAAGACTGTTTACAGTGGCCACAGACGCGAGTGATCATGGTATAGGTGCTGTGTTGAGTCAGGCTGATAGAGTGGTGGAATACGCGATTTCACATTGAGACCGACCATAAACCCCTGCAGTGGTTGAAAACAGCAAGTGACCCCCGAGGGAAGTTGGCGCGATGGATGATACGCCTGCAAGAATACGATTTCAGTATCGGCCATGTTCCAGGAAAAGAAAACGTAATGGCGGATTACTTGTCAAGACCAGACATGGAAGCCGACCTGCCATTAACAGCATACGCGGTGAATAGTTTAGAGGGAGACCCATTAGAACTCATCCGACAGCAGAAAGCTGACCCTAACCTTCGAGAGGTAATCAGAGTGATAAAAGAGGGAGCAGACGTAGATAAACGAACAATGGACAAGGAGGTAATAACGCTGCTTCGGCAAAAGGACCGACTGAGAGTGAACTCATATGGAGTGCTGACCTGGCAGGACGATGATGAGAATTGGGTGGCGGTGATCCCGAAAGACTGGCGGCGTAAAGTGATACACGAGTGTCACCAGGTAGCACATACAGGCATCGCAAGAACGACGGACTTACTACGACAAAGTGCATACTGGCCGAGCATGAGAGAAGATGTGGCTGAATACGTGTTAACTTGCCAGCAGTGTCAGCTAATGAAAAGCGATCGATACACACAACCGCCATTACAGTCAATCCCAGTAACCGCAGTCGGTGATCTATGGTCGGTGGATGTGATGGGACCGTTTCCACAGACGGCGAGCGGTAACCAGTACCTGTTATTGATGACGGAGCATGCTACACGTTGGGTAGATGCCGTACCCATTGCAGACCAGCGGGCAAGGACAGTGACCGAGGTGGTAATCTGGCATATTGTAGCGTGTCACGGAATGCCGAAGATGATATTAACTGACCAGGGTCCCTGTTTTGAAAGTGACGAGTTTAAAGCCCGTTTAAAGCAGTTTGGCATCAAGAGAATACGAACTACACCGTATCATCCTCAGATAAACGGGCTTACAGAGAGAAACAATCGAACGTTAAAGGAATGGTTAGCATCAAAAGGAGGAAATTGGGAGAAAGAGTTACCATTGATTTTGCTGGCACATCGTTCCTCCACACAAGGAACAACCAATAAGTCACCTTTCTTGTTCATGTATGGCAGACAACCACGACTTCCAATGCTTAATAAGACCTGGCCACAACAACAGAAGTGGACGACAACAAGGTTAAGAAAAGAGAGGAGAGAGGCAATAAGGAACGTTGAAAAGAAACAAATATCAGACACAAAGAAGGCAGAACAACAGAGGAGAACGTGTAAACCCTTTGCAGTGGGGGACCTAGTAAAGTGTAGAGAACGAAAAAGTAACATAGCAGGGTCGGGGAAGCTGGCCCCAAAATGGGAAGGACCGTATGTTATCACGGAGAGACGCGGCTCGGTCTACACGATCCAGAGAGAAGACAAGCAGAAGCGCGTAAATGCTAGTCAACTACAGAGATGGTTTCAAGATCATCACGGGTGTGAATCACGAAAAGCACCAAAGAACACAGCGGTACGGAGATCAGAAAGACTACGACAGCAACTTGTTAAAAGGGGGACGAGTGTGGTGCGTGCTACTTATATTGATATAAGTAGTATATAACGTGAGTCAAAAGAACGTGATGTCTGGCAGCAGAAGATGGAGAAGATCAAGAAAAGAAGAGTGAGAACATAATGGAATTTGTAAGAAATCGCATGAACAATGAAATGCGAGACAATGGATTGATGTTTGCAACAGCAACAGTCCGGTTTGATATGATAGAATGATATTTTGCAAATTAACGATTTACTATATGGTTTTTCTATTTTACCAAGTAATTCTGTAATTTGTCCTAAATACAATTTGGCTGTCCTCATCGGTGTTCTCCTTCACTACAATACTACAAGTTCCAGTTTCATAGAATTGCATATACACACTTACAGTCAGGTGGATAAAGTATACATAATTAGCTATAACCGGTTGAATTCAATAGCATGCGTAATTAAAATTATTTTTAGTGAATACAACTCAACCCGTAACAATAATCTTTGTGTGTTTGTGGGACGTTCGATTTGATTTTCACGCAACTTCTATTGAGAATCCTAAGTTCTGTAGTAGAAATTCTCGAAATGTCGAAAATCAATTGTTCAACACCATAAATATCAAGGAATTGTGTATTTTTATATGACTACGGACTCCAAACTCAGAGAAATGATTGGTATTTGGTTAGCGTTTTTATTTATTCATCTCTAACACAATGAGAACTGAGATAAAAAGCTTTAGGTAACCAGAGATTACAAAGTAGATTTTTAAAGCATTGGTCAAGCTGCCATTCATCGAAGTTTTATGTTTCTTGTATTCAAAGCAACAGAGAATGTTTTCGAATGAACACCCTAAAAAACTACACTACTTCATGAATTTACCATCAATTTCGGTTTCGTCAAGATTTATAAGGTCGGAAAACATAGTTCATTAGTTAATCAAAACCATTAAAGTAGTCTCTTCATCTTTTTGTAAATCCTAAACATGATTTTGTCATCTATTTCCTGTTGTTTTATTCTAATAGGTTACTAGCAAATTGAAAAAGTTCGCTGAAGATAAACGTATGGTTAACGCAGGCGATAAAACTACAATGCGTGATTTAAGTCAAATGTTAAAAAAAATGCCTCAATATCAAAAAGAGTTATCCATGTATTCAACACATTTTCATTTAGCTGAGGATTGTATGCAAACTTATCAAAATCATGCTAATAAACTATGTAAAGTCGAACAAGTAAGTTTTTTTAAAAAAACAACTTAGTGAATCAATTCGTAAGTATTTTACAACTAATTTTATACAGATCAGACTAAACAACTTCATTTATTGGAAGTTTAATTATTTAGTACCTAACATTTTGATTATGTAAGATTACCAATCTATCAGTTGGACTATTAAAAATTACCACATTGATATACAAGAAAAAGATTATTTGCGTTATTTCGTTCTGGCTTTGTTTTTAGGTGCGAATAGCAAGTGGAATAAGCTCTTCACAATTCAATCTTTAGTTTTGAAGTTGTCATAACGTTGTTCAACTTTTAAAGGAGTACGTCCGAATAATGAGCTATATCGGTCATTAATGGTTAATCTGAGTCGTTGGTGCTTGTTTGTTTATTTACTCATCCCTTTTGCTCATCTTCATCTTAAACAGTGTCATCATGTAATTCTATTTTCTGTCTTCTTCCCCTCACGTTGTTGATAGGAAATGTAACGCTTTGAGCTATTATACATTTTTCAGTCTGTCTACTTTTAGATAATATGGCGATTTAAATTTTCGAGTATTACTTTTAAAAGGAATAATTCAACCAGAATAATCATAATCATTTTAAACTACTTTTCAGGATTTAGCCATGGGTACTGATGCAGAAGGTGAACGAGTCAAAGATCATATGCGTACAATGGTTCCTATTTTAATTGATCAGTCAGTTTCAGCATATGATAAACTTCGTGTGATTCTTTTGTATGTTATACAACGGGGCGGTATAAATGAAGAAAATTTAGCTAAATTAGTTCAACATGCTCAAATCCCCTCATCACAGGCGTGTATTGTGCGTAATTTGATGCATTTAGGAGTTCCTGCTATCCAGGATGCTTCAGGAGCTGTAAGCGGTTTTTTCTCTAAAAATAAAGCTTCTACTAAACTTCCGAATCACTACTTATAAATAGTGTGTTAACATTTTTGTTTATGCACCTTTTTAATTACTTGTTTAAGGGATAGATTGATTTAGATTTTCAACTTGATAGATTGGGCAATGTAGACATCTTTAGTAAACTTTGTTCGAAACCAGGAAATGGATGTCAGCTGCGAAGACTTATAATCTCTCGGAATAATCACTTCTACCCAGTTTATATTTCAGTCGGTTCTGCACACTGGAGCACATGAAATTAATTACTTTCCATGCTGTGAGTGCTCACCGTATTATGTCCAGTATCATACATATTGTTAGGTGTTTAGTATAACCTGTCTGCCGGATTGATAATAAACTATCATAAAACAACCTTAGTTATAGTGTTAGTGTAGGCTTTGGTATGTTTGGTGTTGCAAATATTATGAGGATAGGTAGCAACCAGAAAATTCACATTCTCGTCATATTATTTATATGGTGTATTTATCAGTGATCTATTTTTTATGCTAAAGATAGTGTGAAAAGTTACCATTCTTTTTAAACCGCACTTATACTCTCTCCTGTCTCCAGCTCTTATTATTTATCTATATAGTTAACCCCTCTTCACTTTCACATGAAATGCTGTGATAAAAAAATATGTAGTTAGATTGTCCGAAATGTATCGCGCAATTAAACCATATTTTTGGATCAACTTGACCTTTTCATCACATCATGCGAGTTTATTTAAAAGAGGACTAACTAATATTAAATTCCCCTAAATAAACGATTATCATTGTTAAACTTTAAATACAAGTGACATGAAAACAGTTTTTTTCGAAGCTTGATAACTGAATTATTCATTTGTAAAAGTAAATCTTTTTCAAAAGAATATCATATATATCTCCTCTGTTTTTGGGGTAAACTTTTCAGGTCGCTTATGTCAAGGTAAGGTTGCATACCGTCTCTTAAAGCTGATTTAAACACAAATGACTAAACCTACTTGAAATCCTCTGAAATTATGTAACATTCTAACGGTCTAATCCCTGCGTTTCTCATTACATTTACATTAGAAACCAATCATTTATTCAATATTATGTCTTTACGAAGGAAAAACTGTTATATGTGCAAACGAAATATGGTGAAATATGAATGTAGGGGCGATAGTAACCATACTTTTTCAATGTTAAATAAAAGTGCAATATCCAGCGTTTTCGAGCATAACAGATGAATGCTGTAACTAAGAACATAATTTTCACTGAGGATCTCATTCCAAGCTCTAACTCACGATTTTTGCCTTTTTTTCATCCAACAATTCAGGACACTACAGCAGATATATTTTGATGGTTTTGGATGACTAAATTGAAGTCATCAGTGAAAATTACACTCATATTTTCAGCACTGACATACTGAATAAACTAAAAAGCGCAAAATTTATTGAACATCGAAAAAGCATGATTATCTTCGCCCAAATGACGTAGCTGAATAGCCTTATTTTACAATCGTCCAGTCTTTTTTTAACCCGTTAACAGTATATTCAAGTTATTTGACGAAATTTATTTGTTATTTTTAAACAGTTATTGTAAGTTCACAATAAACTTTGAAAAGGTTTAGCCCTACATTAATTCACGTTATATCATATTCCAATTTACTGGGTATATATATTTGCCCCCAAATGCACTGGTATGACCGAGAGTGGGGAGTTCGCTCTCCCTCTCGAAATGCTCTCACATGGCCACGCGTATACAACCTCTGTCAGGGAAGTCCTAATCACTGCCTTCTCGCACCACGGGTGTTGTTTACGAAAATGAGAGGACGAAAAGCGAATGTCCGGCGCTTTAACCGGATTCCAAACCAAATCGATGTTGCACATGGGCACCAGTATCCTGCGGGAACAAATGGCGTATGAACAAATCGTTGGTCACCGTCTACCATGGGACTGCATCTCCTCACGATGCTCTACTGCCTTGTGGGTTAGACCTTTAGGTCAAAGGCTCGGGGTGTGGTCTCTTAAGAAAACCACCTGCTTCAGTCTGGGCACCCGGGTAGTATCGCAGCCCTCACACATATCGAATGTGATTTGTGTGGCGCATATGTATTTGGTGCCTCCTTGTACCAATATCTCTGTATATATATTCACAATACAAAAGGACATTAAAATATGCATCAAACAATAAGAAAATGAGATTGTTAAGACATAGATAATATAAACTGAGTATGGCAACAAACAATATATGAATGAATGTGATTAAAAAATAATAGGAAAAAGAGTTCATCTAAATAGAATATAACCAAAAAAGAATTTTCTCAGTGAAGTTAGTTCTCCTCACTTTTATAAAGTAAAACAAAATTACATTAGAACAACCAATCGCTTCTCATTTTAAACCATATCTTATAACGTCTCAAACTATTGAGTTACACCTCTGTCAGATCTTAATCAACAAGGAAGTTGTACAGGACCGACAGATTTCAATCCTATACAACTTTCTTTCATCATTATATAATAATTAACTAATTAAAAATCAAATTCTTTATGCAACTTCCTTTAATAAAATGTTCTATTCATCGTTTTTTTAAATAAAAAAATAATTGGTGTTACAACTTCTTTTGCTTATTTTAATTTTAACAGCTAAGTAGTTATGTATCATTAATTTTCGCACTAAAAGATAATGCTCTAAATCAATGTTTATATAAACTTTTACTTGATTGATCGTTTATTTTATCATTCTATGGCTTATTTTTTTTCCAAAAATACTTTAATAATCTAGTACCTAGTTATTATTTATTTATTTATTTGAACACATAAATATTGGTACAAAATGGCACCAAATATATATGCGCCATACCATATTTGTGTGTGTGGGCTGGGATACTCCCCGGGTGCCCAAACTGAAGCAGGTGGTTTTCTTAAGAGGCCACACCCCGAGCCTTCGACCTGAAGGTTTGATCCACAGTGCAGTAGAGCATCGTGAGGAGATGCAGTCCCATGGTAGACGGTGACCAACGATTGGTTCATACGACATTTGTTCCCGCAGGATACTGGAGCCCATGTGCAACATCGATTTGGTTTGGAATCCGGTTAAAGCGCCGGACATTCGCTTTTCATCCTCTCATTTTCGCAAACAACACCCGTGGTGCGAGAAGGCAGTGATTAGGACTTCCCTGACAGAGGTTGTATACGCGTGGCCGTGTGAGAGCATTTCGAGAGGGAGAGCGAACTCCCCACTCTCGGTCATACCAGTGCATTTGGGGGCAGTATTTAGTTACCATTCTTCTTAATTCTAGTTTAATTACTCCTTTCAATAATAAACTATGGTATCTGTACGTAATATTCATTTTATTATATAATACAATTTATTGTTATTAATTTATATAACTATAAATAGATGATTATATTTAAAACAAAATTATGAACAGTAAAGATAAAATGTATTTTAAGGATTAAATTAATAATAACTATGAAAGGATATGAGTATTATAATGATATAGTATTTTGTTTTTGTTCTTTTTATTGATTATCCAAATTATAATGCTTGTTCCTGTTAATTATAATTAATGAATTGAATACAATTCCGGTTAACAATGATTATGTTCTCATTCATTCATGTTTTTCATAGGCTTTAAGTTAGTGATAAATAATGTAGATAGAAGAAAGTAACCGATATTTTTCTTTGTATTGTGTTTTTTTTATCAATGGTAACCGTAAAATCTATCTCTATGTTAATGATGTGTAAAGTTTGAATATCTTTGACTTGAACATTCAATTATTGAACTGAAACATTATTATCTTCATAAATGTTCTTTTTTCTTTGAATTGTTGTAGAATATTTATTACTCCTTTAAAATGAGTTGTAATATACGTTTATATGTCGTGTTAACATTTTATGTCAATTATCTCGTTAAAAGTTTTTTGTTTACTTCATATCATGTGTCAAGTTGAATATTTAGTCAACAATACATTCGAATCACCACTATTATGCACTACAACTCCCGGGTGGGTAATGTTAGGATTTGGCTGAGTGATTTGAAGTTGAGGTAATAGATCAACCGATGAGCTTATGAGTGAATCTTAGTCTAAAATAAGTAACACACTGTAGTTGTTGTTATCCTTGACCTTGATCTAATGATTGGTCAATTAACTCAAAATTGATCGCTATTTCATAAAAATAGTACTAATATCTATTCATTCAAACACTACGCTCAACTATCAATGACCCTATCGATTTATATAGAAATAATGAGGAGAAAGCTCAAGTGTCAATAAAAGCTAAAACAGTATTTTATTCCATCAAGCTACCACTAATGTTGCGGTGTAACTTTCTGGTTTATTTTTACTAAAATGTTATTGTTTTTCTTCAAATCGGAACAGATATGATTCCACTTTTTCCCCTTTTCACTTGTTCATTAGCTTTCACTGTAAACCTTTAGTTTTCCTTACCTTATGTTACTAAAAAAGGTATATAACAGTGTAATGAAATGTTCATGATGATAATAACATCATGTCAATTATCAGAAACATTTATATTATAACTATTGTTGTCCATAATTTTCAGTCTTCTTTTTTGTTAAAATAGGGTATAGGGAGGCGTAAACTTCCTCAGCCTTATTTGCCTGCTAATCGACGTCAACGGGAGGATGGTCCACGATATCAAATGTCTCGATGGACACCTTATATCAAAGATCTTATGGAGGTAAGTAATCTGACTAATAATTCAAATACTGTTTTGCTTCATTAACGATTAATGTGATATGCTAAAACGATTCGTTGTTGAGCGAGGGCTGTACACACACTTCTTATAATGCTGATATGGGAAAAAGATAAGTGAAATCATGAAAATGTTAATTAAGGAAAAGGAATTTTAATGAGTATCATAGGTGAATGTTTTATGTTATTCAATGTACTTAGGATAGTGGTATAATACAGAAATTTTGTCGATTTAATATTTTCGATGTGGCAAAAATAGTTCAAGAGGATTTTCAATAGTGATTAAATTATCTGAATGAATAATAAAATTATTATCCTTAGCGTTAACACAATGTACAATACCATTGAGAAACAATCATAAAAATACCTATGTGCTGTACAACATTGATCAACTATGTTATTGTTCGTATAACATCTGACTGTTTGATTCAAAGAAAAATGTTTTACAATTTCATTGTTGCTTTAATTATAAATTGTTTGTTCTATTTTACAATGAGAATGAGAATCGTTTAAGACGAGTGTGTCGAGAATAAAAGTCAGTTATATATTCTTGTTTAAATGTGATTGAAGGTAAGTCCGCTTTTATTATCTCAGCTGATTAACTAAGTATAAATGCAATAACTCAAAGACTATTCGTTAACTCGGAAATCGATTGATTTTTTTCGTTCCATCCATAGATGAAAATTTTTGGAGATATTTAGTCAAGAGAGAGAGAAGTTTTGGAAACTAAGATGTATTTTCGAATTGTTTGTTACTTTTATCCTATTCTTTTTCAGTTAAAAATTATGAACATGGTAACAGTGTAGATTATTTCATGTATGTTATATTTCATCTTTTACCTCTTATTTTGTTGTAATCTCTCAGTGACATAATATAAGTGTACTAATCACTTCGACGTTTTTTAACTTAAGGATGCTGCTGAAGATAAATTGGATCCGAAATTATTTCAGTACTTTGGTGGTGGCCCTGTTCGTGGTCCTGGAACGCGTACAGGAAATGCACCAATGTCTGCAAGATATGGAATGTGGCATCGGGATAAAAGTCAACAACCACGTTCTGGACCTAGACTAATATTCTTTGTAATCGGTGGAATATCCTATTCAGAAATCCGTTGTGCATATGAATTAATGAATACTGCGCTAGGTAAACAATGGGATATTATCGTTGGTGGTACCCATATACTCGTGCCGGAAGCATTCTTAAAGGATTTGGAGAAACTGTCTTATCCACCAGGGACAGCGCCTCCATCGGTTAGCAGTGGGACATCAGTTATTGTAGGTGCTGGTGGGGAACCAGTGTGAAATCAGTATACCCCATGAATGATTTATATTTCAATATGTAATTCACAAGAGATTGCAAGAGATTTCCACTGAATAACAACTTTATTTACTTCTATTGATTTATCTTTCGTCGCACACTTCTTCGTTAGTCAATATCATTTCATTGATGCTGATGATTATAATTGTTACTATTAATATTACTATTATTGCCAACAAGAACTTCATTTGTGTTTAACACTTCACCTAATCACTCACAACATTCCTCATACGCTCAACTCTTGAGCGTATTTTCTTGTTCTCTATCGACGTTTTTCCTCATTTCCTTCCTCATACACACATACGCAATCCCCTACAGATCATTGATTTAATGTCAGCAGAAAACATGACCAGCTTTCTTTATCTACGTTTATTTAATTATTTATTGGTTTTTTCATGTTGTTTTTGATATTTGCTTATTTATTACTTCCTCCAATTTTCTATATCATATATATATACATAGTTATTAAATTAGTATTGTTCATAGAATTTTTGTGTCAATACTACGTGCATTTGTCAGTGATTATGCCTTCTCCCTTTCCGTCTTCAATCACACTGTTTCTGAGGCTTACGTGACATTCGATAATTAGTGTGGATCACACTCGATGCAACTCCGCCTGTAGCTCTTATAGGGTTGCTGCCGGTCCCAAGCCCGGGTAAAGGAGGAGGGTTGGGCATGGGGTTAGCGTCCCCATCCCGTAGAAAACTAACTCGCTAAAAAAACGCTTACCAGAAAAAATAATCCAAACCATTTTAACTCTGCCCTGGGAGTTAGAAGGTCTTCATTTAGAAGAATTATGACGCTTCATGGTGAAAGCCGAGTTCCTTCGGAAGCCACGAGGCCGATGCCCCTTCTAACAACCAGAGCAAAAATTTTTATAGGTACATGGAACGTTCGAACAATGTGGGAAACCGGGAAGACCAGTCAAATATCAGTGGAAATGAGGAGATACAACTTAGCAGTACTGGGAATCAGCGAAACCCACTGGACCCAAGCTGGACAGAAAAGGTTAGCTACGGGAGAGATGCTGCTATACTCCGGTCACGAAGAGGACAATGCTCCACACACTCAGGGAGTCGCTCTTATGCTGTCCAAAGTAGCACGAAATGCACTTGTAGGATGGGAATCTCACGGATCCAGAATCATCAAAGCATCATTCAAAACAAAGAAGGAGGGGATCTTAATGAATATTATCCAATGTTATGCACCCACCAATGATAGCAACGACGACATTAAAGATCAGTTCTGCGAGCGGCTACAGTCAATCATTGAGAAATGCCCAAGGAAGGACCTAACTATTCTGATGGGAGATCTAAATGCCAAAGTCGGAACAGACAACACTGGATATGAAGATATTATGGGACGACATGGACTGGGAGAGAGAAACGAAAATGGAGAAAGATTTGCAAATCTATGTGCATTCTACAAATTGGTCATAGGCGGCGCAGTATTTCCACACAAACGTATATACAAAGCTACATGGATCTCACCGGACCACACCATAGAGAGCCAGATAGATCATATTTGCACCAATAAAAAATTCCGAAGGACAATGGAAGATGTGAGAACCAGGAGAGGAGCTGACAGCTTCAGATCACCACCTAGTTGTGGCCAATTTAAAACTGAAGCTAATGAAGAACTGGACAAGTGGACAAACAGCACTACAAAGGTTCAATACAGCCTTCCTTCGAGATACTGACAAACTCAATGAATTCAAGATAGCTCTCAACAACAGGTTCCAAGCCTTACAAGATCTACTGAAAGAAGAAGAAACTACTATGGAGGACAACTGGAAAGGCATCAAGGAAGCATTAACTTCAACGTGTCAAGAGGTTCTCGGTCTAAAGAAATACCATCATAAGGAATGGATCTCTATAGAAACACTGGACAAGATCAAAGAAAGGAAGAACAAGAAGGCAGTAATAAACAACAGCCGAACACGAGCAGAGAAAGTCCAAGCACAAGCTGAATACATAGAAGCAAACAAGCAAGTGAAGAGGAGCATTAGAGCCGACAAGAAGAAATACGTGGAAGAACTAGCAACGACGGCAGAAAAAGCTGCTAGAGAAGGAAATATGAAACAGCTTTACGATACAACGAAGAAACTATCAGGGAAATACAGTAAACCAGAGAGGCCGGTCAAAGACAAAGAAGGCAAGCCAATCACCGAAATTCAACAACAACGTAACAGATGGGTAGAATACTTCGAGGAACTCCTGAATAGGCCGGCTCCAATGAATCCACCGGACATCGAAGCAGCACACATAGATCTTCCTATAGATGTCAATCCACCAACTACGGAAGAAATTAGAATGACCGTCAGACAAATCAAGAACGGGAAAGCAGCAGGACCCGACAACATACCAGCTGAAGCACTGAAATCAGACATCGAGACAACCACAAGCATGCTTTATCATCTATTCAAAAAAATTTGGGAGGAGGAACAAATGCCGAAGGACTGGAAAGAAGGACACCTCGTCAAGATTCCAAAGAAAGGAGATCTGAGCAAATGTGAAAACTACAGAGGCATTACACTACTGTCAATACCAGGGAAAGTCTTCAACAGTGTTGCCGAACCGGATGAAGGATGCTGTAGACGCCCAACTTCGAGATCAACAAGCTGGATTCCGTAAGGATCGGTCGTGCGCAGACCAAATTGCAACACTACGGATCATCGTCGAACAATCAGTTGAGTGGAACTCATCACTATACATCAACTTCATTGATTATGAAAAGGCATTCGACAGTGTAGACAGGAGGACGTTATGGAAACTTCTTCGACACTACGGAGTTCCTGAGAAGATTGTCAATATAATCCGGAACTCATACGACGGACTACAGTGCAAAGTAGTGCATGGAGGACAGCTGACAGATGCATTCCAAGTAAGGACCGGAGTCAGACAAGGCTGTTTACTCTCTCCCTTCCTCTTTCTTCTGGTGGTCTACTGGATTATGAAGACCTCAACATCTGAAGGAAAACACGGAATACAATGGACAGCTCAGAACCAATTAGACGATTTGGACTTCGCAGATGACATAGCCCTCCTATCACGTACATATGAACAAATGCAGATAAAGACAGCCAGTGTAGCAGCAGTCTCTGCATCAGTAAGCCTCAACATACACAAAGGGAAAATCAAGGTCCTCAAATTCAAAGCGGAGAACAGCAATCCAATCACTCTTGATGGCGAAACTCTGGAAGATGTAGAGTCCTTCACATACCTGGGAAGCATCATCGATGAACAAGGAGGTTCAGATGCAGACGTAAAGACGAGGATCGGCAAAGCAAGGGTCGCATTCCTACAATTGAAGAACATATGGAACTCAAAACAACTTTCAACCAATATCAAAGTGAGAATCTTCAATACGAACGTCAAGGCAGTTCTACTGTATGGAGCTGAAACTTGGAGAACTACAACAACCACAATCAAGAAAGTACAAGTATTTATAAATAGCTGTCTACGCAAGATACTCAACATCCATTGGCCGGATACCATCAGCAATAGCCTTCTGTGGGAGAGAACAAACCAACTTCCAGCTGAAGAGGAAATTAGGAAAAGACGATGGAAATGGATAGGACATACATTACGCAAATCGTCGAACTGCATCACGAGGCAAGCCCTAACTTGGAATCCTGAAGGGAAGCGAAAAAGAGGAAGGCCAAAGAACACATTGCGTCGGATAATAGAAGCAGATATGAAAAGGATGAATTACAACTGGACGGAGCTAGAAAGGATTGCCCAGGACAGGGTTGGATGGAGAATGCTGGTGAGCGGCCTATGCTCCTCCACGAGGAGTAACAGGCGTAAGTAAATAAGTACACTCGATGCGTTATATATATGTATATCCAATAATGAAAAATGTTAATTTTATGTTTCTCTTGGTAATCGCATGTAACACATTACCAACCACCTCAGTCGATGGATATTTAACCTAATCAACAAACTTTCTATCTTCTCTACTGTACCTCAGCATTGCTTATTGGGTGACCTCAACACACACCAGCAAAGCTTAGAAGGCATCTGTAGTCGAATATTAGTCGCTTACTAATGTTTTCTATCCCTGAAAGCTGTTTTTCATAGTCATAAAATAGAGCAAAAACAACTGCGCAGTGCACTCCTCGCTTAGCTTGCAGATAAACCTCTCACCTTAGCCACGAAGACGTAATTTGGCAAAACTCAAGAGAACTCTCTAATTTCAGCACCGAGATTCTTTCAAATATCAGCTCACCAGTGGTAATGAAGCTCCAATCATTAACGAATTGATCAACTTACTCAACTACTTCACTCAAAAATAATCAATGTAGGCAATGGTGTGGATCAGCGTGAAGCAGCATTTTAGATTAAGAGGAAGAGAAACACTCCAGACATGCTGGGATTGTTACTCAAGGCTACCAAAGGACTCAATGGTCAGTGTCTTCATTGAATATAACTATGTCATCTGCGTACTTTAAGTTCATAAGTGGACCATTTGGTAAGTGATCAATCCCTGAAAGTTAGATGAAGAAAGTGTGATTTCTAGGGAGAAATGTATGAGATGAAAAAGAAGATAGTGAACAATTCTGACGAAGACTACTTGGAGTTGAGAATTCTGGTGACAAATCGTGCTTGAGTGGGAGGTTTCGATTTTTTGTGTACTTAGTAGGTAATTTATACTCCCAAACTCCAACATAATCTCTCGGATACCGGAGTTGAGTCCCACCTTAAGGCCAAGAAATACAGCTACATTCGGTCGTTGGTATGCTTATATTCTAAAATCTGACGGAGAATGGATAGTGTAGTCAGTATGTTTGCGTGCAGATTCGAAGTCAGCCTGACTTAGTTTCGCTTTTCACAAGTACTCTTAGGCGTTAAATGATGATAGAAGCTAATATTTGAAGAATGTACTCCTCTCCTATAAAGTGAGACGACCAGTGATCGAGGCCAACTCTCAAACTCTACCTATTATATAAATCAGATTCATTGTTAAGACTAGATCGTCATCGGTAAAGACCTCCGAAGTTAACCTACCAAGTTCTGTCGCTGTCCCTTGATCCAACTGACCGTAAGTGATTAGAATAACTACTTTAGAATTTGTGAAAAGTAGATTATCATTTACTAATGAAAATATCCAGTAAACTAAATTTAGTTAATTCGACAGTTATTAGATCAGCATCCGTTTTTAAACAAAAATAAAATTATGCTCTCTAATGTTATTGTAATTTCGATTGTCTCTTTAATTATACTCTAAAGAGAACTGTCATCAGAAATTGGTTAGTTACAGAGAAAAAAAATATTTATTTAGAGAAGATTGAATCCAAATAGTGTCTAAATAATTAACAGATGAAATGATAACTTATTGATTAGCAACAAACATTTACTACTGAATTAAATCACTTTTACAATAGTATAAAAAAAATTTTTTTCTATACATGTAATTGTCAAATATAATTTAAATAGCTATAAGACTCGACTAGCTCTATCTCCTTATTTAATAAAGCATAGATTACCATAACATTTACTGTCATCATTTTTCCTAACTA